TGGTCTGTTTGCAGTGCTTTTTGACGTTATTGGAACTAGCAGTAAAATTTAAAATATATCTACCAAAATCCGTGTGTTATCCTCTATACTCTATACCTACAAGGTTGTCCGAACTGTCTTCCGGAAACTTCGCCAGCATATTCTGCAGATAAAAATAAGCAAAAAGTCTGTATAAATGTATGTCCTAAAATGCTTAGTTTCCGAGATACAGGGTGTAGAAGTTTTATTTTTATTTCGATTTTTTCCAAATAATTTCTGAAGTAACGTCAATATTTGGATGAAAATTGGTGTCTGGGAGTTTTTGACATGAGAAATTTGATTTTGATATTAATATGACTCCAACTTGTAGAGAGCGCCACCTACATATTTTTAACTGGGTTGAAGTGTAATAACTTTTCGTCCGTCCGTATAAAACTACCGAGTAAAAAAATATAAATTTACGTTTCTTGCGTAAAAAAAATCTCTAAATGGTTCTCGAGATATTTAGAATCGAAATTATCAGTACCTGTCATCTTTGACATAAATTAAACATGTTAACTAAATAGTTATTAGACTGAAACCATAAATTTGAAATGTTTTTGTGCCAAAGCCTCAACAGAAACTGTTCTATCGTCATTTTTTGAAGGAAAATAAAAGTTTCCAAATTTAGGACTTCAGTCAAATAACTATTTACTCGACATGCTTATTTCTTATTTTTAGTCAATATTGACATGTATTGACTATTTCCATTCTAAATAGCTTTAGAACGGTTGCTCGTATAACCATTTTTATCAAGAGACATTTTTACGTAAAAATCACGGAAATGTAAATTTTTTTCACTTAGTAGTTTTATACAGGTGCGGACGAAAAGTTATCACTCTTCAAAATAGTTAAAACACATGTAAGTGGCACCCCTACAAATTAGAGTCATAATGACATCAAAATCAAATTTATCATGTCAAAAAACTTCCAGACACCAATTTCATCCAAATATTGACGTTACTTCAGAAATTATTCGGAAAAAATCGAAATGAAATGAAATTTCTACACCCTGTATCTCCAAAACTAAACATTTTCGTACATACATTTATACGAACTTTTTACTTATTTTTATCTGCAGAATATGTTGCCGAAGTTTCCGAATACAGTTCGGACCACCCTGTATAATGTTTAAGGTGTAAGCATTTGATCATTTGATCTCTATTAAATTATACCAGCGGAAAAAAATAAAGGTGTAAATAAAAATAAAATGTTTCCTCTAGGAAATGGTAAGTAGCTGAACAACCAATCTGGCCTCTATGGATAGACAGTGTGGACAGAGCTAGTGGAACTCTACCGGGTGTTGCATCGTCGGACGGGACATAGGAAATCCCATGTAAATTTTAATGGGGTCAATTATTGGCTTCCCTAATTATTTTAGAGAATAATTCTATTTAGGTTTATTGAAGAGCACTAAAACCCACATTCAAAAGAATAACTTTAGATATTTTTGATTAGCTCGTTTACGAGTTATCGCCGATTTCTTTTTAAATATTTCTCTTTCTTATGGCCCTGTATTTACTTATGAGCACCAGTCAAGGTAAAAGATAACTGTCAAATGAAGTTGTCATTTCAGAAATTTACCTATTTAGTGCTTTATTATTATTGAAAACTCATTCCTACATCGGAAATCTTAAAGATGTATTTATAAATACAAATTAATATGAATTAAAGTAAAATAAAGTATTCAATTACAAGGTTAATTATAGTATTATTACAATATTCAATAACTTATTAATTCAGGTACTATTAAATTTGAAGAACATATGATATGTCATTCTATTCAGAGTGTCATTTTCTATCAAATAAAGCAAAAATATACCGATAAGGGTGCAATTTAAAAATCAAAAGTTGCCGTCATTTCCGGTGAAACAGGAAGTGACCAAAAACAATTGAATACGTCAATCAATTCTAATTTATGTCATATACTAACATATCAAATCTCGTTTTTTTTTATTTAAAAAAAAAAATAAAAAAGATATACCACTTTTGAGTTCCACTTTTGAGACGCACCTGGTATTGATATCAATAAGTGCGTATATTCTAATTTTGATGCATAAGTGCGGACTTTTAGAGCTAAAATGCTTTAAAACTCAAAAACATCCAAAAAAGAAATAAATCAAATACCTTCTATACTGACGGATGATCGACTTTATATCCAACCCTCCCTCCGTCGACATTATTAAATTGTCATTTAAACTGATCGTCATTTACGTCGTGCCCCGTTGTCATTCGACGCAGATTAGCCAATAAGTCAACAGTGGCATGTCATTCAGGCCATGTCATTTAGGCCATCCCTAATAACTAGGTATTGTTCTCGCGGGATTGCATGCGCGCGGTATTGCGACGACTGCTAACAGTGGTGTGGTGGAGAGGGAAGGGGGGGTAGAGGGCTGCTAAAGCAACCCCCTGTCGAACAATCGGCTGCAAACGAGCGGTTTGGTGGAGGGGCCGCCAGTTAATTGGTCAAATTCTAGAATTAATTACGAACCTAAAGTAGAGTTTTTATTTTGAAGGGGTGATGAGAGTTTCCTAAATATTTTATACCTATATAATATGTATTATTATTACTATCTGATATAAAAAAACCTCTTCAGAGTCACGCGGAATCTCTAAAATTTGGAAGACTAAAATATGTCGAAGTATGAAACAAGTCTTCTATACAAGGTGGTCCAAACTGTATTCCCGAAACTTCGGCAGTATATTCTGTAGATAAAAATAAGTAAAAAAGTTCGTATAAATGTATGTCCTAAAATGCTTAGTTTCGGAGATACAGGGTGAAGAAGTTTCATTTTTATTTCGATTTTTTCAAAATAATTTCTAAAGTAACGTCATAATATTTGGATGAAAATTGGTGTCTAGAATTTTTTGACAGTAGAAATTTGATTTTGATGTCAATATGACTCCTATACGAGGTCGCCACCTACATGTGTTTTAACTTTTTGAAGAGTAGTAACTTTTCGTCCGTACCTGTATAAAACTATGGAGTGAAAAAAATATACATTTCCGTGATTTTTTACGTCAAAATGTCTCTTGGTAAAAATCGCTACGAGCAAATTAATATGTCGCATAGATATAGTTATTTGACTGAAATTTGGGAACTTTTTAGTTTTTTAAATTAATCATAAATTTGTCTTCGAAAAAATGACGATAAAACAGTTCCTGTTGAATTTTTGTCTCAAAAATATTTCAAATTTATGATTTCAGTCTAATAACTATTTAATCAACATGTTTAATTTATGTCAGTTATGACTGCAGCTATTGATAATTTCGATTCCAAAAATCTCGATACCCATTACGATTCATAGCGATTTTACCAATATAAATAAACACATTTTTTTCAAATATTTTAAGAGCCGTTTTATTCCGATTTGAATTAGATTTTATAGGTATCTACGATTGCTAAGTGCTTTAAATTTGACTTTCACAAAAATCAAGAAAAAGTACAAGAAAATAGAGAAAAGTGAAAACTATACATAAGTTTTTGTATAAATATTATACGGTATGATCGAATAAAAACGGCGTCAGCGATGGCTATGAAATGAAGATCGCTGTCAATATGTAAATTTATATCGGAAATGCCATTGATCTTCATTTCATAGCCATCGCTGACGCCGTTTTTATTCGATCATACGGTAGTTTCCAACACAACCGACGACCGATTTTTTTTCGTAAAATTATCCTTCTAGTATTTAACACATTTTTTTGTATCTTGTAAAAAACGCGCATACTTTTGAGGAAAAAAAATATTTTTTCGACTTTTAAAAAATGTTTTCGTCACATCAAACTATGGAGGCGCATAAAATCTATTATGCTCTAATAATCTAGTTGGCAAAAATATGGAATTTTATATTAGAATCACAAATTATATTTGACAATATGACTCATAAAAAACTTAAGAAAAATAATAAAATTCGTTCAAATTCAAAAGTTAATTAACGTTCGGGTTTATAGGGTTATTTTTTTATTGATGTCCTCTAGCGGACAAACGAAGCACTTTTGTGAAAGGTAAATCACGGCATATAAAACAATTAAGTAGTTGTTCTATGTCCACGGAATATTGCAACTCCCTGTATATTTTCTAGGTCTTTTTTGGAAAAATAAATGCTCCAAAATTTTTTTTCACAAACTATATGCGATATTTTTTTACGAGAGACAAAAAATGTAATAAATACTAGAGGGACCATTTTAAGAAAAGAAAATCTGTCGTTGGTGGAGATGAAAAATATTTACACTAAAATGTATGTAGGGGTGGGGATACTTCTTACCCTTCCCGTACTTTTGATTTTTGTGAAAATAAATTGTTAATGCGCTTAGCATAATATAGGCACTAAAAATCTCAATCGGAATATCCCTTCTTAAAATATCTTAAAAATGTGTATTATCCTTTTAAAGTTTGATGCCCTCTAACGGATAAACGAAGCACTTTTGTATAGAGGTGTATCCCAGGTGTATCATTCTCTGGGTGTATTTAATGAACTTATTTTGATTCCAAAGTAGTTCTATGCCTTATGCCTAGTTAAGTTTTTATACAAACTCAACAGGACTTATGGCAGTGTAAATGATTTTTTCAAAATTACTTTTTGTTTATGTCTTTGCAGATTTGTATATTTATTATTTGTAAAAGAGCAATAGAGCCTACACTTAAATTAAAATTACTGCACAACTTTTAAGATTAATCTCTTATTAAAATAATGTGTTATACAACTTTTTGATTCCTATTTAAATTAAACTTTGAAATGATTCACTCAGAGTAAAAAATGATTCACCAAATTTTTCAAGTAGCCATTTTGTACAAATTGTTTTGAATAAAAATAAATACTAAATTTCGTTAAAATCATGACAGAAATTACTAAATCGCACATATCGGACTATTTAACTTTTAAATTTCACAATCCTGTTGTCTTAAAGTCTACAAAATTTGCAAAAATCTGTAAAATCCTAAAAACAAATCACTTCACTGAAACAAAAAAAAATACTGATAATTTTAATATAATTTTTAATATATTGTTAACAAAATTAGACAAACATTTCTTATTCTAAGCTAATATTAAACATGAATAAATTACACCTATAAAATATATTTGTGCATGCACTTAAATTATTCATTCTTCTTATCTCCAGCGCCAATTGTAATTTTCTTCTGCAACTTAATATTTTCAATGGACAGACGATCATGTTCTTTAGCTAAATCGTCAAACTTAGCCTTAATAACAGACTTATCTTTCTTTTCTTTTAATAACTCCTCCTCTAAACTTTTCACTGTCTCTTTCAATTCAGAGACCACTTTTCCATAAGGTTCCTTCTGTAGATTCTCTTTAGGTTCATCACTTTTAGCTAGTAGACTTTTTGCAGCAGTTGTCGCACTTACAGCTTGTCTCATTGATGCCTCAGACTGAGCTAACAAAGTAGCTTGGGATGAAATCAAAATAACTAAACGTCTTATAACCAGTGCAAGAAATAATGAAAATCCAGAAATATAAAAGTTACGTTGTGCTCGGAAAAGTCTCATACTGCCTTGCATTTCTTTATCTAAATGAGCATGTCCATGTTCCTCGTTCTCAATATTAGAGTACTTCCTCATCTCTCTAATTGCATCAAGCAGAAACAATACCAAGGTCCCAAATAAAATAAGAAAATAAATACCGGCTTGCCTCTGTATGGTCTGCAAAAACTTGGATTTAAAAATAGCATTCCATCTCTTGGGACTTGCAACTGGTAAGACTAGAAGAAGTACAAAAGCTATTTCTGCATAAAGAAACCCAGCAATTAATGTCCATTGTATACTCATCTTGAATATTGAAAGATCTGTTTTATTGTAATATATTATCTAGGTTTAAAAATAGTTTAAAAGCAAAGAAAATGAGTAATTCGTTGATAATTCTCGAACAGACTGAGTGTTGACAGCTGACAAGAAAACTATTGGCCATAGACAAAGGACAAAGGACTGGCAAATGGCAAAATAAAATATATGACTATGTATATGACTTTAGCAAAACTTAGTTTGGTCATAGATAAAAGTGTGATAAAATTTTATAAACAGGGTTCGGAAGTAGTTAAAAAACGTAATTTACCTCATTAACTACATGAATACTACTTTAATAAACTACATATTGTTGTTACGATAGACAAACAATCCTACTATAATTAAAAAGGTGATAAAAAGGTAAAAGGTTAATTTTATGCATAGAAGACGTGTATCAAGATTCGTAAAGATATTTATGATAACAGAAGAGTTCTTAGATATGAAAAAACGTTTTTTTTAGAAAATTTTACCATCCTTGTATCTCAAAAAATTAATTTGTTTAGGACATACATGTTCATATAAGGGTAATATAAGTTTTTTTTAGACTAGATCCAAGAATCACCCTTTTAATTATTAGTATGTTATAAAGGAACACCCTATAGGCTATAGGCACTAGAAGAATAATAGTACTGAAACCATATACATATACGTACGTATAACTGAAACCCTAGGAAACACTAGAGTGTTCTATACAGATCTATTTAAGGATTTTTAAAAGATTTGCAAAAAATCATGTTTGCAAAAATATGTAAATAATTTATTTTACTTATCAACTATGTTCTATTTATTTATAAGATAAAAATTCTCCATAAAATAACGTAATAAATAATAAAAAGTTTATCATAATTATTGTGAAATTTTTGTTCATGTTATTTTACTTGCTCAATTTTGAAAAATGTTACAATCAAGAATTATTATAGGAAAGGATTATATTAATATATAGTTCAATGTTTTATTGCATTTGTAGTGGCATGTTGTGTTTTGTTCTATAAAAATATTTATACATAGGTATATTAAGTACTATGTATTCTTCATTACATTTAAATTAACAAGAAAAAGTAAGTATTATTTTTATAATAGGAAGTATTACATTTATATTTTATTAGAATAACACATAATTCTATAATTTTAATATAATTTGTCATTGAGTATTGAGTAATTTAAAATATTTCCTCTACTTTAGTATTTTTAGATAATCCAAAAAAGTAAAAACAAAAAACTTCTATAATTTTCACACTTATATTTTTCATGCACGCTAATCAACACAAATTAAATGTATCATTTATTCTTACGTCCACAGTTGCTTCACCTTATTTCACTTAAAATAAAATTAAATTTGCACACTAACAGAACTAGTCTCTTGTTTCTCCTTCTTCATCCTCTTCTTCTGCACCTCGTATAAACAATACATTATTACATCTTATAAGAACTTCTCCAAGATTTCCTGTAAAGTAATCATATGAACACTATGTACAAATTAGCAAAATAAAGCATATTACTTACCAGTAATGCTACCATCAATATACTCTTCACAATTAGCAAGTTGAAGGTTCATATATCCATCTACTGAAACTAGATAGCCTTTGTATTCGTGGCCCCACTTCAATTTTACCATTACTGCTTTACCAGTAAGACTATTTAAAAATGGTTTGGGATTTATTGGCATAGCAGTCGACATTTTGATGTGTTTTAAATTTTACTTTTCTGAATAAAAGACAAAACAAAACTTTCCAAAAGTTTTAAAAACGCCGAAAACGCTTATTATTTGTAGGTTAGTTTCATAGATAAATGCAACAAGTTTAGATTGGAAAGCCCGTAAAAATTTTAGGTCGCGAAATTATTTTGGGTCGCGACCGTTATACGCTATCTGGCGCTGCTATAGCGGTCGCTAAGAACAACGGCAAACAAAAACAGAAATAATTTTCTCTTGTCAAAGTCAGAATCTTCAAAAATCATAATAATTTTTCAAAATCTAAACCGCTCTCATTAAAGAAATTCCGAAAAGTGTTTATAGCGTCCATTTTCAAAGTAATAATTGCTATCTTGTGAGTTTAATTCATGTTTTATTTACTCCAACCGGTGATAATTGTGAAAAAGTGGCATTAAAAACTTAAAAAGCTGTGCTGTGAACTGTGAACTGCAAAAACCATCGTGGATCGTGGCATAACGTCGATTTCTAATGTTTCATAGGTATTTCATACATGCGTCCTTATATAAAATAAAGTTTCTTGTATGCAACACACTGTCTTTTATTTATAAAATTAAACGAAAATCCCACTTCAATTTACCATTACTGCTTTACACCAGTAAGACTATTTAAAACTGGTTTTGGCGATATAATTCCGGCAAAGCAATTGAACATTTTGATGTTTTTTAAAGTTTTGGGTCGCTGAATAAAAGACAAAACAAAACTTTCCAAAAGTTTTAAAAACGCCGAAAACGCTTATTATTTGTAGGTTAGTTTGATTTTTGAATAGTTATTTTTCTAGTAATTTTTGACGTTTTCATTTTGTAGTGGCGTGCCTGAAACTCTTAAGGCCAATTCATATTCATACATTTTAATCTAAAATTTAGGAACACATTTTAAAGCATTATTAAATTGTTTGGAAAGAATTTTATTTAATAAAGTTAAACTTTTGAATACTTTAATATATGCAAAGAATAACGCATAACTCTGAATCATAATAGTACGGCAGAAATTTATTTATTATAGCGTATATTTAGTTGCATGCCCTTTTTTTTTATTTTATTCATATAAATAAAATTTTATTATACACTTACTTGTTAAGTTAAATACCATTTTTTTGTTAAAATTAAATTAATTTTGAAACGTAAATGTGCATTATTATTATTAATGACTTTTAAATTTTCAATTTATTTAAAATACTATAATCATGTAAACTTTATTTTATATACGTCCACGGGCACTGGTGTGTAAACTCAGCAGTAATTCCAAGGACAAGGAATAAGGAATGATCCAAAGACATAATGGTCAAACGTCAAAGATTCAAAAATAGTATAAAAAATCACTAGAAATTAAATAAAAGGGTACCGAAAATGTTGAAAGAAATATAATTAAAAATTTTATAATCTGCACATTTACACAGTTTTTATAAAATATCATCTAAGTCGATACATTAAAAAAAGTAGTGAATTCATTATCTAAAAAGGCAAGAGAGTTAAAAAGTGCGTCTTACACGGTAAGTCCATTTTTATGTAATAAACCTATAATAAATTCAAATGAAAGGATCATTGAATATAAATAAAAATTATATATAAATTTTAATAGTAATCTGGTACTGGAGCGCACGCAATTTTGATAAAATCTTCATATTTAACCATACTGTTATTATTTACATTGGCCTCACGAAAGATTCTGTCTACTTCTTTCGATGACAATTTTTCTCCCCAATTTTGCAATAAGTGTCTCAGTTGTTTCGCTGGTATAGTACCCCTACCTTCGGGATCAGCTGCCTTAAATGCATCCACGATTTCTTTTGGTAGATTCTCAACTCTTGAATGAACGTGCATTACTTCTAGGAAGTCGGCAAATGTCATTTTTCCTACCTACAGTAATAAATGTTGGCTTTAATAATAGATAATTATTTTGTTTCTTAATTTACCTTATGCTTGAAATATCCAGCTAATTCAGATATGGTTGGTGAAAGGCCCAAACTTCTCATAATCACAGTAAGTTCATCCAGAGATTTGATATGGTCAGACCGAGCATATAGGTAGAAACATTCCCTAAACTCTGAAACGCCATAGGTATTATTTGTAAAGTTTTCTTTTAATATTTTTCCTGCATTTGTTTTCTTTACCTGATTGTGACATTTGAAAATGTATAGAAAGTTTTACCAATACAATCAAAATTATCAGTTTAAATCTTAAATTGTTAATATTCAATGTCACTATGTTAACAAGAAATTACTATTTTTCTCTTCTAAGTATTGTGGTAAAATTATGATTTTTTTCGTTCATGCTAGTTCTAATTTTAATCATTTAATTATTTTATAGTGCTAAAATTAGAAGCTTTGTTATCTGTCCTTATCATCATGAGAGATAAATGAACTAAATGAATTTGCATGTGATAGTTTTTGTTTGTAATAACTAATTTAATTTCAACATACAATTAAATTGTAGGTATAAGTATGTTTGTAAAAACTATTTGCATGGATTTAATTTCAAGAGATACCTATCTATGCCAATAAAATACAAATATTTATTTTTTCTAATCTAGGTCGTTATTTTTTTTGACACTTGGTATACTTACCATCGATATCTTGCTCTTTGAAATACCTGGCCTAAAACAAAAGTTCACATCTGAACAATCATAGAACGAGGTTCTTTATAAATATTTACCATTTTAATGAATAAATCCACAAAAATTAAATCCCAAGACTGACACGTTAGCAATAAAGGTACGTAAATACTAGCGATGGGAGATTAGTCTGTTATCCGTTCCAATGAACAGGTTGTACCCAGGTAACACGTACAATTTTACATCACTCTCGTCGCTTTAGTCCGGGAGCTTATGTTTTTTTTTTATATTGAAGTTATAAACCGGCATTTGGAGCGCTATACAATAACTGGCAATGGAAAAGATTTTAGCGTTTTTTAGTTAATTATTTTTAAAGAATTAAGAGAATATTTTCATATTATACTCTATACGTAAAATTTTTGAAAAAAATGGAATAAATATTTTTATAACCCATTTACAGTACGTCTATCCCTATGGTATATCCGTTCTGTAGTACGGGGTATCCGTAAGGGGGGAAACGATATTCTGATTGGCAGTTAATTCATAGGCGTACCATACATATTTCAGATAACATTACCACAGGTTAGGTATCCTATAAGTATACAGATAAAAATCTTGTCCCTAATTAGTGGTACGAAAATTGTTTTTTATGACTATGTGCAAACGAGTAAAATTTCCTGTGCGTAAAAATAAACTCGCGTAAAATAACAATAAACAGCGTAATAGAGAGATATCGCTAAACCGAATAGCGTGCATGGACGTTAATAAGGCCAAGTGTTATTTCCTTTACGTGAGGTGGTAATCAACTCTCTTCATTTATAGTTATCGGATCGGAAAAAATTCTGTTCGCGTCGCGTCCGCTATTTAAACTTAACCTAACTTTGAATTTAAAACTTTGAAATTGTTTTGTTTACTAGGTATTTTAAAACTAAAGGGCTAAAGTGCTTATTTCCAGTGGTTTATTGTTCAACGTCTGGCAGTGGGTTTAGGGCAACAAGCAACAAATTCTCTTAGAAGGGCTAAGTCGTCATCTGCATCCGTATTTTGGGCCATATTTATTTAATTAAACTAATCCCAGCTACTTAAATATCAAATTACCTAATAAAACTCAAGTAACAATTCAAAACAATGCAAACATAACCTAAAATAAAAGATCTCGCCGGCCGGCCCCGGTTGTCAAATACCCGCACATGCCCATTTAAGCAATTTTTAAACGTTATTTAGAAATAGCGCTTAGTGTAATTGATCCGCAAATTACGTCAGGCGGTAACGTTATTAGCGGGTGTTGCGTTAAAAATTGACTAGCGCATATCGTAACCATGATAAGGTACGCGTAAATACTGCATGACGCTATTCGGTTTTCCGATATCTCTCTAATAACTGTGCCGGTCAGGCGCTGTGCACAATTTTAGAGGCCATAAGTGGGCGTACTATGTGCGCAAACTAGTAACCTAACTAGTGCCCGATTCCGAAAATTGGAACCACGAAAAACAATAAAGAAAAAATAAAGTATATAATCTGTGACATTACTTCTTATAAATTTAAAAAATACGCAATCAGTTTTATTTTTTCAATATTTTTCCACGTAAAATGAGACATAATCTTTATAAAAATTAAAAATTTAAAAGAAAAACAATAAAAATCAATAAAATCAAGCAACTATTTTACCGATAACGACTGTTTCACCGGAAATGACTACAACTTTTGGTTATTAAATGGCACCCTCGGCATATTTCTGTTTTATTCGATAGAAAATGACACTCTGAGTACAATGACATATCATACGTCAACTTTTGACATTTTCGCTTTAAAAGTTTTTTAAATTTCAATCTAGAGTGCCATGGCTGTATTTAAAATACTAATTTTTAATCAAGGAGCCTCGGAAAAATAGATTTCATCGTCTAATGTTTTTCGTGTCTTGTCCTGGCTGATTAAGAGATGCCCAAATCGTAATTTTAATCATATCTCAATTTTTTCAAACGGAACAAGGGTGGCTCATGAGCATATTTGGAAAAAGCATTTACTCTCTTGTATTTCCGGTGAAACAGGATGTGACCAAAAACAAATGAATCCGTTATTAAGTAATCCTAATTTATGCCATATACTAACATATCAAATCTCGTTTTCTTTTATCTGAAAAAATAAAAAAGTTATAGGGGTGAGCCACTTTTGAGACGCACCCGGTATACCCTTACCTAGCTATTAATATTAATAAAAATTATTGACCCCCCAAACAATGATTCTATTGACATTTGCTTATGGACTATTACGCTCTAAAAAAAGGTTTGTAGATTTAATTATAGAGTGATTATAGATGATATTAGGTTAGTTATTCTACCTGTCGGATGGGCTGAAGCAGGTAATATTTTTGTAATTAAACGAGATTATTTATATACTTAATGAATTTAGTATTTTTTACAAATTTGTAACAAAAAAACTGCGACTAAAACGAAAACGTTTGTTTACTTCGTTTGATCTCGTATACAGTAAGTACAAGGTTAAATTCCTAAGTCTATATTTAAATAAATAAAAAAAATATCTAATTAATCAATAATTAACTTATAGAAAAGCATAAAAGCAAGACAATGTTTTGTATATTATATAAATTATAAATAAATAAAGTTTAAAATATATAATAATTGTATCTAATTAAATTTTAATGATTTTAATAAAATATATCATCCTGTATATCATTCGGTGGAACTTTTAAACTTACTTTATTATGCATAAAATGAATATTGCTTGACGCATTATCAATTCATCATGCACAGTGAACGCCGCCAAAAATTGTTTTGGCAAAACTATTCTTTTTTAAAAATCCATTGATACGAATTATCGCAAACTTTGGACTTTGTTTGGTTTATAATGTTGTTAACTAATTATTTTAAACATTGAAGACTCCCTAAAGGTTTAACATACCTACGGCTCTGTAAATAAACGTTTAACATTTGTTTTTTTTTCCAGATAAAAGACGTTAGTTAAATAATGTCGTGACAAGGTAACTTGGCATTATGGGTAAATCCAATCAGAATGTAGATCCGAAGTTGAAGCATTTATCCAATGGAGAAATCGTAGTTACTAGTTTAGCGGCTGGTGCCATAGCCGGTGCCTTGGCGAAAACCACAATCGCACCGTTAGATAGGACGAAAATAAATTTTCAAATAAGGTAAGATCAGTATAGTAACTTTTTTCGGTGGTCATTTTTGTCTATGCATATTCAACTTTGTAGCCATAAAGCCTACTCAACTAGGAAAGCTTTCAAATTTCTTGCAGAGACGTTCAAGAAACAGGGACCTTTAGCGCTATGGAGGGGAAACAGTGCCACCATGGCCAGAATAGTGCCCTATTGTGCCATACAATTCACCGCTCATGAACAGTGGAAGAGGATTCTAAAAGTTGAACAAAACCAGGGGTAATTATGAGTACCTACAGTGTCCCATTTTGGTTTTAATTTTATTGATTTTTTTTCACTTGTTATTTAAGATTGTAATAAAAATGCAAGATTTTTGTATGCTACCGTATGATCGAAAAAAAAATGACGTCAAAGACGGCTGGGAATGACAATCGGTGATCATTTTGGCGAGGTTAATCTCTAGACGCCATTCACTAAATATGACCAAACTTGCTAAAAATTAAAACTACAGAAAGATTAAAAATGATGAATGTTTCCAGAGACAGAAATCTACTTCCAAAAAAAATATTTTTTCGAATTTTAAACTACACTATTTAAACAAATAAAAATCAGTTTTACGGTCAGACCCATGTCTCCTGGGCATTTTGTTTTTTGGATCGTGTCAATACATGCCTTGGTTAATTTTTAAGAACGGAATGAACTTGCCATCAACAGTTTGCAATTTTTTCAATTATCATTTCTTTTTGAAGTTATTTTTCAATATGACAAAGCGGCTTTGGTGATCATTGTGAACTATATACAATTGCCCATCATGTTCGACCTTTGGGAAATTCTGGCAGGAGGGTTAGAGTTCGCGAAGCGGTACCAATTTCATTAAATGAACTGCGCTTGGTTCTTAAAAAAGAATGGGAAAGCATAACGGCAACGTGATATATACAGCCTCAATAACAGTATGAAGGGACGTATACAGGCAGTTATAGCAGCCAAAAGAGGCAATACAAAGTATTAGGGTATTTTTACATTTTTTTTTCTGTTTGTATACCAACTTGAGTATTACAGATGTTTTCTTTAATATCGTTAGTTCTGTTATCGTTATTAATGTTTATTAAAAGCAGGACTGTATCGTTAAGCCCCGTTCTCAGAACGACGTCGCTGGCGACACAGTTTGACATTTCAAACAACCAATGGGAGCTGTACTAAATTTAAAATTGACAGCTGTTTGAATTTTGTACAAATCTCATTGGTCCTCTTGACGTGTCGCTGGCGACAATCGCTGTTCTGAGAACGGGGCTTTAGTCTTTAACGTTTTTTTTTAAATTTGGTATAAAGTACCCAATGCAGCTTAATATGACGTTACGACAATAGTCACCAAAACCATCTCGCAATATTAAAAAATTACATCAAAAAGGAATGATAATTAAAAAAATTGCAAATTGATCGTAATCAGTTCATTTCGCTCTTAAAAATTAACCAAAGCATGTATTGACATGCATCAAAAAACGAAATGATCAGGAGTCATGGTTCTGACCGTAAAATTTAAGAAAATTTACACACGAAATTATTGCACAGGGTGTTTTAAAGTTAAGGTAGAAAAACAACCCCTCGATTAACCTTATTATATAATATGCCAAATAAAGTTTATAAAAAATTAGTTTACGAATTAAAGTTGATATAATTATATACAGTTTGCTAAAAAAATTATAAAAACAACAGAAAACACTTGAAATTTGACCAAAAATTTCTCCGTTGCGTTTTTTTGCATCTAAGTGTATAATTAGTGTCAATTTTTAATAAATGACGTCTAGAAATTGACCTCACCAAAATTATCATCGAGTATCATTCCCCAGCCGTCTCTGACACCGGTTTTTTTTCGATCGTACGATTGTTTTTCGCATTACTAATATTTTTTCTACTTTTTTTCAGTTCAGAACGGTTATTTCTCGCAGGATCTTTAGCAGGGGTCACATCACAAGCCCTGACCTATCCCTTAGACTTAGCTCGTGCCCGAATGGCAGTTACTAATAAATTGGAATATTCTACCTTAAGACATGTAGGTTTGCTAGTTTTTTGTTATTTTGATGTACCAAAATATATTATTTTAGGTTTTTTCAAAAATATATTCGCTCGAAGGCGTCAGAGCGTTTTTTAAAGGCTTCATTCCTACCATCGTCGGTGTTATTCCCTATGCCGGAGTGTCGTTCTTTACCTACGATACGTTAAAACGAAAATATGGAGGTAAGAATATGTTTTCAATTAACAATTTTGATTTCGGCTTAATGAATCATAACTGAAAAAAAGCTGTGTATTTTTGCCAACTTGATCTAAAAATAAACGTAAATATTTAGAGTTTTTAAAATTGTTTATAAATCTGATAACATTCTTAAAATATCTTCTAGAAAGGTACCTAAACATTTCATAATCGATTTTAGTGCCTTGAAAGAAAATCGTTGATGTAATTTTATTGTGTTGTATATTTTTTACTACGATAACACACATAACACCCTAGGCCATAATATATAATACGTAAATAACTATGAAAACGGTCGCAAACATGTCAACGAATTAAATTTACCTTCTTTCTTTGTTGCGCATGCGGTGCTTCTTCTCTGTCCTTGTCGAGGAACGATCGTCCACGCGCCAAATTTGAATATTAATTTTAAAAATTAATATTTTATTTTCGTATATATTATTATATTTATAACTGCATTTTTATGCCTCTATTTTTGTTTCTTACAGAACATATGGACACCACTTACATAATCCATCCAGTGGCGTCGTTATTTTTCGGAGCCATTGCTGGCGTTTTAGGCCAGACTAGCAGTTACCCCTTTGATATTATTCGCAGACGCATGCAAACCGACACAACAGGAAAATATCCTAATATGTACCATACCTTACTCTACGTTTACAAGTATGTATTATAGAAAATTGGGATATTTTAACAGGTCTCTGTAATAATTATGAAGGAATATTTAGCTGAAAACGTAAATTTCTAGCCGTTTTTAACTAATCAACCTCACATTTAAAGAATTTTATAAATATTCATCAGAAAATTATACTAACCATAAAAGTCTATCAGTGACAGTTCTTTTCTGTCATTTTATAAATCAAATTGTACCGTTTTTTATCATTTTTAAATACCCTTTGAAACGTTATAATCTGTATTTATGCAGCATTAAATTTTAAAATAAATATACAGATACGCTACTGACTAAATTGACGCATGTCTACTAATTATTTTTGACAATAAATAAATGCGAAAATTTAGAATAAAAAATTTAATTAGTTGACTTTATAAAATTTTATAATTACATAATTAGTTTACTATTTATAACGTGCATAACTACTAGAAAAAAGTTGATATTTTTCACGCGTTTAAACTGAGAATGATCTCACAAGTCTCTAAAATTCACAATAATCTCACTGTAATTAAAGTTCTGAGACAATGATGTCTTTCCAGATTTATACTTTACAGTGTCTCACATATTACCTGTTACATAATATTGAACAAACATTAATCAGTCATTTATTGTACTTTTTCATGTCATGAAAGAAATTATACAGAGTGGTCTGAACTGTATTCCGGAAACTTCGGTAGCTTATTCTGCAGATAAAAATAAGTAAAAAACTTCGTATAAATGTATCTCCTAAAATGCTTAGTTTCGGAGACGCAGGGTGTAGAAGTTTCATATTTATTTCGATTTTTCCAAATAATTTCTGATGTGACCTAAATATTTGGATGAAAATTGGCGAGAAATTTAATTTTGATGTCAATACGACTCCTATTTGTAGGGGGCGCCACTTATATGTGTTTTAACTGTTTTGAAGAGTAATAACTTTTTGTCTGTATAAAACTACTGAGTGAAATAATGTACATTTCCATGATTTTTTACGTAAAAAATGTCTCTCGCTAAAAATCTCTACAAGCAGCCGTTCTCAAGATATTTAGAATGGAAATAGTCGATACATGTCATTATTGACAAAAATAAACATGTTGAGTATTTGTATTTTACTAAGAGTGAGTCCCAGATGGGACCCTCCACTGAGGCCGCGAGGGCCTATTGTGGCTCAGTTTCTACAAGCTCTTTAATAGAAAAAGAGCATTAAAGTTCACCCTCAAGACCCAGCCTTTTAACATAGGCCGTTATGTCCGAGGGTGATATGTCTTCTAGGTCTGATAGGTCTAACGTGGGTTTGCCAAACACCTCAAACCTGGTCCTGCCTCCAGCGGGAGATTTTTTGGAACGCTAAGTGTCGGTTCTGGGGCCCACAAATGGCGAGCCTGCACCAGTTTTGGCGAGGGAATCAGCACGTTCATTTCCCTCTAGGCCGACATATCCCGGTATCTATATTAGCGACACTTTGTTTCCATCTCCTAATATATTGAGTAGTTTCTTACAATGAAGGATCGTCCTGACTTACTTTTCGTTGCCTCAAGTGCTTTCAACGCGGCTTGACTATCCGAAAATTTGCTTATTATTTTCCCGGTGTATTGCTGTTCTACCAGCAGTTGCACACAGGTTTCAATCGCATATAGCTCAGCTTGGAAAATTGTGGTGTGTTTTCCAAGACTGTGGTAGATCTCAGTCTTTGGACTGCTGCAGTAAATTCCTGCGCCAGATCCTTTATCGTTTTTGGATCCGTCCGTGTACCAACACATTTCCGCAAGTAATAAGCCGTTTCTCGGCTTATCCCATTCGTCCCTATTCGGAAACAGGACGTTGTAAGTGCGCGTCAAGAGTTGGATTGGTGGTGTGAGATCCGAGACCATTCCCAGAATCTCATCCGATTGTAGTTCGTCTACTAGTCGGTTTTGTATGAACATGATTGTTCCTTGGCTCTACAAGTAGGAGTCATATTGACATCAAAATCAAATTTATCATGTCAAAAAACTCCAATTTTTATCTACATATTGACGTTACTTCAGAAATTATTTGGAAAAAATCGAAATAATGAAATGAAACTTCTACACCCTGTATCTTCGAAACTAAGTATTTTAGGACAAATTTTTTAGACATAATAAAATATCTCTTGACCTAACAATCAAAAATATGTTTATCGTTTTATTCATATATAAACTTGAATATATTTTTCAGGACTGAAGGAATTAGAAAGGGCTTTTATAAAGGACTATCTATGAACTGGATTAAAGGTCCTATAGCTGTGGGCATCAGTTACTCCACATACGACAATATACGGGACATGCTTAGGACGTTTGTAGTGAAATTCAAAAAAGAATCTTTGGTGTAACGTAACTGGTTACTAAAATGAATTTCAGACTTTTTGTATTAACTTGTACAGGGCCTTTTATATTTCGAAGCACTGCCTATTATGCCAAAATTAAGAATTAAGGCTACAAAATAATTAAATTATATTTTGTGTAGCGTATTTTTCTATAAAATGTTTTAGCAGACCCTGTAAAAAAATAACAAAATGTGAATATTATTTGATATTATTTATAGCTTTTATAATTTCATTTAGGACAGATCTGTTTTTGTTTCACTGTCGGGGTGTAATGTAAAAGCAATTTTATCGTGTCTGTTATAGGTAGTGTTTCGTAGATTGATGTGATACTAAGACAATGCAATGTTTTTATATATTTAATGCGAATTTTATCATTGCTTCGAAACGCAGAAAAAAATAGTCAATAGTAATGTGAATATGATCGAAATCTATTTAAGTTCTAACCTGTTATATTTTTTGAAAAATTTTAAATACTTTTTACTTCATTGTTAAATATGTGTACATATTTTCTAAGTGTTGTTTTTGGATTGTTATAGATTAATTATTATAAACCTTTTTAGTTTAAAGCATTTCGTTTTATTTTTAACCTATACTCCCAATAACTCGAATTTTAGAAATGTCTATGATGAGCAATAAGTAGCTGGAAATGAGTTTGAAAATATAAAAAACTGAAACGTATCAAATATTTATCAAAATCATTGTACAAATGGGGCGTCCAGTTGCAAAAATTGTTTAAAAAAATGGCCTTACAGTTGGGGGTTGGAGCCTTTGGTGTTACACAGCAAAATAAAAAACTAAATCACCACAATACACCAAAACATTTTTACTTTTACACTAGACGCGCGCTAACCAAGTTTAGTTTTAATGATCAGCAGATGATTAAAACTAAACTATAATCTACGATTTGAGCGTTTATATACTCGCTCAGTGGGCACCGAGATCTAGCCAACCGAGTCAGAGCCCACCGAGCGTAACAGTTAAATTTCCGCCACAAGAGTAGTAGGAACAAAGAACTTGAAGGAATTGGACCGTTGTCTCTGTTCATACTATCTTTAAATTCATTAATTCTGATGCTTTCATATGCATCTAATTGCCTGTAATTTGAGACTTGTTTGATTAATTTTAAATTATTAAAATCTATATAATGTTCTTTATCAACAATATTTTCAGCAAAGCAAGATTTATCCGGTCTATATAGTACCTAATGTGATTACTTATGATTTTTTTCTTGCTAAATGCTCTATATATACAGGGTGAGTCTTAAATAAATGCAAATATTATTAGGGGTAGTATATTCCGACCCCAGAAACACGTTTATGAGTTTTTTTCGCGATTTTTTTTAATTTGGTTATGTATTCAGGTAAAAATGTAATCTCTTCATAATATGGCAACAGTAGGTAGTAGATTAAATTTACAAGAAAGAAAATAGTCATCCTACTGGAGCTGAAGAAGACAAACAAGTATTAAATTTAAAAAAAAATTATGAAGGGATATCTATTTAACGAATGGAGCTCTAATGACGGATCATTAAAATACTGCAAAATCTCCCTAAAATTTTTACGGCAATTCAATTATTATGTAAGTAATTCAGTTACTTGCAAAGTAATTTAATTGTTTTTAATTGTAATTTTAATTCCTTGAGATACGTAAAAATCAATTACAAATTACGATTACTTCATCTAAGTAATTGATAATCCAAATACAACTACTTTTTTCAAAAATTAATTGAATTACAGTAATTAAATTACTGGGGAGTAACTGAATACGATTTAATTATACAGCTCTGATTGGAAGTCGAATAGCTGTTTGAACACCCTGTATATGACATATTCAAATAATTTTTCCTAATTTACCCAACCTCATTTATGACTGCACTCCAATGGCCAACTTTTTAGTGTGAACTGTTTTTGAAAAAAGTCGATACTAACTGTGATTTTCGACCACCCCCTATACAAGGCAAATAATTTTGTAGGGAAATACCAAATTAAAAAGAATTGTACGAACAGCCCACATCATTTTTATAAACGGATCACGGATCGCCCCCTTTTTGCATTTATTCATTTACACCCCCCCCCCCTCTATACTTATTCTATAAATAATACACCCCTAAATTTGGCCAATACGCATCCTGGGGTTGACACGACGCCTGCTACATACGAGTATCGATCAAGTGATATCAGCTGTATTTTATTCGGGCAGAACTGAGATCGGCTTCTTCGGTCTTATTTAATACGTATGTTATATACGTGAGATTGAAATAGCGCGAAAGTAAAATAAAGAATTATGAATCCAGAAGAAGCGATCACAAAACAGGAAGAAACCTTACAAAAAAATAAAGAAGAATGTGAATCAAGTATTATTGAAAAGGTGGAGGTGGAGCAAAATCAGAAAATTATGCATCGAATTGAAATGGACGACGTGCTGGAAAAAATTGAAGTTCCTTTCAAAAAAATCCAGGAAAATTTGTATTTACTTGCCGTTGATTGTAAAGAGGATATAGAGGTATAATAAGTAATAATGTTTTTAATAGATTAGCATAGTCCCGATTAAAAATTATAATTTTCTACTGAATTATTTAAATAAATATATAAATTATTATAGTAAAATATTTTCCAACTCCACCGACGGCAGATTTTCTTTTTTTAAAATGATCCCTCTAGTATTTACTACATTTTTTGTCTCTTGTAAAAAAACGCCACCGTGCATACTTTTTGAAGAAAAAAAATATTTTAAAAGCTGACTTCCAAAAATTGTTTTTTGTCGCATCAAGCCATGGAGGCGCATAAAATATATTATGCTCTAATAATCTAGTTGGCGAAAATATGGAATTTTATGCTAGTATCACGAATTATATTTGACAATAGCTTTAAAAAATTAGTAATCTTTAAATTACAGTTCGGGTCTATTTTTGATTGATGCCCTCTATCGGACAAACGAAGCACTTTTGTATAAAGGTAAATTGTGTCCGGTGAACTTATTTTGATCCAAAAAATACGTAGATGTTCGATGTCCACGGAATATTGGAACTCCCTGTATATTTTATAGGTCTGCTTTGGAAAAAAAATCTCCAAAAATTGTTTTCGCAAAAACTATGCCATGTGGCGTTTTTTTACAAGAGACGTAGTACTTCTATGTCTATGGAATATTGGGACACCCTGTATATACATTCAGCAAAAAAATTTACATTCAACTAAAATTAGAAAATAATTTATACCCTTTGTTTATATCTATGCTGTCCTGCAACACTGCATCGGGTATTTGTAGCCTCTATAATAAAAAACTTAGAAATTTTGTTTGTGCAAACTAAAGCCACACAGACTAAAGTATAAGTATGTATGTACCAGGATATATTTCAGGAAAATATTTAACTTCTACAGGGTGGTTCAAAAAAATATGAGTGGATCAGGATGATTTTTTTTATACTCCTACTTTTGCCTTCCTCCTTAATTACTTTACATAGTCCTAAGTTTGTATTATATTTATTTTGATAGTTTTAGAGATATAAATAAATAAATATGAAAAATATATTTTTCAGCCCTTTTCCCCCCAAAAAATATTAAAAATACTAGAAATGTCCTGAAATCAAAACTATACTAGGTGTTTACTAATAGTAACAGATAAATATCGTAATCTTAAAGCATACAGAATGTTCTAAAGCTTTCTAAAACATAACATAATTTCTCTAAGTTTTTTTTTAAATGGAACGTCCTGTATATCATTTTTTTTGTTATTTCAATTCTTGTTGAATAAAAAAAACGACAGCTTGTCCATTTTATCGCCGCATCCTCCGCCTCAGTCCTTTTTAAAATACCGCGAACAGCTATAGTGTTTCTAAAGCATTTTAGTAATAAAATAAATAATTATCTGATAAAGATTGCTTATAATGACAACGATCCAATTTCTAATAAATTTTGTTTCAGAAAACTGTAGAAAAAATACAAAACATAACTCGAGTCACATGGTCGGTAAAACAAACCAGAAAATTCGAAGCTCGCTCCAATCGAACTTTAACCCTATTCAAAAGGCTCTACGGCTGCCATATGGCAACCCGCAGAAGGGTCAAAACCAAAAATATCAAACGGAAAAAGTCCAGGAATATCGACTGTCCCGCACAATTAATAGTGACGATAAGACGGTTTATTTCCAACACCAAATCCAAGAATAGAGAGTCGCTACTCGATAAAAAGTTTCCTTGTTCGTTCGAGTTCAGAAACGACCACAATCATCCACTAGACACTGTTGAAATATTAAAAGCCAGGCCTGTAGGAGACGAAACCAAACAAGCCATTTTGGATCTTTTAAATAAAGGGCATTCGTGCGCATCGGCTTATCACACTTACTACGTCATAAAGGCTGAGGAGTTCGGGCCGGATTACAAGGACAAAATGACCGATAGATACTACTTTCCTAAGAGAAACGATATATCCACTTTGTGGAAAATGAACAATTTTAAAGAAAAAAACGAGAAACAAAATGGAGATTATACCCATACCATTAGGAATCTAGAAGACATATTAAATTCCTACCAGAAAAAGAACGGCACCTTATACAGGATATCCGTTATCAACGACTCCTACGTCGTCTGTATTTGCACGCCTCTGATGCAGAGAGCTGTGCAACAGATATCCGAAATCTTATTCATAGATTCATCGAGTAGTGAGGTAAAAGAGCATAAAATATATTTTATTTTAACTCAATCCTCTGTTGGAGCCTTTCCTATCAGTTGTATTATTACCAACAGTCATAATACAGATATGTTCAGCGAAGGCATGAGACTATTTTTTGATATGATTAATATTCAACCTTCCATCGTGCTCACGAGTGCAGAAATAGTAGAAGAAATAATATTGCAAAAATTCTTTCCATCGTCCAAAGTAATTTACAGCTTTTATCACACGTTGAAGTCTTGTTGGAGATTTTTACATGATATAAGGTAAATAATAGTATAATCTAACTGGTATTTCAAAAAAAATTGTGTCTGCACTATGTGCGCATATTCGAAGTGAAACTTCCGTCCGTTTGTCTGTCCTTCCCACCCCGATGAAGATGTAAACGAAACGTGTGGGACCGTGTACACCGTCGCTCACATAGCCTACCCATCAAATTTGGTCGTGATCGGACATCAACTTTTGACATTTCTTACGTCACAACTGTCACAGTGATACGTGTACACGGTCAAACTGGCCTTGGTTAAATCTATCAACATACCAAATTTCATTTAAATCGGACGATTTTCTCGCCATTGATGATGGAGTTTCATAGTGCACGAAACGTCGTCAATATATCATGAAAAGATGGGGCTCTTTAAACCCTATCTACATGCCGAGTTTCAGTCTCCTAGCTCACGTAGGGCCCCAGTTTAGATCCAAAGACCCATTAAATCTAGGGTTTCTCCAAAAATCCTATATGGGTATTTCGCTACTGCAAGAAAATCTACAAAATAAAATTAGTTATTTTTTGTAAACACTTCTGGCGTTAATCCAACTACTTGTCAGAAACATCAAGGGCATCATCAATGGCGAGAAAAAATCGTCAGATTTAATTAGGGTTACCAACTTTTTTTTCAAGAATAGAGGACGGGAGGGTAAAAAAGCGCCACAGGCAAAACATTCTTTAAAAACTCGCTGAAATGTTGTCAAGAAAAAAAAATAAATCTAAAAATCTAGGGTTGCCTAGGGTTGTTCTCTTTTCTCACACGCATTGAAATTGTCCTCTTTTTTGACACCAAACTCAAAATCTAAAAAATATTCGTCTATCGCCAACAACAAAAGTTTTATTAAATTTGTTAATCAGGCAACAATGTGTCTTTCTTGTGGAACTGATGAACATGTTTAGCAGCTCTTTTATGTTTACTTATGTTTTAAACAATTGCTTTTTCTACTCTAACAAGTTTTTAGTAAAAATATTTTTAAGAAAGTAAGAAAGACCGTATAACATTTACATTTCTTTTGAGTAAATTCTTGACAACATTTGAGCGAGATGTTTTCCTGTGGCGCTTTTTTACCCTCCCGTCCTCTATTTTTTAGTTTGAAAGTTGGTAACCTTAATTAAATCGGACGATTTTTTGGCCATGGGTTCATGATGAGTTTGATAGTGCACGAAACGTCGTCAAAATATCATAAAAAAGATGCCAGCCCCATCTAAATTCCGAATTTCGGCCCCTTCAATCTCAACTTCCTCATTGGCTTACCACTTTCTCGATCGTTACCACTTTTATGACGCGTAGCGTGACGCTAGGTCGTGTGTCGCGGCCTTGAATTTTTACTCCCATCGCGCGTAAAGAAGTTTCACTTCAAAAACTAAAACTTCTTTATCCATTGCTGGGTGTTTTTAATGTTTTTGTATAGGCTCTTTACCAGTAGAACACATCAAGTTCTCTTTAATTCGTCAAATTTTTCTCTGACGATCTCTGGATATTCCCCAATTCACATTTTTATTTTAAATTAATAATTTTTATAATAATTTTAAATTAATAATCTAATTTATTTCAGACATGAACTAGCCAAAGGCAAAAAAGAATCATACTATCAGTTATTCAGAGAAGTGGTATTTTCCGATAATGAAGAAAGTTTGGTAGTGTCACGTCAAGTCTTGGCGGTAGAGTGTACGCAACCCAAATTTTTAAATTTCATAGACACAATGTACGAATCAACCAATTTATGGTGTCTATTTTATCGGTAAGCACGTTAAAAATTATAGCACAATGATAATATGTATCTAGATGTTCTAATTTTCAGCCAGTTCATATTATTACGAGGAACAGACACTTTTAATTATAATGAAGCTGAAATATCGTTCAGACTGTTTAGGCTTTTATCTGAAATTCCTTTAGATAGAACTAAGCACTTCAACGCAACCCAAATGGTCGATTTTATGTGCTGCGCTTTCGAAAAGTATTACAGAAACAGAATCCTCGAAATAGTGCTCTGCAAGGAAAGTAGACAGTTGAAAGAATGGTATATCAAGAAACCACCCCTGGACGACCTGCAAATGCAAGATATCGGTCATCATCAGTATCTTTTCAAGAGTGTTCGACGCGATTCTCCAGAGGCGTATTACCAAGTGGACATGATCACAAATATTTGCACTTGTTCTTATGGCATCCTCGGCAAAACCTGCGAACACGCTTCAGAAGTGATCATACGCTGTAACATTTTTATGCCGTTATTATCAGTGGAACAAAAGGCAGCTTACTATTTCGTAGCAACCGGAATACTAAAGCATAAAAACTCGTTTTTACCTAGTCAAGAAGACTGTGGGGATGAAGAATACAATATAATTTCTTGCAGTCCAAAAAGAAATATAGAAATGGAGACTTCCGCAAATGTGGATCCTTCATTTGAAGCCTGTTCTAACTATGAAAGCACAAAAAATAAATGGATAGCTTACTGTAACCAAGTCCTGCAACATATGGAGAAAGATCCTGGCAAATTCTTGCCTGCTATCAACGCGCACCTGGAAAATGTACAGAAATACTCAACATCAATTCCATTACTTTTGAAAGGACTGTATGCTGGATTTCCTTATAAAGGAGATGCTGAAAAACTACCTCCTCTAACTATAATTAACAAAACAAATATCGTAGACAAATGTTCAGTCAAAACTTTCCTAAATAAACCAGGAACAGATACAAGTCATAATAATGCGAAAAATCATCAGTCTTCAACCGTTATAAAACAGCTTGACCAAGACGCATGCGATAAACCAACAAGTATACCGATAGATCAAATACCGTTGACTGAATCTTCATGGGGCAACATTAAAAATCCGTCTGAAACAACCCAAGAAATATCAATTCACGATAATGCAACTGTAAACATAAAAAACACAGATGAGATTTTAGAAAACAAGCCTATTATATTTTCTGAAGACGATCCACAAAGTATAGGGCTGACAATTGACACAAATCGGATAGTCAAAACAGAAAACGATTCATTGTTTGACGTTCCCAAAGAAATTTACGTTGATCAATCGACCCTGGACGAATTGTCGCAATGTGAAATGGCAGTTTTGGATGAAAAGAAAGGAATACTTATTATACCATTATCACATTGAATGAGATCACAAACACTGACTGTTTATAGTCTATGTCTAGTGATATAATTAATATAATAGACAACTGTCACTGTCTTATATTCCTGCGCTGTATAGTCCATAGCTGTTTCATGACTAGTGAGAATTAACTATATTTATGAATCGCCAATATCGAATTTTGTTACATATTACCAAATAATTATTATTAAATAATATTGTTTGTATATATGTTACGGTTAAGGTCCGATGTCCGGTTAATGTCGACATTACCCGGTTAATCTCGAGAATAACACACAACAAAACAACCAAAAACATAACCAAACCCAAACATTAACCTGTCAATAACATATATATATGTTTTATGTTATTCATTAAAATAATTAGAATATAAAGCACGTTACACCTGGTTTATTTTAATACCCTGGCACCTAACCTAGCCTAAATTTTTTAATATATTTTCCATGTAATTAGAAAGGTAAGCATTATGTCAAAAGATATAGAAAATGTTATTTAATATTGTGGCATTAGTGGGCATCAGTATATCTTCTGAAAAAAGTGGAAAGATAAAGTCTCCAACGTCCAACAAGAGTTTAACAAGTTATATGTATGAATGAGACGCTCCAGAGCAATGACAGTTATTATCCATCATTTTAATTCACAAGTGAATTGTATTTTCTGTCTGTTTTTTGCTGTAATCTGTGAAAATATTCCCTGGTTCTTTGGAGAAACTTCAGCAATCAATTAGTCGTTTGCATAACAATTACGTTACCAGCCAGTATATAAATAACCCAAGCAGGATATAAATTTATATTACTTCCATAACTACTTTAGCAATTGTTTTCAACAGAATAATTTTAGTTACCGTGGAAACTCCTAAAGTATTGTAACGGATTCCGTGGGTCCACTAATTTAAACTCACGATAAAATACTTAACGATTTATTATCTCACTTTATACACACAATTTATACTAATTATTATAATACACAATTAACTACTTATAAAATTCCTTCGCTAAATTGTCCGATTCGCAATAATTTAAAACGCGGTATATTTAAACTTCAAACTGTCCCAATTGCCGATTACGCGGGGTTATATACTCTACTGACTGTTTCTCGAACCTTCTAAAATTCTCATTACTTCCTACTGAAAAATTCCACCGCTGCCCGATTCGCTTTTGCACTTAGTTAAGAGATGGCGCTTCAACAAAAACGTCTTTCACTTTCTGGCGAATTCGCCAGGTTTATCTATACACATTGCGACAATGTAGGAAACCAGCAATACAGTTTAGCGCCACATACACCTTGACAGTATGCTAAAATAAGTACTAATAGTACTTTAAAATATACCTTAACATTTTGATACTCTCAATGAAAAATATTAGAATATATTACTAATAACAGTATTTTTACATGATGACAGCGCTTTCAGATGGAGCGGAGCGTCCGCGCTGTTCGTCTGCGTGTTTTTTCAAGATAGCCATCGGACGAAATCATCCGGACGGAGCATACGCGAACCATGTGAAATTGTTCATATAAACTCATGGTACTTGCTCGAAGTCGCGGTCTGTCCGCTCTACCTGACAGCGCTGTAATTATTACTTGTGGAAATAAGTGATAATTGTATTTATATTTCCAAAATCTTTATGAAAAATAAATCCCAATAGGTATCCCCAAATATTTTTATTCTCAAATAAAAAAAGATATTTAAATCTAATAAAAGAAGTATTTATTATAACAATATACAAGACAATAGTTTTAATTTCTTAAAGCATAGGAATGAAAATATACATTAAATTAATACTATAATAGATTTCCTGTTTCAAAATCAGCCCTTAATTTATTTTAGTCACTTAGAAGATCATCATCCAAGTTGATATCCTATAAGAAATCATATCTCTATGTTGAATAAAATAAGAATAATTATCGAAAACTCACCGTAGTATCAATGTTATCGTCTAAGTTGACGCCCTCTAGATCTAAATCAATGTCGTCGTCGTCATCTTGTAACGATCCTGCGCTTGTTATGGGTAGCCTACAATTCATCAAATTTAAGAACATAATTTGTAAATAGATAGAGTAAGTATATTTAAAATATGTACTTGTATTTACTATATTTACTAAATCTATTTACTATCCCAGGAAACCAAAGACATCTAAATCGGTAGACAGAACACTCATAAAACTCAATTTTTTATGGTGCGTTTAGACTTGATCACGCACGAGCTGAGCGTGCGCGCACGGCATTCATTCGCGCTCGCGGCTCCGTTTAAATTAAAAACATATTTTTCGATGAATGAAGTGATCCACTTGTGCGCGCACAGCAGGGTTGTGTTGATGAAAATAATGGACGACCAAGAAATAGTCGCGGCTGCATTCATTGTTATGCACAGCTTAATTATTAAAAAAGAAGAAAAATCTAAAACATCGTCGCTGGTGGCAAACCCAAATTTTTAGAAGTCGACATAATTTATTAAACAACTTAGTGTCTGAGGAGGGCTATGATCAATTCAAAAACTTTACAAGAATGACCAGGCCCGACTTTGAATATTTGCTAAATTTTATAACGCCAAAAAATTACGAAAAAAGATACAAATTTTAGAATAGCAATATGAATGATCCCAGAAGTCTTTTCATTTTTTTCTGCTTCATTAATATCCACATGTTCAATATTAATTTTATTTACGGTCTTGCCATGCGTCATTTTTTTGAATTTTGAATAATATGAAGAATGTTTAACATCCCATAATATCGGCAACTTTTCATATTATAGCTTGAATTAATAATAACGAAGATTCATTGGTCTACTCCACAATTTTAAAAAGAAAACGAAAAAAATCACAGACGCACGCACGCATGCAGACAAAACAAATTGCCGGTGCATACTGAGCGTTCGCGCACACATAAAATCCCTTTGAGCACAGACCAAAAACCGACACCAGACGGCTCACGTTCGCAGCTGCTCGCGCACAGGCAAATTCAGAGTGAGCGTGCGCGCACAGCCGTTTACACTTGAGCATTTGCGAAGGATCAGTGCGTGCGTACCCAAGTCTAAACGCACCATTAGAATCATACATGGTTTGACACTTTTATGAGAAAAGAGATGGGTTCATAAATATGACAACACGGTTGAGTTTCGTCTATCTTTCTGTCATTTGGTTCTATCAGTGGCGTGATGTTTTTTTTTATCAAAAACTGATAAATTTTATCAAAAATTGATTGGGTTTGGTTTGGTTTGGACCTCAGACCAATTTTCAATTATAACTAGTTTTGCCTGAGGTCTAACTGAGGGTAACTCTAATTTCACAGTCGAAAGCGCCAACAAATAAGAAAATATACGTATTTTTGTCACAATCTACTTATAATTAAAAGTATCTAGATACGCTACTGTAAGCATGGCGCTAAAGGTAAAAAAACGTAATGACACTTACCGCCGAAATATCAATTCTCCCGGGTTAGAATAATCCACCTTTTTACAAACTACGCGCTGGCGAACCATCGTAGATAGTTAAAAACTACTTTAAATAGTTTTCTTTGCAATAAACACTAATATAATTATTAGAAAGTTGTTCAAAAGCTGCAAAAACTTTCAACTACCGCAGAAAACTCACAACCGCGCGCTGTCAAATATAAGTTGTATGAAAACAAATAATGAAAACTTCAAATGTCAGCGTAATTCCTACAGATTTCGACAATTTCGTAGTAAAGATCAATCCGCAGCGATGCCGCTAGTTGTCATTGTAATTTCCCTAATATAATTTAATTAGAAAACTAAAAATAATTTCAAAGGTATAATCCTGGCACAATCTATGTATAATAATCAAAGTTATATACCTATACAAATATTTAGTTTAACGTTTCTATAGGTGCCCAAAAAACATTAATAACAATAATAACATTTGGAACTCGAACCGTATTCTATCACATACCGCGTAAATCTGTTATCATCGATTTTTGCGGAACCGAATTCGTGATCGCGATAAAATCTAAATTGTTTTGTCTCCCTTTATTTAGATGTCTTTGCAGGAAACCCTTTACACTGCATAACTATTTTACAGTCTCAAAGGGTATATATTATATAGGAACTTTAGTTAGGTAATTTTGTGACAGATATACATAATAATATAGTATTAAATAAATACCTGGTCGTCGGTCGAATTATATTTTGAGGCTGCGTCACAGACGAGCCTGGAACAGCAGCGTGCGACGAACCCTGACCTTGAAACTCGGCGATTACGTTCCTTTCATGGTTTGGAGTGATTTGATTGGCCTGAGATGCGGGAACCAGGTTTGTTTGGCCTTCCATATATCTTTGAGCGAGAATCGCCTCAGACAGACCTATAATTTCTCTGTAATTATCCGTTATGGAATTTTTGTTATTTACATTTACCTGGAAATAGATTTTCATAAGTTTTGGGGTCAGCTAAACTTTGACTGGCTTTTTCATTTGTTGCGGATAATTTTTCTTTCCATAGCTGGACCACATCTGATACTTTATCGGGTAGGTACGATCTTAAAAAAGTATATAGAAATATATAGAACCTCTAAATTGTTCTTATTCTATTTAAAAGAAACTAATTTAAGCCTAGTTGACACGGTCGAAGTGTACTTTATTGGTACGATCCAAACAGCGTCCAGGTGAGACGCGCTCAGCATCCAAGTGTATTTGAGCCAAGTACACTTTGACCGTATCAAGCAGGCTTTAGAAAAAAAAAACATTTTTATTAAAATATTTACTATATTAATATTTGTATTTCCAATTGCGAAAACGATAAAAAAATTGAGAACATACAAAAAAATTTCACTTTAGTTCTGTTTCTAAAAGAAAAGCAATATACAGGGTGTTCAATTTGAAAAAAGATAAATTTTCTTTATTTTAAAAAAAGAACAGTCACTTCCTGAAGGTTTTCGCGCATATTTATTTATCGTACACCCGTATGATGGTGAAAAGTAGAATTAGATTACCATTATGTTATTGTAATAAATATAAAAGTTATGCAAATCAAATATCTTTATATTATTCATAAAAAAAGAGGAAAGTTCAACTCATCTCTTATTCTATTCTCGTGAGAATATCAATGTAAAATCAACTTTGTTATTTTTACCTTGCAAAGAAAGCTGCTTCAGGCAATCTTCCTGTGTTAATTAATATATCAAGACATTTCTGCAAGTCTCCCACCAAGAGATAAGAAAGGAAAGACAAGTTGTGCTTTTCCTGTTCTTGGGTCGTCTCGGCTAAAGTTTTTACTAAGTGTTCGTCTCCAGAACTGGTAGCTAGAAGTAGTAGGCCACCATAGTCTTGGGCCTTCAGCATACATTCCTTTGCTTTAAAAGAAAACGTTTATATGGTTTATGACATAGTGTGATCTATAATATTAATATATATATCACTAAAAATTAGATTATCCTCATTTTAAATTGGATATTATATTTTTAAAAGAAATAATTATTTATGGATTTTCATTCATAATAAGTAGCTATTCGGGTGAGGGTACAATTTAGTCACAGATTAAGTATACTATATGTATACAGATAAAAATCTTATCCCTAATTCGTGGTACGAAATGTTTTTTATGACGATGTGCAAATGAGTAAAATTTCCTGTGCGCAAAAATAAACTCGCGTAAATAACAATAAACAGCGTAATAGAGAGATATCGCTAAACCGAATAGCGTGCCTGGACGTTAATAAGGTCAGGTGTTATTTCCTTTACGTGAGGTGGTATTAACTCTCTTCATTTATAGTTATCGGATCGGAAAAAATTCGGTTCGCGTTGCGTCCGCTATTTAAACTTAACCTAACTTTGAATTTAAAACTTTGAAATTGTTTTGTTTACTAGGTATTTTAAAATTAAAGGGCTAAAGTGCTTATTTCCAGTGCTTTTAAGGCAGGCGGCCACTGCGAGCGCAACTAAACTAAGCTAAGAATATGAAAACAAACGGTAACTAAATGAAAATAAGTTTCATCGGCCACTGGGAACGATTTTCGCTCAGTAGTCAGTTAAGTTAGCTGCGTTTTCGTATTGTGTCTATTATAGAACTAATCGCTGCGAAAACTTCGCTGGAACCTGTCACGATCACGAATTAAAATGAGCGAAACTAAACTACGATTTGAATCTTCATTAATATATTTTCGTTTAGTTTCGCTCGAGTGGCCGAGTCCCTAAATAGTCGAGTGGCCCTTACTCCCTAAATATATGTTATTTTATTACATTCACGGCACTAAAATTCTAATAATGCTTCTATAGACTTACCCAACTGTAAATTATTGGTACTCGATGCCAGTTCTCCTAACTGGCTCCATTTTTGCGGATTATTAGCCTCAATAGCCAACGCCCTGGCCATATTCAAATCTTCCAGTGCAATAGCCAGTTCAAATTTATGTTCTGGATCGGTAGAAACGGCAAGCGCTTGTTGTTTAAAGCCCTGCTTCTCTAAGAAATGTGCGACGCGAGTTCTATGCTCCTTTGGTATAGAGGGCAGCACTCTATCAGCTGTGGCAAAGTCTCGGCGCATTACCGCAGTTTGATATTCAAGTACCTATGGTAATATTAAAATACTTTAAACACAGCAAACAGAAGTATTTGGTTTCACTTACTGATAATAACAGGTGGTAGCTAACCACACCTAATTCCTTATCAGCTAAATATAAACGGTCATCTTTTGGTACATAACCGAGAACATATAGTGGTCTGTCTAGATGAGCTATGGTCACTAATTCACCGCCAACAAAATAATTGATGCGGTTTACTGCATTAGTATAAATAAAACAGTCTCCTACCCACAATCCAGTTTTAACACTTTCATTCACCTAAATATGTAACACGTATAACTAAGGCCATCTATATCAGAAAAATAATTTACCTCTCCTAAAACATCGAAGGCTGATTCGACACCATCTTCGGCCACTTCATCATTATCCCTCGCTTTTTGTACCTGATCAGCATCATATGATAAAATATAGTAACTATCTTCTTCTGCCAAGCATACGAGTTTTCCACTAAAGTCAATATAAATCAACTTTAAAAATTAACTAAATCTACATTATATTAAACTGACCTATCTGACCAATAGACTGCTCTAGGTTGTATTTCAATTCTTCTGATAAGTTCCAATGTATCCCAATCATAAAAACTCAGTCCTGCTGCAGATCTGACACCTAATAAGTATCCACCAAATATTCCCTCGGCAGATGAATCAGATTTAAATTGTTTTTTCTCTTTGAAATTCTTGAAAATCTTAATGGATGATCCTGATTCTCTAATAGCATATTCACTTGAATCTTGGGCCCATACAAATTCCTGTGCACTACCAAATGCTTTATTTCTTAGAGCCATGGCAGTATAAATTATGTACTCCCCATCTCCACACACAACAACAAATCTGCCATTAGGATTATGTTGTATAGTTTGTGGATAAATTTCACAAGCACCCATATCTTTAGTGGCTACCGGAAGCCTCTCCCCATCTCTAATTTCAGCTCCTATCACAAACAGCTTTATTTATATCATAAATCTCAATTTTATCTACAAACCTTCAGGCAAAGCTTTAAGATTTGCTTGTTGAAGTTCACAATGTTTAGCCCAAATTATTTTTCCACCACTAGCATCCATACTTACAGCTGGTTCTTCCCTACCAACCTTAACCATTATACTTCCTGTAAATAAACTTTCCACTAGTAACTGATTATATTATCATAATATGTCACATACCTTCATCATATGCAATAGCTACATTATTTGATCCTTTCAGGCAAGTTATAGCCCAAACTCTTTCAAATCCATAATTAAGACTGCTTTCCAAACGATGTGTATTGGCATGCCATACCCGAACAGTGCCATCTTCACCACCTGTTCAGTAAAAAATATAATAAACATGATCATCATAAATAAATCTACAAACCTGTAAGAACAACAGGTAACTCTGGATGAAAACAAACAGCTGTAACATTCTGTCCGTGACCCTCTAACGTTTGAACACAAGTCTTGTTCTGATAATCCCAAATTTTCACTAATCTATCATCAGCTCCAGAAATTAGATATGGTTTATCACCTCCGTGATAGTAATCAACACAATTTACCCCCTTTTCATGCCCTTCAAGTGTAAAGTTGGCTGTAGGTGATCCTGAAAGATACAGTTCGACATAATAGATTCAAACAGCAAGTCACTATAAAATATTCCAATTACCTACCTAATTGCCATACTTTCAAAGTTCTATCTAATGAAGCACTGGCAAATGTATTATTATCCTTTGGGTTTATGGCTATTTGCATGATATAATGAATGTGGCCCTCAAAAACTTGTTGACATGACCAAGACTTTTCCCAGTTCCATAATTTAATGTTCATATCATCTAAAAATGCAATAGCAAATTGTCAATTCCATAAATTGTATCCATGTACCTATTATTTCATCATCTACTACTTACCACTGCCTGTTAAAATATAGGGCTGTGTTGGATGAATAACAATAGATCTAACATAATCTGAATGTGCCTCGAATTTATGTACACGCTCTAATGTGTTATAATTGAATACTCGTATGCACATATCATCCGATCCACTAACAATCCAATTTTTTCGGGGTACAAATTTAGCAGCTCTGACTGGCACATCACATACCTCAAATGTTTTAAGACACTGCTGATTTTCATGATTAAAAACGTTAATAATACCACTATACAATGAACACAACATCCATGGCTCTGTTGGATGTAAATCTACACATTTTACTCTTTCTGAGCGAGCTGTTAGTTTTCTCTTTATATCTAGTCCTAGCGGCTGAAATATAAAAAACCCTGTAAGAGACATGAAACAAACTTAATGGTTTATAATCTTACCATCGTTAAAAATTATTAATACCGCCCAAGTTTAGATGTTAAAGCGGTTTTACAAATAAATTTGACACGATTTCATAAACACATCAGCAAGTTGTCAAAATTTTTTTGAACATAACCCTAAAGAAAAATACTGTGACGTGGATGTTGCCAACTTAGTAAAAAATATAAAAAAGTCTTGATCATATATTAAATTTTCATATATAAATTAGTAATTAAAACTTAGAAAAAATAGGTATGCAACTAAAAATACACTACACACTTATTTTTCAAATCTAGAAATCTCTTCCACATATAAAATACATATAGGTACATATTTTTTACCAAACTGGCTTTCAATTTTAAGCTTATTAACGGGAAATCAAGTGAAACATAATCAACATAAAAAAACATAATATATCTTTTATATGTATATTTAAAAATATCAACAACTAAGAGAAAAGAAAAATCTTAATCAAATAATTGCAAATTATCAAATTTTTCAGTATCATAAAAATGCGCTTTAACTTGGCGACCACCAAAAAATCGTCCATTAAGATCAACAACAGCTTTAATGGCACTTTCAATTCTCTGGAACTCAACAAATATCCTCACTGCCTCTTCAGGAATGTCAGTAGTAATTTCATGTATTATAACACTTGTAACTGGACCATATTTTGTGTTACATTCATCTTTAACTTCAGGTTCCAGATCATCATCAACTTCCCCAGGTCCAACCATATTTTTGAGTAAAACCACCTAATAAAACCGTTTCAATTACCTATAATATAAAAGAAATAATAGTAATTATGTTTAGTACATACCTTGCTAGGATTCTTCATAATTTCTGTTATAGGAGGCTCTTTTTGGAGGCTATCAATTGGAGGTGGAGGAGGCATAATATCTTTTTCATGAACAATTCTACCGCCTCTCTTAGATGTTTTTTCCACCTGAAGTGCACTCGACATACCCTGTTCCATTCTACCAAGACCCTGTCCTTCTTTAAATCCATATCTGAAAAATGTCACATGATCATTATTAATATCAAAAAACCATTTGTATTGCATTAAGTACATACCTTGCCATAATTTTAGCAGCTACGGAACCTCCATAACTACTGGGCTGTGGCTTATTGGGCATTATAGGTACAGGATCTGGCGTTGATTCTTGCAAACTAGGCGGTGGAGCTATTGCAACACCACCGGATGGTCTAGAGATCTTTGGCCTTTCCTCTTCTTCTTCGTCATCTGCCCAACGACCTAATAAAATTTAAAATTTACCAATGCATCTATCAATACCTATATACCTTAAGAGAACAAATATTTCTTTACCAGCAAAGCCACTACTGATTGGAGGTTGACTCATTTGTGGTGCTAACTGCATTGGTGCTACATGAGGAGGAGTGTCATCTGGATCACTAAACCTGCTTTTACGCTTTCTGTCTTTCCTTTTGTCATTGTCCCTGTCTCTATCCCGATCTCGATCTCGGTCTCTATCACGGTCCCTATCTCTATCTCTGTTATCTCGTAGCTCTTTTACAACTTTTTCATATTCATTAGGCCATAGAGGATCGTATTCATCGATAACTTTCCAATCAAATTCGCTGCCATATATTCCTCCACTTAGGATTGGTAACCTATTATCGGATCTTGTAAACGGGAGAATTTCATCGTCGTCCCGTTTACTTTTGAGGTCTATAACCGGAGCGAGACTAGCTTTCCTAGCTGCTTCACGTTTCGGTTGGGTAATTGTGGCTTTCTTGAGTTGTAATTGGGACTGCAGCAATTTTATACCTGAAGACCAGCCCTGAACCTTTTCTGAAGCTGTTGTCTTAACATCATAGTCATCATAAAGTGACATATTGTACCTATGTGTAAGAACTTTTGGTAAACTTTTTTATTATTTATAAATTAAAAACACTATTTTAATAGATGCAAAATCCATTTATTAACAAAACGCCAAAACAAGAGGCCATCAAGAGGCCAAGGCCAAAACTGTCAAAAAAGAAAAAAGTTCAAAAAAAAGTCTGGCACACAGGTCTGGCAACCGGCAAATTTAAATCACAGATTTAAATGTCAAACCGATTGCCTTCTGTCAGGTCCGTCATAATTGTCAAATGCCACTTGAATTTCTCCTGTCATTTTTTCAGAAACCGAAGAGTGGACGTGTTACGTCAGTGTAGAATATACACAACTTGTTTATTTCTAAAAAATGCGTGTTAATTGTTATTATGTTTTGTTGTTGTTGTTTAAAATAGGTGTATTATAAGGTAAATCATTAAACTAATTCGTCATTTCCCTTGTTTTGTAGTTCCTTATATAAAAAAAATGCATTGGTAATGACCTGTGTGCCCATCCCTTTTGATTATTTTATAAAATTCTTTGTACTAATTTAGCATCAAATAGTTGATTAGTATATTTATTTCTTAAATTAGACGCAATACAACATACATTATGTTTACGTTTAGGAGTTCAATATGGTATTTCATTTATATAAAAAAGAATTATTGTTATATAAACTTTAAGCTGGTGATGTCACAACTTGCAGTTATCAATGCATTTCTACCTTTATTAAAGTATAAAAATCGCTTTAAAAACCTCATCGCACAGCACTGTTTATCGTAACTTTAAACTGCTACTGTATTCCTTTGTTATATTTATTTTTTTATGTACCATATGAACTTACACATAAAATCATTCTTCTGATATTTTTAGGTATTTATAATCAAGATATTAACATGCTATCAAGTTATTTTGACTTTGTTTTGAAATCTCCATAATTGAAATATCAGTATTTGTATATTGTTATTTTAAAAATGAATAAAGAGGATTTGGATATATTTCGACATCTAGAAAAAACACCAAGGAACAATACTGGCTTAGACCTGATAAAAGGTTTAGCAGATAGAGAGAGTGGACTTAAAACTAATCATAAAGTGAAGGAAAATGTACAAGTCTATGCAGAAGAAGAGCTTGTACGAAAACAAGAATATGTGGAAATGGTACTTTACAAGACAATGAAAAAAGGATTTTCTTAATATAAAAATTATTTTAGCGCTGTGAAATGCCGGGTTTACCGCGATCTACCTTTTTGATGGTTTTTAGTCCTGATGGTCAGAGAGCAGCTTCTACTCATGGCAACCATAACATTTATGTTACAGATTTAAGGAGTGGTAAAAATATTAAAACTCTTGTAGGGCATCCAAGAACACCTTGGTGTATAGCTTTTCATCCAACATTGGATCAAATTGTAGCTTCTGGTTGTTTGGGTGGCCAAGTACGAATTTGGGATCTGAGTGTAAGTGTAACAGTTTGATTTGGTACTCTTAAAAATATTAATACTATTTTTTTATAGGGAGGAAGTGAAGTTTGGACTGTCTCAACACAAACTGTCATAGCTTCGATAGCATTTCATCCAAATGACAGAGTTTTAGTTATAGCTACTTTTAATGAAGTATATTTTTGGGATTGGAGTCGACCTGAACCATATGTTCTCACAGCCACAAGTAACCCAAAAGAAAAAGTATGTTTTTGAAAAAAAAAATACAGATTAATGATACATCAGATATTATAGGTTCGTTATGTTGCATTTGATAAATTGGGCCACAAGCTGATAACTGGAATAGCAAATAGTCCCCACACAAGATGGGAAAGGGCTAGAGCTCCAGTTCCAGTACCCAGACAGGAAAGATGTGCTAGTCCATACAGGAGAAGAATTACACAAAGATTAGTCTCATCTCCTGGTACTGTATCTAGTCCAGTAAGTACAAATCTTTATTTTTTATTATAAATTTGTAATTTTATTGTAATTAAAGCAACCATCGGTCAATCAAGAATCTAATGTACAGGAGAGAGAGCCCACTTCAGGTGTGCTAGAAAGAGAAAGACGAATAGCTTTGTGCTATAGGAATTTAGTGAGAGAATATGAGCTTCTTGTTCATAGATATTTGCAGTTATATAGACCTCCAACAATGGTTAGAGGAGGTGAGAACTTTTTAGATTAAGTTTAATTAACACTTATGTTTTTAGATTGATAGGGGAACTGATCCAATGGAACCAAATCATTATACTAGTGGAACTCAAACTGCAGAAAATGCTAATAGTGATATATCAATGCCAGGACCCAGTGGCATTAGGGCTTATGCAAATAATTTAGCTAGTTCTAATAATTCTGAAAACAACTCTGTACCAAATCAGACACCATCGGGTAAGTTTAAATATGTATCAGTTTAGAACGATTTTGATAGTTAACTTGATAGTTTTGGGGTTAATAATGACAACAGATATGGTGACGGGATAGGCATTATTACAAAATTTAAAAATATAATATGTCTATTATAATTTTTTGAAGTATTGCACATAATATAATCTAATATTTTTTAAAAATTTTATAGAGCCAATCAATACTAATCCACAACCATCAACGTCTCATTCTCAAGGCTTAATTACACCTAGCAGAATATTTTCTGTTGGTAGGAAGCCGCCTAGTTCAATAAGGGGCACTCAAACTTTGGATTCTAGGAAACAGAAAACCGATGATGAAAGTCAACCAAATAATGATGAAAAAAGGTAATATATTTGATTTCTAAAAACTGTTCTAACTTACTACTAAGAACAACTTTGATATAAGAAAGAGAACATTTGAAGGTAAAGGTACAGAAAAAAAAAACAAACGTGTGTTTATTTTCAAGCTGAGTAAATACAACTAATGTTCAAAACGGAATATTTTTATTCTAAAAATGTGTATTCAAGATGTTTACATGAAAGTAAACTTATGAGAAAATTTTATAAAGTACTGCATATATTTTATATTTACATGAAATCGCTGGTTTTTACCTGAACGCTTGGACACAGCAATTTCTGGCCCTTGAAAATATACCGGGTGTGTCTCAAACGTGGCTCACCCCTATAACTTTTTTATTTTTTTAGATAAAGAAACGAGATTTGGTATGTTAGTATATGACGTAAATTAGGATTGATTGATGTATTCAATTGTTTTCAATCACTTCCTGTTTCACCGGAAATGAGTACTTTTGATTTTTAAATGGCACCCTCGGTATTTTTTTTCTATATTTGATAGAAAATGGCACTCTGAATTGAATGACATATTATCATATGTTAACTTTTGCCATTTTCGAATATGGTTTATTTGAAATTGTAACATGCGAATAATAACGACAATTTGGCTCATAATACCAAGTGTGTGGTACCAAATTATTCGTAAAGAAATGCTTTTTCCAAATATGCTAATGAGCCACCCTCGTTCCATTTGAAAAAATTGAGATATGATTCAAAATACGATTTGGGCCTCTTTTAACTGCCCAGGACAAGACAGAAGAACATTAGACGATCAAATATATTTTTCCAAGGCTCCTTGATTAAAAATTAGTGTTTTTAACACAGCTATGACTCCACTCTAGATTGAAATTTAAAATACAATTTTTTTAAGCGAAAATGTCAAAATTTGATATATGATATGTCATTCTATTCAGAGTGTCATTTTCTATCCAATAAATTAAAAAAATACCTAGGGTGATATTTAAACATCAAAAGTTGTAATCATTTCTGGTGAAATAGGAAGTGTCCGAAAAGAATTGAATACGTCAATCAATCCTAATTTATGTCATATATTAACATACCAAATCTCGTTTTTTATATGAAAAAATAAAAAAGTTATAGTGGTTAGCCACTTTTGAGGCGCACCCAATAAATTAAAGATTATTTTACTTAAAGGTACATTGTTTTTTCACCATTTTTGCACTGTTCTAGAATATACATCTGACAATAAGAGCGACATTAGTAATATTTCAAATTTTTGTGCTTCTTAACGTAGTTTCTCTTATATCTATTAATGTATTTTCCAGTGTAACACTCTGTATATATAACTTATATTTAATAAATATCATTTTTTTTATTCTGATTATATAAAAAATGTGATCATGCAAAAAAATGTAAAAAAGTAACATTATTATAGGGTTAAAAGAAAAAGAAGCGGTAGTGGGTCAGATGATAGTAGTTCTTCAGATGAATCATCTGCTCAAAACAAGCAGGTTCCTGAAACAGCCACAGCAGAAAACGCTACTGATCCCGAAGATCGGGTATTGGTAGTTAACTTAGAAAGACTGAGTCCCGAGAGGTGAGCAAATAATTTTATGTCAATCAAAAATGAGAAAAATATGTTAATGTATTGCTAATCTTTGAGAATACTAAAATATATTTTTTTATATTCAATTAGATTGCCATCAACATCTGCAGATAGCAGAGACAATGAGGAATTTAATATATCTAGATACAGGGCTAGCAGATATAAAAGGAGACTAGTAACTAATTTAATAAATAGTCGCAAAGGTATGTTAAATTTTCAATATGATATTTTATACCATTGTCTATTTTCTTTCATCTATCATTAAATTGAAAAGGTTGTCTGATAAGTATTGGATCAATGAAAATACTGTATTATCTAGCGGGAGGGAAGTATCCAAAAAACTAATATTTTTTGAAAATCTTTAGAATACTTAAAAAATTATGTTTTATGAGAGCCTCTGTATAATTATGAAATTTCTAATCGCAAAACAATTTCCGATGTACGTCATCAATCATATCGAAATTGACACTAAAGACTATAAACCTGACTAAATTAAATTTTTGCGTTTTTTTTGGTAGATTAAATCTGCAAAAATTGTTTAAACGGAATTTTATTACCTCTATGTTGGTCACATTGCGCCGTGTTCAGCAACATTGTCGTTTATTATTTGACAATTATCATAATGTCAGTCATTATTTTGTATAATATCCTGTTGTTAAATCTTTGTGTGCAATTCTCGTTTTTCTGTCGATTTTCATAGTTTTTTTAAGAATTGTACTTTTAAGAACTTAATTTTCGAGTTTTTGTATTGCATTTCTTGAAATTGTATGTTGAACATATGTCAAAGCATTTAAATAGATGATTGATAAACTATTTTGAACGAGAACGTGACAATAAAAGTTCTTTATTACCCTTGACGGCATCGGCAGTCAGAAAAGTATTCCGAAATAACGTATACGAAATAAAATTATAAGAAATAACTTTCAAAGTTATTTCTACTTATTTTAATTTGTCTTGAGTGTCTGTTGCCTTAAATTTAAATATTTATACTGTAAGTGCAGTTTCACAGCCTGTTAAAAGTAATGAGGCATAAGTAAAATAAGCTATAAAACAAATAAATTAATAAAATAAAAAAATAGAACGTAAAAATCTGTAAAAAATTATATAATAAATATATTGTTTCCCAACTCATTAATAAATAAAATCCGTTGTTGCAAACTTTTTGCCCAACTCAACCTATATATTTGTATTTTTATGCAGGACTCTTGCCAAGTCCGCGATTTAATGACAATTCAAGGCCTAGTGATAGAGATCCAAGAAGTACAAGAGATACTTCATCAAATAATTCTAATGTTGGAGAGCCTAACAATCGTTATAGTGAGAGGTTTAATGAATATATTAGAGCCACTAGAGAAAGGATTGCTGAATTTCGCAGGAGAAACCAAACAGTTTTAAGTACCGAAGGTAAATAACATAGCTAGAAAGTTCAGAGTATAAGTGTGGGTTTACACGCATCCCTAATGCGTCCTTTGTCGTCGATTTTATGCAATTTCATTGGTTTATTTAAAAAATGACAGCTTGTACTTGAATATGATTGGAGTAACGGAACGACGGACGACGCATTAAGGATACATACAAACTCACCTTTATCTTAACATATAGTTTGTCCAGCGAGAAAATCGATGACGGTGACAGTTGTATCTGTCATTTTAATTCATAGGTAAATTATATTTTATGCCATTTAATGGATGTCGTCTGTCGAAGTAATCCCTGACTTGTTGGACAGACTATAGATATTGGTTTAGTATTATTAAATTTTAGTTGAAAAAAAAATGATATTTTGTAGGAAGTTCAGATGCAACTTCGCAAGAAAATGCGGAAGGGGATGGAAACATATCTTTTCCCACTCTGCCTTTAAATACTGATAGAAATGTTCCGCCTACTACAACTACCCCATCTGACACCAACGGTATACATTCAGACTGGTGTTATAAAGTTATATTATTGTTACATTTTGTTTTTCAAATTTCAGGACAACAAAGCAATGTTGAACAACTTTTATCAAATATTAGAAGAACTGCTGAGGAGGAAGTAAGAAATAGGATTTTGCCAATTATAAGATCTATACCGCCTCATGATCGCCCTGAATTAATCAGGTATTACAGGTTTTTTTCATATTTTCATCTTGGAATAGTTCATTGATTTAAAAAATTAAGGAAGGAGTAAAATACTACTTGATATTCATACATTAAAGATGGAAGCGACGTCATTGAAACTCATTTTTTGTCACCCCCTGTATGTTTTTTATTTTATACTATTTCTGGTTTATTTTATAATTTATTTTCTATAAAGTTTATAAATCTAAAATGACTGTAAGCATCTAGACTTACGTGAAACTATTATGAATCTTGTACAGCTTACAATCCCCAGATTAAAATACATAAAAAAAACAATGTTACAACTTTTCATCAGTAAGTGTAGTATACAGGGCCAACGTTCAGGAAGTGATTCCTCATCAAGAAATGTGGGAAAAGGTTTCTTTAAACAGGGGCCCGGGAACGCATAGTTTTAAAAATGAAACAAGTTAAACTTTAAACACAAATAGTGATTAGTTATTGATGATAATTATATTTACTTAATAGTTGACATACTTCTTTGTTAATCTTTTTATTGAATGAAATAGACAAATAGATTTAATATTTCTAAATTATGGCTATTATAATATTTTTAATAGGCTTTTCGAAAGCAGTCGTGACCACGTTAGGATGCGTTTCAGACAAATGTATCCGGTTTTTCTTAGACGTCATTGTCGCAGAACTCTGAGAATCGACAGTTCAACAGATAGCAGCAGTTCAGAAAACGAGCAAGATCAATCTAATTCGTCGCCAAATAGATTGCCTTCTAGAGATCTAGAAATGAATATTCTTCAAGGTATAGAAATCCACATCAACCTACATTAATTGCTTCAGGTAATTGTTTTTATTTTGATATAGAACCAACTGACAGTCCCGCACCTACCGCGTCACCCGGTCCTGGTTCTACCGAACGAAACTTCAATACTGAGTTAGAACAGCTCGTCACTTCACTTCTGACCGAAATAGAAAGAAACGAAAGTGAAATCGGAAATGACGCGTCTCTGCAAACTCCACTGAATATTTCTACTGGGATCAGTAACTCGGCCTCCACAAGTAGCGCTAGGACGAGACCTTCGAGGAATTGGTTTTCTAACGAGCCCGAATTAGGAACGACTCCTCCGCCTCCGCCGCCAGGGGATACCCTGGAAAACATAATTTACGACGCCTTTTTCTCTGAACGGAATCGACCTGATTATCCTCCAGCTGCGTTGCAGAACGTACCCCCGCCTATGTTGGCGAGCAGCGATGCGCGAAACTATTTCAACACCGATACCAGGACGACAACTTCAATGAGTTACACTTCGAGCTCGTCCAGCCCTGGACAAAGGAGGAGGTTTTTCTCCCACCGGGTGTCTGCGTTTATGCCGACTCGTGTTAACTATATCAGAACAAGGTTGAGAAGGAATCCTCATTACACATGGGGTAGCGGCCGAGCAGGGATGCCCCGAACGCACCGCAATCCTCCGCTCGCACTGGACGATCTCATTAACTTTGCCGAGCGCGGAGCGAGTTCCGAAGAACGGTCATCAACCGACGGTTTTTATCCCGAAAACATCGGGATTAATAATATGTACACCAGCATGGTTCAAGACATGAACTCTTCCTTGCACGATGTTTGCAACATTAACTCCAACCCGCCGGGAGACACTTCAGATATACTAACCAGCTTTTCAGAAAGATTAGGCAGTTTTATAAACCAATCTACTACGATTCTGAGAAACATACAGAGTTCAATGGGTTTACTGTCCAATTCTAACGAAACAACTAGAAATCAAGAGAGCGAGCCTAGGTGGACTTTTAACGACTCCGGTTTTTATGTACGCGATTTGCGGAACGAGGGTAACGGCAATTCGGAAACTGGCACGGCCAACGAGTCCCTTCAAGATCTAGTGGGATCTTTGCATACCGATCACACGTACCCGCGAAATCCGGACAGTCCGCCACCTAATGATAACATAAGCTCTCCGTTAATGACATCTTTACATCTCAGCCTGACTCATATTTTGCGAGAGGCGCACGTGTTACGGCGACAGGTGGAGAGTATTGAGAGGATAGAGAGGGCAACGGCGGAAGTAGCGCAGTTACAACTAATGAGGCATCTAGTTATTGAGCTGTTCCGGCACGTAAGGTCGCTCACGGGCGAAAGTCGTAGCGCGGGAGTGTCGAGCGTGCGACAAATGATGGCAGGCACGCGGATCAGTGATTCTAGTCCTTATGAATCTCCAAATGAAGAGGCCAACCAAGTCGTGGATAATCGCCCAGGACGAGATCTTCAGCCTCGCCCAGGTATGTATTGATTGGGGTTTTATATATGGTTACGAATACCGCATTACATTTATAAACCATGATAACACTTTAACTGATATCACCATTTATTCAAAAATTGACTCGTCCTGCATATACATAAACACTTCTTGTTTCTTATATACCCACAGATGTCACTTCTGTTTGGTTTCCATTCTACAGGGTATCCCAGAAATAAGTGCATTAAGTATTTTAATTTTTTTTATTAAGGGTGGTAGATCTGGCCTAAAGAAACATATTCTCTTTACAATTTTTAAAATAAATTGAATATAATTGAATAACGGAGTTATTTAACTTTAAATTTTTTAAAGAATAATGGCATCATTTTGAGAACCGCCGACAGCAATTAATAATCAGCTGCAAATAATTAAGATCTCTGTGTTATATTACATGATCTTGGACTAAAAACTATTTATTCTAATTAATTCTGGTATTATTAAAGGAACTAGTTCAGGTACATCTAGTGCAGATCAATCCACCAATAGCAGTGGAAACCCTCAACAAAGGAGAAGTACCAACAGGAAAACATATCCTCCTTCAAGGTTTGTCAGGTAATTGATTTATAAATAACAGTAGTTTATTTCCCCTGCGTCTATTTTTCGGATTTCTTGGGCTTTTTAATTTTTTTGTAATTTTTTATGCATATAGCGAGAGAATATTATGTTTATAAAAATTTTGGAAACCGCTAGAAGCTTGATTTAGAACATATACCATCCTGGTCATTCTAAGCCAGTGGTCTCTATTTTAATTAGTAAGACAAAGGTGAGGGTAGACGACTTACGTTATAACTACTTACACAGAGACAAAGAAATACAGGATTGTCGGTTCCTACGTGAAGTAAGCATGGGTGACAATAATAATTAAAGAAGTAGAATTCGGGTATTACCATTAGGTTGCAATTCCCACAGCCCATCACTGCCGGGGAATCCCCGGATAATCATCCGATTATTGGAATCCCCAAGGATCATTACTCGAGGATTGCAATGATCTGATTATTCCCAACACTAATTAAAATTGAATTCAACGTGTATACTAATAGAATCTGAAATATGTGAGATTTTTTTAGAACTATAACAAAAATACTAATTAGTGTTGGCAATTAATGGTCATTTTTAAATTCTTAATAAAATCTGGCAATGCCGCATAGATCATCGCTGTATTAATCCATTTTTTGTCTCTTTTTTAACTTGTTGTGAATGTTCATTAGGATATCCTGGTCGTTATCCTAAACGTTGAAATCCAGACAACCGATTTAGCATGGCCAGGCCTGTATTAAGCCCAAAATTACATTCTTTCTTCACTTGTTTGTTTGCTTGATTTTCATAAACGTATATTTAGATTTGCGAGGAACTGTCAGAGACGTCCGTCAATAGTTCATTGGTTTTCTAGAAGATATTTGAGAGGAATCAGACCGGCACAGCACATCAGACCGAACACTTTTTCGAGGGCGCCCTGTATATCAATCATAACTCGTGAAAATCGTGACAGCAGCGAGTACCAGGCTCAGCCCTTAAATTATTCGACCATAAATTCCACAAGTTTATCCCAAATGACGGAAAGGCTGGAACGTTTGTTGACCGATCAAATGACGATTTTCACCAGATCACAAGAGACGCCTTCACAGTCAAGATCGGGTCCTGTGGATTTAGGAGAGCACATTCTAGCATTACGTTTACACGGTTGCTGGTTGAGAATGAACAGAATTCTTGGTGGTAATAGCGCATTTACTGGATTAAGAGGATTGAGGTCGAGTTATACCACTGCCGTATCTCAAGATGGAACTGCCAGGTAAGTTAATACTTTTTTTACTTGAGACCTCTCTTTTAATCCCGCATTAATTTTAGGCATCAGTGTTTTTTAAATTTATTCAGTTTTATTGCTATTAGCGCAGAAGTTATTTTGATATTTACATTTGTCTGATTTAGAGTTTATACAGGGTGGTCCGAACTGTATTCCGGAAACTTCGGCAGCATATTCTGCAGATAAAAAATAAATAAAAAAAATCATTTAAATTTTATAATTATTAAAATCCTCAAAAACGCCTAACGTAAGTAGCATTTTATGGACGCTTACTAACATCTCTGTTATAGTCATTTATGTTTTTTTTTATTATGTTGTTTTTTTATATAAATTTATCATTAGTCTAAGAAGGGGAATAAATATAAATTTAAATATATTTAGGTTAATCTTCGGGATAAATCCGTATTAGTGACTTATAACCCCACAATAGCATCTACTAAAGAGATGATATTTACATTTGTCTGATTTAGAGTTTATACAGGGTGGCCCGAACTGTATTCCGGAAACTTCGGCAGCATATTCTGCAGATAAAAAATAAATAAAAAAGTTCATATAAATGCATGTCCTAAAATGTTTAGTTTCGGAGATATAGGGTGTAGAAGTTTCATTTTTATTTCGATTTTTTCCAAATAATTTATGAAGTAATGTTAATATTTGGACGAAAATTGGTGTCTGGCAGTTTTTTGATATGAGAAATTTTATTTTGATGTCAATATGACTCCTATTTGTAGGGGGCGCCAGCTACATATGTTTTAAATGTTTTGAAGAGTAATAACTTTTCGTCCGTACCTGTATAAAACTACTGAGTGAAAAAATATACATTTTCGTGACTTTTTACGTAAAAAAGGTCTCTTGATAAAAATCGCTACGAACAACCGTTCTCAAAATATTTAGACACATTATTGACAAAAAATAAACACGTTGAATAGATATAATAGTTATATGACTGAAATAATAAATTTTGAGAAATTTTTATTTTTTTAAATTAATCAGAAATTTCTCTACGAAAAATGATGATAAAACAGTTTCTGTTGAACTTTTGGCACAAAAACATTTCAAATTTATGATTTCAGTCTAATAACTATTTAATCAACATGTTTAATTTATGTCAGTGATGACAGGTATTGATAATTCCGATTCGAAATATCTCGAGAACCATTACTCGTAGTGATTTTTACCAAGAGACCTTTTTTACGTAAAAAACGTCGTAAATGTATATTTTTTACTCAGTAGTTTTATACAGGTACGGACGAAAAGTTATTACTCTTCAAACCAGTTAAAATATATGTAGGTGGCGCCCTCTACAAGTAGGCGTCATATTGACATCAAAATAAAATTTCTCATGTCAAAAAACTTCCAGACACCAATTTTCATCTAAATATTGCGGTTACTCCATAAATTATTTTGAAAAAATCGAAATAAAAATGAAACTTCTACACCCTGTATCTTCGAAACTAAGCACTTTAGGACATAGATTTATAGGAACTTTTTTACTTATTTCTATCTGCAGAATATGCTGCCAAGGTTTCCGGAATACAGTTCGGACCACCCTGTATTGTACCACTATAATAGCACCAGAAAATAGCGTTGATTGTTTGGAAGTCTGACAATCTCAAAACTCGACCTCTTAACCTAACTTTTTATTTCTGTATTTTTCGGTTTTGTCGGTTTTCGGTTAAGTAATTTGATAGTTTTTTAGTTAAATTATACTTATTTATAAAAGAGTAAGAAAGATATTGAAATGTATTTTTTTTATTCAGTAGTTTTATACAGGTACGGACGAAAAGTTATTTCTATTCAAATCGGTTAAAAACATGTAGGTGGCGCCCCCTACAAGTAGGAGTCATGTTGACATCTAAATATCAGCTTTAGTTCAGAAATTATTTAGAAAAAACCGAAATAAAAATGAAATTTCTACACCCTGTATCTTCGAAACGAAGCATTTCAGGACATAAATTTATACGAACTTTTTTACTTATTTTTATCTGTAGAATATGCTGCCGAAGTGTCTCGAATACAATTCGGACCACCCTATATAACTATTGTCTAAAATAAGGAAAGTTCTAAAAAGCTACTTTACACTGTCAAATTTTTCATCAAATATCTTTTATAAAAGATCTTTGATAAAGAAATTTGATAGTGTAATAGCGGCCTCTAAAGCAGATCATTAAATAGTTTTAATGAACGTATGGTTCGAAAATCTCTGTATATGTTATTTTTACTTTAGGTATAATGCGAGACACACATTAAGCCTTATTGTGGATGGAATGAGTAGGCACATTGAAGAATTAGATAATTCAAATGTCTCCAACTCTATGCGAAGGCAAATTAACGCCGTTCTAGCAATGTCCTTGCTATTGACCGAACTCCTTCTCCTTCAAGTTACCGATTCTATTCCACCTGCAGTTACCATGACCCTTGATCCGGTAAGAGGCTCATTAGCCCGAACCTTGGACGAATTAGTGTCGGATATGCTAGGGAGCGATGTTAGCGTAGGTTCAACGCAACTGACCAGAAGTTTAGGAACGATGAGAGCCACCATGCGGAACGCACACCGAACATTGGAGCAAACTTACAATGCTAGAAGGAACGCGGTAATGCCGACACAGGGTACCGATAGGAGGCAACTTTTAGGGACCATTAATAGGTGTTTAAGAAACATAAATCGAACGCAGGAAAGAAATTCGAACAGCGAGCAAGAATCGAATGGTGAGGGTAGTTCCAGCTCGAGGCCGGCTAATAGTGGGACCAGTAGTACTAATGAGAACGTTACCGAAGCGTGGTATAGTACCATAAACGATTTAATAACAAGGTATTCAGATAATGCAGCTGATGAGGCGCAGAATCAACCTTCGACGTCAGGAGAGAGGGCAGAAAATAGGGAAACTCTGTCTCTGTCTAGTACAAATGACAATAGGTATGTGTGAATTTTATTGTCTTAAATGTGTATTGTAATGGCAAAACATTTTCCGATGCACGTCATCAATCATATCGACATTGACACTAAAGTCTATAAACCTGACTAAATTAAATTTTGACAAAAATGTTTAAATTTGTTGTATAATTCAAGATACCGAGCAGCTCTTCATTTTACTTTATAGAGCAAATGATTGTAACAGATATTTTATTTAGATTAAACCTGCAAAAATTAGTTTAAACCGAATTTTATTTTGGCTATGTTGGTCACGTTGCGCCGTTTTCAGTAAGGTTGTCGTTATTTGACAATTATCCTAATGTTATTTTGTATAATATCGTGTTGTTGAATTTTTGTGAGTAATTCTCGTTTTTTTGCCTATTTTCATAGTCTTTTTTTAAAAATTGCACTTTTAAGCACAAACAGTTCTTTAAAGAACTAAATTTTCGAGTTTCTGTATTGCACCAAATTACACCACATTCAAGCTATAAAACAAATAAATCAATTGATTACTAAAATATTAGTTATTAAATTAAAAATAAAACGTAAAAATCTTTAAAAAATGATATAAGAAATATATCCATCACAATCTGGCAGCGCTGTCGCCATCGCTTGTCACTCGAAAGTTGATGCGATTACTATATATTCATTCATAGCTCCTTAGGCCCGTATTTATAGTCGTGTCTCAAAACGCGACTCCAGTCACGAGATGCAAAAGACCGACAAAAATAACAGGCTTACGATTCGTTGCCCGTATACACGCGCCTAGTAAGCCTGTTATTTTTGTCGGTCTTTTTGAAGGCCCAGTTCGAGACGCGACTATAAATACGGCCCCTTAGAATTGTTATCAAGACTCGTTTACATCTCCAGTTATCACTCAGATGCAAAAAAATGCAACGGAACATTTTTACACAACAAACAATTTTTTTTAACAAATAGCTATTGTCTAAAATATATTACATAAAAAACTGTACATTTAACTTTACATATTAAATATATTTCAGTGATGATGATCCAGACGATCCAGAACCCGAGTGGTACTACCATCGCAACACCGATTCTTCAAACAACAACAGTAGTTTGTACCGAACCAACAACGTAAATTTAGTTCAGCCAAGTGAACCTAGTTATCCTCCGAGACTATGGAGCGTACCGTCGGTTCAAGTTAACGACGTTCCTGTATCAGAACCATCATTTTTTGCTCAAAGATTGTTGCCTCACAGACAAAGGGTGTCAGAGTTAAGGTAAGTAACTCTGAGAAAAATATTCCGAAATGTAGAGTTTTCTGTATATATGTTGTTTTATTGAATTTCACAGGTCTAATCCAAGAGTCGGCATATTTAGGCCTAGATTCCTGCACCCGCTCTATGCTCACGTCAATCCATTCGACGCAGACTTGGATGATCCGCAGAGAGACAGAGACCAGATATACGATGGAGAAATGCTTGCCACAGTAACACCCAATCATAGAATACAAGCCTGGGATATTTCAAATTGGACAGTTCCATCAATAAGTAATTGTAAGTAAAATATAAGCATATCCATATTTGTTAACTGGACTTTCCATATCCTGAACAAAATTTTTAATACGTTAATCGCAAAACACTTTCCGATGCACGTCATCAACCATATCGAAATTGACACTAACTAAATGAAACTAAATGAAATTTTGGCAAAAATGTTTAAATTTGTTGTATAATTTAAGATACCGAACATCTCTTCATTTTACTTTATAGGGCAAATGGTTGTAACAGATATTTAATTTAGATTAAAGCTGCAAAAATTAGTTTAAACCTAATTTTATTATCGCTATGTTGGTCATGTCGCAAGGTTATCGTTTATTATTTGACAATTATCCTAATGTCAGTCATTATTTTGTATAATATTGTGTTGTATTTAAACAGTCGAAGCAAAGAGCTTGTAGCTTTCCTGTTTTTTTTTTTTAACTATTTTGAAAGAGAACGTGTCAATAAAGGTCCTTTATTTACCCTTGACTGCAGTCAGAGAAGTAAATTTGATTGATAAGCACATTACACTACTCTCAAAGTTATTCATACGTCAGTTTTTATTAAATCTGTGATTATCAGTTTGTGCATTAATAGCACCCTCTTACTTGTTATTACCACTTATGGCGTTGTAAGATGTACATCAATAAATAAATAAATAACTCATAATAACGCTTAGTATAATCTTCATAGTGGACTAGTTTTTGTCAATATGTGATAAGTAAAGTAAGCTATAAAACAAATAAATCAATTAATTACTAAAATATTAGTTATTAAATTAAAAATAAAAAGTAAAATTCTTTAAAAAATGATATAATAAATATATTGTTTGTCGCTTTTAAATTAAGATTCATCTCATAAATCCATCACAATCTGGCAGCGCTGTCGCCATCGTTTGTCACTCAAAATTGATCACGTGCATCGGAAATTGTTTTGCGATTACCATAATCACCTTCTGCGATTCAGTATGATGCAGTCGTCAACTTTCCTGAGTGATATATTATATTTTCAGCCCTTAAAAATGTCGTCGTTAATGAATGCAAGATACACAATGACGCAAGCGTTGACATAGCCACAGACGGAACGATTCTAGTGTCATTATTACCTTCTGGTGGTTACTTGAATGTCACTAATCGTTTAGGTAAGTAGTTTTTGTATTAAATTTGATATTGTTAAATTAACAACACTTAATTTTTGAGCAGGAGTCTATAGTTTACGTTGGGAAACTTTGGGCCAGTGTCTTTATACAACCAGTTTTGAACAGAACGCTGTGTCGGTGTCCTTGTCTCCGTTAAGCCGTCATTTGTTGGTCGGTTTCGCATCTAGGAGAGTGTCGATAATACAGAGCGATCGATGGGTAAGTTTTTTTTTTAATTAATTGTCAGACAGCAAAAAATACGCGATACATTCAGTCATTGTATTCATTATACAAAAGCCAAAGCAATAAGACTTAACATTTGATATGACAAAGTTAAATTGTTACACGTGTTTCGCTCATACCAGCATCATCAGACAAGTTTATACGTGTAACGTGTAACAATTTAACTTTGTCATATTAAATGTTGAGACCGAGACTTAGAGTCTTATTGCTTTGGCTTTTGTATTACAAACCAGGTCTCTTTGGGATCAATGGACGCCTTTTTAAATTGTATTCATTGATTCTGTTCCTGCTCTGACTGAATGACACTTCATCAATGACAGATATTGCTGAAAAACTGAAATTCTGTTTATTAGTAGATTTTAATTGAATAAAATAATTAATACAGGTAATGGCAAGAATCTACAAAATAGAACAAAAGGATGTTCCGGGCGATAGGTTACCTGTATTAAGGGATCTAGAGCAACAGAGAGAAAGCAGAATTAATTGCATTAGGTGGTTACCAACGTCAGGCCAAGGATTGATTTATGCAACCAACACCGGTCAGCTGGTCATTCTTTCTTAAATAGTTATCTAATAATTTGACCACAGCGTCTATATACTGATGATAGTGATTTTTCGACAGGACTATTTTGTACTTCTAGTTCAATCACTGGAGGCATTTTAAGTGAACCATGTAAACATACACATACAGGGTAACCCAGCATTGTGAAAAAGCTATATCAGAGGATTTTTGATTGAGATTTTCACTCAAATTCTGGGCAGTAGATGTATGCACATTTTAAAAAGATTTTTATCAGTATAATTAAACTAAAGTTGTACATTTTTAGCACAGTGAATTTACCATTAATTCCCATTCTAAGAATACCATAATGTCATATTCTATACTGAGTGGTTTTTGAAATATGACCATTTTTAGACTAAATTTTATGCACATTTAAATCTCTTCTCAAAAAATACTCTCCCATTAATATAAATCACCTACAAAACGAGTCAAAACTTCATGTATTTTTCTCCACCGTTTCAAATGGAACATGTATTTTATGACATAAATTAACGTAATTTTTATCCAACTTTATGTTTTGAAAATTATTTTTATATTCATGTTTTTACTACCCAACTAAATTTCCATTTTTTTAATTAGTTAAAGGTTATAGATGCATTAGACAGAAAATATAACCCTATTTATTTTATTCGCCAAGTGACAACATCCTGTATTTTATGACATAAATTAACGTAATTTTTATCCAACTTTATGTTTTGAAAATTATTTTTATATTCATGTTTTTACTACCCAACTAAATTTCCATTTTTTTAATTAGTTAAAGGTTATAGATGCATTAGACAGAAAATATAACCCTATTTATTTTATTCGCCAAGTGAAATATCCTTTAAGCCTAGTTCATGCACTTGCGAATTGCGATTTACGAATTGCGAAAAGCGTCCTGTTTGCGTTCTGATTGGTTACCTTCAAGAAAGACCTTGGAAGCGACCAATTGCAAGGCAAAAAGAACGCATTTCGCAATTCGTAAATCGCATTTCGCAAGTGCATGAACTGGGCTTTATTTGGTTAATATTGAAAAAGTTTTTAATTTTTAACTTTATTGTACTCTATTACAGATAGGTATATCACATTTGTTCTTATAATGAGTGAAAGACAAGGTATTAGGAAGTACTCAATAAAACAAAACTCTGTTCATTTATGAGACAAAATAAAGGGTGTTCCACACACAATAGATCTGTACGGTCGCGGTGATTAACCCCCCTCCTAAACATTCTAAAAGGGTGTTCCGTTGGAAATAATGAAGAAAATACAGCTTTTATACTCACCTATGTATCAAACAACACTGCAAATTTTAGTAGGCTGAATTTTGACATAGTATCAAAAAGTTTAAAATTTGACAAAGCATAGCAGAAAACGCCAAATTTATGTGGTTTAACTTTAGTTTTAAATTAAAATTATATCACCTTGTATATTAACTAAAACATTTTTTAATCATGTGTTATAAAAAAAAATTAAGTGAAAATCTCAAGCTATGATCCTGATACAGAACTTTTTCAGAACGCTGGGTCGGTCACTGTATGAGATATTTATAATTTAAATAAAATATTATATATCTACAACTATTTAAACTAGGTAACCTCCAATTAAAGCTGATCTTTAAATATGGTTATAATTCATAAGTAAACTTCAGTTTCAAAAGTACATACTAATTATTGTATGATATTAATACACATTAAAAGTTTATGCCTTTGTTTGTATATATAAAAATCAAGAAAATATATAAATATTTTTTTCTTACTTTTTTAATCTGTATAAACAATCAGTCTGTTTGGGTTTTATCAGTAAATATACTTGTCACTTTTTAGTTTAATTAGATGGTACCCTGCTTATTGCTTTTGGTACAATTTATAAATATTCTGAGGCTGTTTTAACTCTAATTATAGATATTATAAACTATGTAATTGTTAGAGACTGTATATTGTTCTATTTCTTCAACTTGCATAAATATTTTTCGTATACAATGTAGTTAATTGGCTTTTTTAATTACTATAAATCATATATTGAGCTGCATAGGAATTTAATATTAATTCATTTTGACTGTAGCCTGTCTGACGGGAGAATATACAGCGCGTACCAAAAAGTTTGCACCAAATAATGCAATTTTTTGCTATTGAGTTATTGAAAAAAAATTTCAGCATGTCATATAAAAAAAATCATTTTGACATATGTCATGCGAGACCTGTCATGGCGACAAATTTTAAAATATACAATTTTTTTGGTTACTTTTCTAAAAAATGGAATTTTTTGTACGAATGACCGAGCTGATTTAGTAAAAATACTTTCAATTGCAGTAATTTTATTTTACTGGCCCACAATGAATTGTAAAAACTTAAAAATTGTAGTTATCAGACTACCGGCTTTCCCTGTATATTTATGAGACGTCTTCAAATTTTGTAAGACATAAGTCAAGATGTTATTTTTGTTATAAGGCCTGCATAAGTAGATCCACATAAACTTTCTTTAATATTTTTTTCCAACTTGTTGGGGACTTTATGGCACATCCTGTACAATTTCAACAGATGTGGTCTCAAAATCGAGAATGAATTAGAAAAAAGTAATGTGATGTATTCTTTCGCTGGACAGGCTATAGTTTGATTATTTGTCTGTTTTGTTTACACAAGGACTTTATATAGAGGCTGACTATTTTACTTTTTCGTTATTTTATTAAATTGTTTTTTTTTTATTCTTCAATCCTTTATAAATTAATTAGTAGTAATTTTATAATTGGCAAAAAACAAAAATAAAGAGTAATCTATTTATTATTTATGTAAATAAGCCTTCTTGTTGCATTGACTGAAGCTAATGTTTTTCTTTTGTATTTTAATAAACAATACACTGTATCAATTTACACTGTATATTTCTCTTATTAAATAAACTCAATCTAAAAATACCTATTTATTTTTTCTTTACCTGTGTTAAACATCGGAAATATATACCTAATTTTAAGCAGATTTTGGATCGTAGAACTATTATTATATTTATAATAAAGTAAAAAGACCTGGTCGTCAGTGCGTTTGAGTTCTAAGTATTGTAAGAAAATTGAAGTAAATAACTATCCAAATAGATTTTATCATGGGATTATAAAAATAATTTTTCCATTTAAAAAAAAATTACCTTCACACTTTTGTGAGACACTCTGTACAAGTGAAGATATTTTCCTGATTTCCTGAAACATGTTTTGGTTCACCCAGAGATGCCCGACGCACTCCCTGTATATTGTTTATGCTAATAACTTTTATGTAGGTATTAATAGATTAACATAGACTGATAAATAAAAAGAACAATGTTGTCGCTTCACAGATTAGATTGTAGTGTTTATTGTTGGCTTTGGGCCTTGATTACAACGGAAGAAACACCAGTATATTTCAAATAATGCATTATACCAAATTCAAAAAAAAAAGAGTACAATTATAGCGATATATTAATAGATATCTACCGTATGATCGAATAAAAACGGCGTCTAGTTGGCTTGGAAATGACGATCGATGGCATTTCCTATATAAATTTACATATAAAATGACAGCGATCTTCATTTCATAGCCATCGCTGACGCCGTTTTTATTCGATCATACGGTATGTGTAACTAACAAAATGTACTTTGTTAACAGAAACTAAAAATGATTCTAAAATTTAGTTAGAAGTGCGCGAAAGATACTTCAAAAAGTAGTAAAAACTAATACACGTTTGTGAAGATAATTTTTTAAAGAAGCTCAACGTACGTAAGTACCTATTGCGTATTGCGCATTCATAATTTAGTTAATTTAAATATTTATATATAAATTTTAACATAATATTTTAATTAAAATGCCTCTACACTACATGGTCTTAATTTTTCCACGAAAAAGCCTCTAATTTCAATACGTATTTACATATTCAGTTTGTTGTTCATGATTAGAATAAATTTGAGAGTTAAATACCTATTTTCAGAGCCTATTTTAAATAATTTTGTTTTAAGTGTTTTGTTGGTTGCCTATAAAAAATAACATCTTCTTCTTTTTAAATACGAGCTCCCATTTTTTTAAGTTAAGTTAAAGGCCTAAGCTACCAGGAGTATCCGGCCTGTTTTTGGTCCGTACTTATTATTTCTGGCTTTGCAGATTAATCAAAATCTGTAATCTGTGGTCAGAAAGTCAAAATTTGAAAAAGTAAGGTTATTATTATCAAAAAGTAAATTTATTTAATATTTTTTAAATAAAATAATGTAAGTATATATTTGTGATTTAAGTGAATAATACTAGAAAAGAATATAATGATTCTTGGATATTGCCGTATATTACGTAAGAGTTCTAACCGATTAAGAAGAATTTATATCTCCGCTTGTTTAAGATACAGTAGTTCAAATAACTTTGAAGAATTGAGTGATAGGTGTGTAGAATATAAAAATTAATTCTTTAGGAACATATCTAAAAGACAGTTTTTAGTGAATATAATAAACTGACAGACAGTTATTTTCACATTAAAGAAGCTCATCGATGTCTAATCATTCAGCCATACGTAAAATGGGGACCGAAGAAGTTAAACATTACACCCGAAGAACAACTTTCCGAGGCTATAGCGCTTATTCAAACTCTACCATCATGGACTGTAGAAGACACCTTAACCGTTCCTCTAGACACCTTGGATAGAAAGGCATTATTTAAAAGTGGATCGATGGAAAGAATTAAGCAAGTAGTGATTCAAAGGCCAGAAATTAGTGCCATATTTATTAATTCTAGTTCATTAAAAAAAGCAACAACGGTGATACTTCAGGAAAATTTTAAAAGAGCTATTATGGACAGATATAAAATTGTTATGAAAATTCTAAAAACTCATGCAATAAGTAAACATGCAAAGCTGCAAGTATCTTTGGCTGAATTAGCGTATTTAAAGAAAAAGAGCGAACAGGACTTGATTTTTAAAACTTACAGTTCAGAGGCTTTGAAACTAATGTTTCAGAATAGGGAACAGAAAATTAAGTCTGAAATTGAGAATTTGAGAAGTCACAGAAATTTATTAAGAAACAAAAGGAAAAAGATTGATTATCCAGTAGTTGCCGTTGTTGGATATACTAATGCTGGAAAAACATCCCTAATAAAGGCCCTAACAAACGAGGCAAGTCTTCAACCTAAAGATCAGCTCTTTGCAACTCTAGATGTAACTGTTCATAAGGGTATTTTACCTTCAGGTCTGGATGTTTTATATATTGATACAGTTGGATTTATATCTGATATACCGACTAACCTCATAGAATGCTTTGTGGCTACTCTAGAAGATGCTCTTCTTGCAGTAAGTTTGAAAAGCAACATTTAAAATAATATTAAAAAAGTTTTTTTAAGGATGTAATTTTACATGTGGAAGATCTTTCTAGTATCAGTTTTGACTATAAAAGACAACACGTTTTAAATGTTCTTAAAAGTTTGGGAAAAGATGAAAATTCTGATGATCTTTCAAGTAAAATATTTGCTGTTGGTAACAAATGCGATTTGTTGAAATTAGACACTGAAAAAAGAGAAACAGATGTAAATGTATCAGCCCAGAAAGGAATTGGTTAGTTCTCGTTGAATCTATGTATATTTCGGTAATGTATTAAGTTCTTAATAATCTTAAAATAATCAATGCTTTAAAGGTTTGAATGAACTGATGACCCAATTAGAAAAGTTTATATTAAAATCGACACAACGACAAAAGATTACCTTAAAAATACCAAACGGAGGTGAAGAAATTAGGTGGCTATATAAAAATGCAACTATATTAGAAGAAATTCCTGATGAAAATGATTACCAATATATTATGGCAAAGGTAATAATAACACAAGTGAATCTTAATAAGTTTAAACATTATTTTATATAATATATTAATATTTATTACAAAATTAAAATTTGATAAAATATTAATCCCTGTTTTTCCTTATAAACCCTATGTGAAAAATAATACCACTTAAACCTCAAAACTATGAACAACATCTACAACAGTTTTTAACGAGTCTATGGGGGCGTCAGGATAAATACCATGACCTAAATTAACAATATACCTGTCACTTCCAAACTCATTTAACATTTTTTCCACTTGACTGTTGAGGTCACTTTTAGAAGAATAGAGAGCACAGGGATCAAGGTTTCCTTGTATGGTAATGTTTTTGTTTTTAAGAATATTTCTAACATATTTCGGTTCCACTGTCCAATCTACACCTAACACTTCATAGCCCAACTCAGCTTGTTCTTCTAAGCAATACCATCCTCCTTTTGCAAATAGAACCTGAAAATTTAATCTATGTATAATCAATAATTAATTTATGACAAAGTATATACCATACCATTGGAACTTCTTCCAGTTTTTTCTCCCTTAATTTTTTCCTTACTTCAAGTGAAATCTTTTTCAAATATGGCAAGCAAAAGATAGAATAAAGATTTTTGTTTAAATATTCTGCGTTACTATCAAATACTTGGACAATCTGAGCGCCATATTCAATTTGCATTACTAAATAATCTATAATGACTTGCGTTAAAATTTCTAATAATTCATGAGACTTTTGTGGATGGGCATAGAGCCATTTTTTTGCTTTTGAATATGTTTTTGAACCTCCACCTTCAATCATATAACCCATTAAAGTCCACTAAAACATAATATTTAGGTCTTTTAGAAAATATAGTTGTGTTATATAAATACTGGTGCTCCTGTAAATCCAAATAGGGGTACATTTCCCTCTAACTTATGTCTAGTCAGGTTTATAGCTTGACCAACATATTCCAATTTCTTAACAGTTCCTTTGGTATTTAAGTTAGAAAGGGTTTCTAATGTCAGGGGTTCTGGTAATACTGGGCCCTGTTACAATAACATACATGAATAAATCATTAGAAACAGAATCACGTTTCTTACTACTCCTGGGCGCATTTCAACATCCAAACCAAGAGCTTGTGGTATTACTAATATATCACTAAAAATGATTGCCGCGTCCAATTCATAACGTCTTATAGGCATAAGAGTTACTTCACAGGCATATTCAGGATTATTACAAATCTCAAAGAAATCATGTTGTTTGCGATACTCCCGAAATTCTTAAAAATATTCTTTTATTTACTTATGTAAAGGAAAAGAAATTGAACTAACCTGGAAGATATCTTCCTGCTTGTCGCATTATCCATACTGGTAATTTATCAACTTTTTCCCCGCGAGCTGCCTTTAAAAGCCTCTCATTTTTAAGTAAAGGGAAGTCTTTGTTTATTGACATTTTTTATTAAAAATTTACTAGAAAATGTTATAAGTACAATTTCAATTTGTTCAAGTTTGGACGAAGATAAGTTAATACTTGTAGTTAATACAGATAACTTACTTATCAATATTCTATCAGTTCACACCACTTATAGATTGATTATCAATGATCATGATTTTAATTATTCTATTTCCTTTTTCCATTAATACCTTATTAATACCTATTTAATTTTTAATACCTATATATCTGGTGGCATATATATCAAAATTTGTTTTTTTTAATTGGTTTCAGAGATATAGAGAAGTCTAATCATGGTAGCTGCCATGTTCTCCCTTTAGGTCTATAGGGGGAGGTCAGAAAGTAATGGTGATATAATTTTCATTTTATTGATAATGAATGTTGATCTTTAGTTTATCTTAACAATATTGCGGAATTTTAACTAGACTAAAAGAGTCTATAACTATGGGGCTCCATATCTAAAGGGGTAGAAAATAAGAAAATTCTAGGGCGTTAGATATCCAAAAGGGATGTTAAGGGAACCTTATAGAAGCTTCTGCTCACAAGAATGATGATTTGGACGCGACCAAAGTTGACTTGTGGAAATCGGCAAATTATACTATTCTTGGTATAAAATATTTACGCTCGAGAATGCCCATGTGACATTGTCTTTTGCAACTTTGTGACTCTGTTTTTTTATGTCACGCTTAAATCGTCAGATTATTTAGATACACACTTTTCTGCATGTAATTAATTCACCTTGCCTTCATATGATGCGCAGGAGTAATCTTTTTATTCAAAGCGCAGTAGTGTTCCTTATGGTAATTTTTTTTACTACTCTTTTGGGCTATCGGCTCTCTTACACGCAGGACACTGTATAAAAGGTGGAGGAGTACTCAGGGTACAAGGTTTCTCCCATAAGAAACATTTTGAATCGTACTCGTCCAAGCTATGGAGTGTTGATGTATATCTACCTCTGATCTCTACTAATCTCTACACTCCATAGTCTAAGCTCTATATCTCTGATTTGTTTTGCGTTGCTAATCATATATCAAAATGTTCTAACCATAGAAGCATATGACTTTTATATGTATATGATGTTATATAATTGGATTATTTTATTGTTGGTAGTATTGACTAAATTTAGTAACATTATGGTAACATTTTTTACGGTTGGTAATTGGAGGTTGCGTGACCTCCCTGTTCCGGAGGAAAAAGACGCCATCGTTTTGTTAAATTTGTCCTTTGAAGTTTTCAATTTTCCTTATTAATTAGGTACCGCGTTAGCGCAAAAGTGTAAAAATTTTGTCGAACAATAAAATGGGAGCTCCTGCTGCACGTGGAAAACCGAAACGTGGCGGCGGTCGAGGAGGAATGAAGAGAGGTGGCGGTCGAGCACTCAACGGTAACCCGGCTTTATTTGGTGGAATGCGAGGAATGGGTCCTCCTATGCGAGGAGGAATCAGGCCGCCACCCATGGGCCCCCCAGGTATGAGACTACGACCTCTGCCAGGACCACCACCGCCGCCGCATCACAGGATGATGGGGCCAGGACCTAGAGGTCTTCCACCACCAGGAATGAGGTATGTGGTAGTTTAGCATTTCAAATATGGCGAATTCTTTGAAAGACAACTGTTAATCTCATGACTAGCAAATTGGTAGGAGTAAAATTAATTTAAATCCGACGTTTTATATTAACTTATGAAAGCAAAATAAAAGCACTAAATTCACCACAATACACCAAAACTTTATTTTTTGACACGGGCGCGCGTTTCGCTAGCCATGTTAGCATTATTAGTAGATGATTAAGTCTTATTAAACCAGTTTTAGTCATCTGCTGGTAATGCTAATGTGATTAGCGAAACGCAGGTCCTGTGCTAAATGTAAAGTGTTTTGGTGTATTGTTGTGAATTGGTGTTTTTATTTTGCGGTTGTAACATCAAAAGTTCCAACCTTATGATTTAAAAACATAATATTAATAGCTACCAATCCAGTCCTATGACCCTATCTATGGGTTTTTATAATATTAAAAAGGATGCTGCTGCTAGGTTCTTAAATAAAGTTATAATTGGGAGTTCCTTATTCTAATAAATATCCAGATTGAATAATGTAGAAATTTTATTAATTTTCGATTCCTAAGATCTATTCTAGCATATAGCTGCATATTCATTTGTTTTCTAGAAATTAAATTAATTTTCCACTTACAGTTACATTGAAATCTTGAAAATGTTTATAACTTTGTAAACCTTAAATTGCATTATTCTCTTGAAAACATTTTTCCTTAATGGTGTACCTACTTGTTATAAAAAGTATTTATTCCTTCCCTATAATTTTTCTCTGACATAGGTACCTATTTTGCTAATATAAAATTTAAAATATTATGAGGATTTTGCAATGAATGGTTAGTTTCATCTTTTTTCTCATCTTTTTCGTGGTCTAAACCAGGGATGAGTTTTTCAACAGTTCCTCATTAGGCCATCCATGTTATATTTCAGTCTGACATTTTTTACATTTTGATTAATAGAAATTCTTACATTGTCCATTATATCCTAAGCATATTGACTTAAAATGATGTTAAAATCATGAATAGGCCCATCAGTTTCAGAATTATCTGATGGATTTATATTTTTTTATGTAAATAAATAATATGTAATTTTATTTTAAATAATTGTGAGATTGAAATTAGTTATTCTAAAATATCATGCATTAACTTAAATCATAGTAAACAAGTATATTGAACAGTATAGGTCAGCTTTTTCATTAAAAATAACATAGGTAAAGGTAAAAGGTTTTTCAAAATTAGGAAATAATTGCACAAAAAGCGATAATTCTGTCAAATAGAGTATGGTTAAGGACGATTATTATAAAGATATAAATTCATCTTATTCTAAGAGAAAGCAAACTTCCACAAGGAAGCAGCCCTACACAAGGTAGTACACAAAGTATGCAAAATTGAATTACAGAGTATAATAATATTAAGGTTTTAATATATTTTGTATTTAAAATTATATATAATTATAATTCATGAAATAGGGTTCAAGTTGTTTTTGTATAGGAAAATATGGGGTATTTTTATTGAAGCCTAAATTATTCAATATGCTTATGCTCATAGCTGACTAAACTTTGATCATTTTTCAATCTGCCTGGCCTTGATTTGGCATTTTGTAAAATTACTGAAAACAGGCAGTTTTTTTGCACAGGCACATAAAATATGGTCATTGTTTAATAAGCTTAATTCTGATTAGGCTTTTTGTAAAAATTACTTCTTTTGTTTAAAAAGCTGGTGTTTTATAAAATGCCTAGTGTTTTTGCAAAAAGCCTGATTATTATATACGCCTGCGACAATCATCTATGTTTTTCAGTCTGTTAATTTTTATTTGGTAGCACGTGTTAGAATAGATGTAACATTATTTCAGGCCTCCACCACCAGGAATGAGACCGCCTCCACCCGGTATGCGCCCGCCGCCGCCGCCAATGATGATGCGTCCTCCCATTCCGCCTCCGATGCGCGGCGGTCCTTTTAGAGGAGGTCCGCGAATGAAGGGTCGCTTTCCTCCTGATATGCGCGGCATCAAACGAGGCAGGATCGTCAAGAAAAACCGCACCAGCTTGAAAAATATCGATCTGTTTAAACCCTGGGTCACGGATGCGATGCGGACCGAGTTTGCGAAAAAAGACGAACTTCTAGCACAAGCTAAACAGACTCAGAGCCTCGACGATTGGAAGAATTACCGAGATCAGAGAGAAAAGTGCAGCAAGATCTATCAGGAAGGTCGAACTGCACAAGTAGGCCAGCAGGAGGTGCGTATCCCGCAGCTTATGCCCGAGTCTAATTTTAAGCGAACTACGGCACCTATTGATTATACAGCAGACGTCAACTTATAGGTATTTCTCATTGAGTATATCACTGTCCAAATTTTTTTGCATGATTTTTACTACTGGGCATAAATTTTTAAATGTTCCGTCGTGAAATCAGAAAAAAATTGTTTAGGCGAATTTTTTAATTTGCTTTAATGGCTGAACTATTGATGTTTTATATTTGACCGTAATATCAACTAGAATTGTATAATTTGACTAATTCTATCTTAAGTGATGGTCATAGAATTTGATTTCATTTTAGACAAATATGTGACAGGTGGCAAAACATTTTTCATTGTTCTTGTATTAAATTTGCTTTTTGTTTATTGAAATCTTCGTAAGGGATGTTTTTTTTCTTATTTTGTTTTAATACAAATTATGTGTAAATTTACTGAATTTAAAAAAAATAATTTTTCCTAAATGTCTCTTTAGGTAAATTTTAAATTTGGGAAAAAATCAAAAATTAAACATTTGTCTTGGTAGACAATTTTATAAAGTAACCTAAATTGAGTTGCATTCTAATTGGTTTTTGTACATCTGCTACTATTTGTTAGTGATTTAACATTAAATAATTAGCAAGAAGGAATATTTGTATAAAATATTTTGTTAGATAAGATTTATATGAGGAATACCTATAACAATTTTACTACCATTATTTACAAAGAAAGGTTTACAAAAAATATCTCGATATTTTTAATTTTCAATTTTCATAAAAAGTTTTCGTTACTTTTTCAGCTTCGTATTTCATTATAGAGGTTTTTATAGTATAATATTTTTTTTAGTAATTAAGTTTTCTTTCTATAATTTTCTTAAATTTTAATGCTCTTATTACCTTCATGCTTAAATTAAAAAAAGGAATACCTATAACAATTTTACTACCATTATTTACAAACAAAGGTTTACAAAAAATATCTCAATATTTTTAATTTTCAATTTTTATAAAAAAGTTTTCGTTACTTTTTCAGCTTCGTATTTCATTAGAGAGGTTTTTATAGTATAATATTTTTTTTAGTAATTAGGTTTTCTTTCTATAATTTTCTTAAATTTTAATGCTCTTATTACCTTCATGCTTAAATTAAAAAAATTGAATAATTAAATTGTTTAAAGCAAAAACCAATAGAATAGACTTATTCTATTTTTAACATCCTTGAGTAAAATTTGCCTAAAACAGGCATTTATTAATAAAATTGTCTTATATTTGTAAAGAAAATTTTTTCCATTCAAAATAAAAATATAAGACATCAAGTATTTTCAAGAAAATTTTATATAAAGTATCGAACATTGTTCACTATACAGTATTGCAGAATTGTTTTTAAAGAGAATCTATGAAATTTGAAAATCTAAGCACTTGGTTATATAACACTACACATAATATATACTTATATAAAATTTCTCTTGAAATTATATGTAGCTCCTTTCTTGAAAATTAATTTTTATTTATTTTTTCAAGCATGGAGGATTTTGTTTACAAAATCGCATTAAATAGGGCGCTTTTGCTTATCTGTTTTTATCACACTAATGAAAGCTTAAAGAATGATCTTCATTTCAAAAACAGTTAAGCAAACCAAACTGCTTTGAATTATTTTGAAGATAATTATATATATAGGCCACTTTATTAATGTCAATCTCTATTCACTTTTGAAAGATGTTTTAGTAATTTATCATTTATGTACGTATTCTTTTTTTGGCATAGAAAAGTGGTCTTAAACTCGTTGGCAACTGGAAGTTGTTCAACGAGTGACTAATTATTTAAAAATAAAACACTTAACCACAGTCTAAATGTTATATGTTATCCTGAAGAAAGTCTAAAACAATTGGGTATCTTTACAGGACAAAAGCAAAAATGTTTCCACAGAGGCAGAGACGAACAAAAATTTAGAAAGTAACAATGAGCAAACGTCTCAGCCTGCCGAAGTTCAGTCAGCTTAAGGGGCTCTCTTTAACTTTTATAAGCGGCAGCCGATTTCAAGTTGCGAATCGGCCCAACCCAAATTTCACCCTAAAATAGTATTTTCAATATTTAGTTAATATTACTTGTCAGTCTATTGACCTAACTGCTATAATGTAACAAGTAACATTCTCAGTTGTCCATTTGTATGTTGTGTAGCTGTTAAATTAGTCAAAAGTATTTTTCGTTTTTTATTTAAACGCAATTTTGCTCGCTCCCGAGTAAAGATTTAGTGTAATATTAATTTTACTTGAATGCAAAATAACCAGATTTCTGTTACTATATCTCAGATTTTTTTTAATATTTATATAAAATAAGGTACCTTTAATTAAGGTACTTTAAGTACCTTCTAATATTAAATGTAATCTTAGGACAAATTATTTAATAAAAAAGTATTTTGAAATCAATGAAACTTAATTATTTGCAACATATCTCTTATTGTTTAAGAACCTGCAACTTTGTTTTTATAGTTTCTAAATATATGTATGTCCTGCCAGTTTTTCCTGGGTACGAGTTAATTTTTTTATATTAGAAACTATCTTAACCTTACAGTGTATTGCAAAATAACAATATTTTATTACAAACACGTTATTTTAAACTCTGAACGTTTTGCTAGCCATTTTAGAACCATATGCATATGATTAAAATGTCCAATTGAGTCTTAGTCATTTGCTGATGATGCTAACATAGTTAGCAAATGTTCGAAAGAGTTTAAATGTTTTGGTGTATTGTGGTAAATAACTCCTGTTATATATTTTGCTGTTGTAACACCAAAAATTCCAAGTTCTATTGTATATTATTAGCTAATATATTGATTAGGTAAATAATTATTAATAAAATAAAACTAAAACTTTGAAGGAAGATGTACAGGTTTTTCCTAAACATTATGTTCAAATGGAAGAGGGTGATTTTTTGGTTTATTTATTACTGAAATTTCAAATAAACTTATAGGTTTGCAAACGTAAGCTGCAAACAAAACTTCAATATATTTTTTCTTTGAAGCTTAAATGAACTTTAAATTTTTTATAAGGTTTCTTTTTTAGTTTTTATTGCATTTTCGATATACCTTTTGAGAAGTGTAATTAGCTAGATGAATTTAATTTCAACTACACGGTCCGCAACAATGTATGTCTTGGGTCGGTATCTGCATGTCTAGGAGTGAATCGCTATAGCGATCTTGTAAGTCAGAGAGAGTAAAATGTGAAATGATTATTACATAACCACTTAATCCCGTGCTTTTGTTTCATGTGCTTGGTAAAATACTTCTTTTATTACGTACATCTTATTGTACTGAACACATTAACTGTATAATGTACTCATTGTACACACAAAAATCGTCACTCAAAGTCAGTCTTTGCCGACCGTGTATACATTTATAATGAACACTGAAATCTCAACACCCTGTAAATCCGTAACGAAGCGTTTGCAGACCTAAGTTTACTTGAAATTTCAGTTATAAAATAAACCACACAATCAACCCATTCTTTTGTACATGAAATTTAGGAATACCTTGTATTTATCCTGATTAATAGGAATTAAAAAACTGTTAACTTTAAAGTAATTTTGAAATTGAATATTTATAAAAGTTTAACTGTATGTATGTAATGTAATTCTGTAAGTATATAGTCGTTTTACATAGATTTTAATTGACTAAACGCTGTTTACATAAATGTCCCATTTTTTATTAAGTCTACTCAGGAAAAAGTTCATAATGGATACCCACACCTAATTTTAAGACATCACTCCAATATTAAAATAGATATAAATATTTGGGAGTGTGTCTCAAGCTATCATCTAAAGGATCACTAATTCTCTATCAAGAAACTAAAAGTTTTCTTGATAGCGCTGGAGTTAAAATTGCCCGTAAGTTACTACAATTTTATTTATAATGCAGTTTTTTCTTTTTTTGTTTTCATCAATACATTACCTTTGTCTTTGTTTTGTTTTATTGAAAAGATCTTTAAAAAATAAGTTTAAAAAAAAGAAAATTTTCAAAGTAGTTTCTCTGACCTAGCAAATTCTGTATTTTCTAATAGGTAGTCTAAGAGTTTTTTGGTTTTTCTGTTGAGTTTTTTTTTATTAGAATTCAAAGAAATATTTCCGTTTTGTATTATGTATATAGGGTGTGTTTTTATTATTTGTTCTAGGATTTTAACATGGATTACTGTTACGTAAGGTTTGAATTATTCTTAATGTCTAATATACAGTATGATCATATTATAACTACGTCACAGTATGAGTATTTTGTTAAAATTTAGTTTTAATGTCTATAGATATTCCTAGACAGGAACATCCAATCTCGAGTTATTGAAAAAAATTAATTAATGTCTTTTTATGTATTGAAAATGCAATATACAGGGGGTGCCACAAATGCGAATTTGAACAAATAGGATTTTTTTATTCAGTTTAAAAAAAATATGCGGAAATGGTCAGCATATCCAATAACAAAAAAAAAAATATTGGTAAATTACAAATATCCTCTTTCAATATTCAAAAAGTGGGGATAGCTGACAAAATATTCAAAAAAAGGTAAGGAGGGAAGTTCAGAATTTGATTTTACTTATACTTACCAATTTTCATAAATATACAGGGACTTTTTCTTGAGAATATCAAAACAATCGATATTTGGAAGATTAAAAAAACCTATTTTTCTTGTTAAAATTACAAAAATTCAAAGTAAATCCAAGAAGAATAATTTTATATATTTTTTCTTTAATTTCCTGCAAATAATTTTAAAAAACAATGTTATGTACATATTGCAATTTTTCTGATAGCAATAACACTTAATACCGAACATATTGTGTTTTTTTTTATCTAGAATTGAGTATCAAATTTTAAATGTGTTAGCTCAACATTTTTATTTATAGGTCATTGCAACAAAATCTGTAGTTTAAAAAACTATGTCAGTCTTCAGACTACAGACTTTTTTTTATTAATTATTGCAGGACAGTAAAATAACATTTCTGCCTTAGAATTTTTTTTACTTGATTTGCTTTTTCTTATGTCATCCTTTTAAGAAAAAAAATTTGATTATTTTTTGAAAAAAATAATCAAAGGTCTTTTGAAAGTCTTTCTGTAGCTTTTAAATCAAATTTTGAATAACTGTTTCCTTGGACATTAAATGTGCCAAAAAAAATATCGCAAATTTTGTGATATTTTTTAATCTAACCATACATTTTTCATAAATAAAATGTCATGTCAAAATGATTCTTTGTTATAGGCTATCCCGAAGTAATTCCGTGTAAACTTGCTTTCAATAACTCTTTGGCAGGCCTTGTATACCCTGCCGTCAACACAGGGTCTTGGGTCGGCGCATGTCTAGCAGTGAATCGCTATGACTAAGTGTGTATTACATAACCAGTTAATCTGGTACTGTATTTCATGCACTTGGGTGAATACTTGCTCTTCTCTCTTTGTTCAGTACATATTTCTGTACTGTACAGGGTGGTCGGAATTGGTCTGTTTTAACAGAGAAAACCTATTTCCTGTCTAGATAGAGAAAAACCGACATAGATGTCATGGCTCGATTTCTGAGACACTTTTAATGGCATAACCGCCTGTTGATATTTTTACTGCCAACTGAGATACGGGGCCATTTTGATTTTTTTACCATTTTGAAAATTGCCCATAACTTTTTTAATTAGCGGAATAATAAAATTCTGTAAAGACGTTCTTAAGGCACTTTTTTAAGCACAATCCAGTGGCGTAGTGAGTTTTTTTCTATGCTTGCTCTCTTTGTTAGAAATAATAAAAAATATAATTTTTTAAAAGGAAATCATAGTTGGCTATGAACTTAAAAAAATGCTGACGTTTAACCATTTCGAACGATATAAAGTTATGGGTACCTATTTCTAAGAATGAGAGAAATATTAGGTTTTTCATCTTTGTATCGAAGTGTGCCTTGATTTTGTGTTGACCTAGTTGTCTAATTACTTTTGTCGCAATTTAATATTCTATATTATTATTTATATGCATAATTAGAGACTTTTGAAAAGGTAAATTAACATTCTATATTAGTATTATTCAATTATATTTTTTATTATTTCTGACAAAAAGAGCAGGTATAGAAAAATACTGACTACGCCACTGGATTGTGCTTAAAAAAGTGCCTTAAGAACGTCTTTACAGAATTTTATTATTCCGCGAATTAAAAAAGTTATGGGCAATTTTCAAAATGGTAAAAAATCAAAAAGACCCCGTATCTCAGTTGGCAATGAAAAAATCAACAGGCGGTTTGTGCCATTAAACGTGTCTCAGAAATCGAGCCCATGACATCTACGTCGGTTTTGCTCTATCTAGTCAGGAAATAGGTTTTCCCTGTTAAAACAGACCAATTTCGACCACCCTGTACACCTAGATTGTACTCTTAGTACACACGAAAATCGGTACCCAAAGCCAGGCGTTGCCGACCGTGTATAACAGAAATACCTTTTAAGCAAAAAAAACAATACTTTGCACAATACAAATTAAGTAAAAAATGAGTCATAAAATAATCAAGATCAGCAGTTACTTTAAAGTACACTTCATTCGAATGTGGGGGCAACCTGAAATGTAATTTCTAATCCTACTATGAAACTATAGATATTATTTTTTTAAACTAATGCTCATTTTTTGCTACTATAAATTAAATCAAAAGGAAAGCTTGAATCACTTTAATTTTATTTTTTAAAAAATAGGTATTAATTTGTCCCTATTATTTGTACACACTCTGTATATTTTATACAAAACCCAATAACTTTCAAACAATTTGGGACTATTTATCTTTGTCTATAATATTTCTTTGAATTCTGATTTCTTTCCTATATTTTTTAAACTCTTCTTATTGCTATTTTTATTTCATATTAGGATTCAGATACTGATTGTGAAGATTATGTTCATCCAGAAGATGAAACTCTGTGGGATGAAGAATATTACCAAGACCAAGATAACTGGGAAGACCTGGAAGAGATCTACTTGTCGTGTGACACATGCGAACGAGAGTTCTTTTCTCAAGAGCAGTATGACCAGCACATGTCTGAGCATCGGACTTGCAACTTGGACGGTTGTAATTTTACTGCTCACGAGAAAATTATAGAGAAACATATCAGAATGCAGCATTCGACTGGTACGAGTTTAAGGAAAAAAAAATGGCGGTTTTAAATTTACGTATTTATATTTTTTTACAGGTTTGTATGAGAAAATCCGAAACATCAGTACGCCTGAAGATATAGCGAAGTGGATTGAAGAAAGGAAGAAGAAATATCCATCTAAAGAAAACATAGAGCAAAGGTACAAGGAACAGGAAGAGCGGTTAAAGAAAGGAGTTCGAATCCCAAAGAAAAATAATAGATTTGGAAAAGACAAGTTTAGATGTAAGTTGCATAGTTATTTTGTTTCAAATCTATCAGAAAAATGATAATATATAGGGTGTGCCGTTTAAAAAATTTGATATTTTTTAATTTTAAATTTAAGTAGTTGGAATTCATAAATATATTTTGAACAGCCTGTAGTATCTAACCAAAATATCTTTACATAGAGATTTTTCTCTATCTCTATAAAACTCTCCTATCAAGTTTTAGTAGTCTAACTTCATAACAATTGCACCATTGACAATTTTTTACAACACTGAAATCTAACATTTATGTAAACATATTCAAATATATTACAAAAACTATTAATTTAATATAAGAAAGTTATAGAATTTTACGAAGAATATAAAAAATTTGGGCATTGCATTTAAAAAAATATGTTATATCTGCCACACGTTTTTGAAGCACTCTGTATACTTCGTAATAATTTTAAGATGTGTATCTTAACTTTCCCTATAACTTTTGTATTTAACATTTTTTTATAAACCTCGAAATAAATGAGATAATGGACTTTACTCTATCGTTGACTCACCCTGTACATTTTAATTTAAATTAAACGATCTGTAAAAATTTCTATTTATTTATTTACTTATTTCAACGGTATAGTTCACCGTTTTCACATAATTAAGAAAATAATAACAATCAACAAACTAAAAACTTAAAGAGAAAATATAGGGCAACAACAATTATTAAGGCTATATAAATACTAATAATATACCGATCTGGTCATCGAAACTGCGTGGTCTGGATTTTAAGAAGAGAAATAAAAATGAAACTTATACACCCTGTATCTCCGGAACTAAGCATTTTAAGACACATTCATACAAACTTTTTTACTTATTTTTATCTGCGGACCACCCTGTATATTTGAAAGGCTATGAAACGTTTTTTTTTGTTCTTTTTGACATGTATTTATTTAAATTATTGATTTTTTTTTTGTTCTAGTGGAAAAATCAAAACAATCGTCATCGTTATCAACTCGCCTTCAGCAAAATCGCCCGCCAAAGAGAAAGAAGATACAGAAGCCTCAACCGAAGGTTTCCTTAATAGACGAGAAGGAGGACTGGAATGGCAACATGTTTCCATTTAGGGGAACTGCAGAATTATTTGGCAACACCGAACAAAAACAAGTTAGCGATTTTGAGGATGACGAATGGAAAGAACACGAAGGAATGAAAAAAGTGAAGTTAAACAATGCTCTTGGGTCTTTAATGGCAGCTTATGGATCTGACAGTGAAGAAGAGACAATTAGCTGTCAGAATAAAGTGGAAGTTACAAAAGAAGATAATAAGAAAGTTCCCAGTACAGTTATTGATTCTAAATCTGAAAAACAAGATGTAAATATTGATATGAAAGCAAACTGTTCATTAAATGATAGTGATAATGAGGCACCTGAAGAGGTAAAGATCATTAGAAGTACTGATGTTGAGGAAAATAAGGAAGTGATAAAAGTACCCATTGAAAGCCAGGCAACTTCAAATAGGCCCACGCATAAAGGTAAAAGAAAACGTACCCATCAACGTTCTCGAAATTCGAAAAAAAGGAATCTGTCAAATCAAGAAACCCCATCACAAAGTATTCCTTCAACAGATAATTTTCCACATAATAGATTTAGAAAACGGAAAGTGACTCTTTTAGAAAAACTTTTGGAAAATGAAATTAGAGAGGAAAGAAATCTACTCCTTCAGTGCGTCAGGTATGTCGTACAGAACGATTTTTTTAAAAGTTCCTGAAAGTGTTTTTAAGCTTTAAGACCATATCTGTGATGTGTTTGTAAATATTTAGTTTTTGTATAATGATCAATTGTGTTTTTTGATAAAACATTAAAATTTTAATAAATTCACTTTTTAATTTAAATGATGTACATTTTATTTCAGTGATTTTTATTTTAATTAATAATAGAAACTTGGAAAATTAGATCATACCAAATAAACTTTTAATCACGTGATTAAGCTTGACCGGCAGAGCTGACCGCGTTGCCCACTTTTACATATCAGGGTGCAGCCACACTATCCTAAAAACGGCGTAACGGCCTTGAATCGATTTCCAGTAATTCTATTGGCTGAAATTTTTGACAGATAAAATTTCTGACAGATGAATGTTTCAGCCAATAGAATTACTGGAAATCTATTCAAGGTCATTACGCCGATACGCCGTTTTTAGGATAGTGTGGCTGCACCCTCAGAATCCCTAGCAGAAAATTAAATTCCAGTTGGTAAGCCTGGCGCCGAATATGCTCATAGTTGGCAACAATGAATTTAGAAATCGCGCTCTCGATTACGTATCTAAAAGTTTAATTGGTATCGCTTATATACCTACAGCGAGTTTATACAGGGTGTCCCAGAAATAAGTGCAAGTATTTTAAGGGCTGGTAGATCTCGATAAAAGAAACATATTTTCTCTTTATCGTTTTTCGAATAAACGTCCAAAATAACGGAGTTATTTTACTTTGAAAATTTCCAAAAAAAAATTTTGCTAAAATTTTGAGAACCACTGGATCTTTTCTGGATTTTCTTTCTTGTAAATTTAATATAATACCTATGTTGCCATATTATCAAGAAATTATGTTTTTTAATTAAACACTAAAATTTTTCAAAAAATTTCGAATTCTCAATTTTTTTTTTGTGAAAAAACCTCATAGGCTTGTTTCTGGGGTTGAACAATACTACCAGTTAAAATACTTGCACTTATTTCTGGGACACCCAGTATATTTACGAAAATATAAGTTAGTAGGGTATGGACCAGCTAAGAAGAGGATACGAGTGTTATCACCTAGGCATCTTCTGTCTTTCTTGCACTGGCGCATCCATGATTGACTCGAGAGAGAAGGTGCCCGTTGTTGGAACGATGCTCGTGGTCTTTTCTTAGTGGGTCATATCTGTGGTCATACTTTAGCTAGTCTATCCAAGGGGAGGATCCATGACAGTCATATTAATTCACAGGCCAATTGTATTGACTCTCTTTTTTCGGTTAGGTTCATTTTTAACACTAGAAAAATGTTACAAATATCTTCAAAACTGTTGTATTTAGCCATAAACAACATATTTATACATAGTTATATTTATTTTTGACGAGAGAAATAAATTAAATAGAAAAATGGACGTTTCCATTATTTATAAAAATACATTGAGGGGACATTATACAAAAGTTTTATTAACGTCTTCAGGGTGTTCCTTATTAGCATGCTACTATTTAAGGGCATTTTCTTGAACCTATTCTAAGGGAAAATTTTCAGATGAATGTGTGTCCTAAGGTTATTATAACAGATAAAAAAAAATCCACCCTGTATCTTAAAAGTTAAGATGTTTAGGATATAATTTTCATATGAAGTTTTTTTGTTAGAATAGGTCCAAGAATCTCTCCCTCAAATACACCACTCAAAACAACTATCCCATATTTAAATAAAAATAATTATTACATATTTCTAAATGAGGCAAGTATTTTTCTGCCTTGCTCTTGTGAGTTTTTTTAGGATAATTAGGGTAAGCACAGACCGGTAATTTTTAGTCGGCCATCTATTTAGTTGCAAAAGTGAAAACAATACATTTTTATGGAGCCGATCGGCCGAATATTTGATTAGATACATTGCGTAGCCTCAGACTATACGCTGACAGGCAATTTTCAATCGGCCGACTATTTAGTTGCATACTTGTAACCAATATAGCCTTATGGAGCCGCGCTCACATGCAATAAAATAGTCGGCCGATCGACTTCATAAGTATGTATTGTTTTCACTTTTGCAACTAAATAGTCGGTCGACTAAAAATTACAGGTCAGCGTATTATTGTATCGAATTTCTTTTCACAGTATCCATACTATTTAAAATCGTAAGTCAGGGAATTCAAAGTGTCTTGTTTTTCAAATTAATATTTTTTTTAGAAAATATGCGATACTTGTTTTGAGTAGTGTATTAGCATGTCATTATTGAACACCCTGTATAAAGGACATCATCACGATTGTAAAAATTTAGGTAGTAATTTACGTAATCTTGGCATTTTTTAATTTTATGACAAAAATACATTAACGTTTAGAAATACCGTATGATCGAATAACAACGGCGTCAGCGATGGTTATGAAATGAACATCGATGACATTTCCCATATTAATTTACATATAAAATGACAGTGATCTTCATTTCATAGCCATCGCTGACGCCGTTTTTATTCGAACATACGGTACCATACGATACGAAAAAAAAATGCGTCAAAGGCGGCTGGGGAATGACAATCGATAATAATTTTAGCGAGGTCAAGCCCTAGACGTCATTTACTTATCCCATACTCTTTATTTTTTAATGGCGCTTACTGCCAGTTGGCTTTAAGAAGGTTGTAATTTATTTTTATATTGAATAAAAATGATTTTTAAATGGGGTTGTTTAAAATTTGAGAACAGATAATTTTTTGAAACGTTCTATCATTTTTAAATCTTTCTAATCAATTTTTAGTTAATGACGTCTAGAGATTGACCTCGCCAAAAATATAATGGATTATCATTTCCCAGCCGTCTTTGACGCCGTTTTTTTTCGATCATACCCTCTATTTAACATATAGTTAAGATATTCTTGGTAGAAACAAAATTAAAACGACAAAGCTTAAAAGAAATAAATTTATTTTATTTAACTTAACATTATCAATAATTAGTCTTATCTAAAAATGTCTTAATACTTATAAAAATACAAATTACAATGATTGGTGAGATGACAAACAGTAGTAGGTATTTTGTATATTACAAATGGGGACTGTCTATGTTGTATGACGCAGATTATGACGATGAACGAAGATGATCCATGTGTCTAGGTAACGAACCTGGAACAAACACATTAAATTATTTTTGAGCGACACTTGTCCGAAAAACTATTAGTTATTGGTTTGAAAAACAGGTCAAACGGACAGCAGACGAGCCTTCGCGATATGTAAACAACTATACAGAGTTCAGCATAACGCCTAAAAATAAACGCAAAAATTCGTTGAAAACACCGGTGTAGATATATTGGATTGACGATTTTATTTTCGGAGATTGTCTTATTGCCAACAAACGGTATATTTCACGAACCTGTTTATGTCGGGGGCGGCTTTCAAATAACTTAGGTTTTCCAAGATTTTTTCGGTTTACAGAAAAATAGAGTTGTGCCAAGAGCACCCGCAATTTTATTGCACTTTTGAGATATTTTATTATACGGTGTAGTATAATAAAATATGTCAAACATGTACATACCCGTTGAAAAGCTTTATTTTTCAAGTTGTTAGAGGTCTGCGAAATGGTATATTTACTTAAAAATTTTAATTTTATTACTTAAAGTCATTTCTAAAAACTTCGTCAGCGATGGCTATGAAATGAAGATCGCTGTCATTTTATATGTAAAATTATATACATGGGGAATGTCACCAATGTTCATTTTCAAGCATATATATACATATATGTATATGTTTCCAAGCCAAATGGACGCCGTTTTTTTTTGATCATATGGTATAGTTTTTGTTAAACTTATATGGATTAAGGGTACAGTCTGTTCAGTTCAAAATATAGTGACAGTTATCTTGTCAGTTTAATTCAAGAGCAAAATAAAACATTAATTCACCACAATACACCAAAACACTTTATTTTTACACTGGACGCGCGTTTCGAAAACCACGTTAGCATCATCAGCAGATGATTATAAAACTGTTTTGATTTGTGAAGAATGGTAGTGTTGTTTTGAGTTTTAATCATCTGCTGATGATGCTAACGGTTAGCGAAACGTGCGTCCAGGCCGTCCAGTGCAAAAGTAAAGTGTTTTGTTGTATTCTGGTGAATTAGTATTTTATCTTGCTGTTGTAACACCAAAAGTTCGAACCCCCAACTGATCCAACTTATTTTGAAGGAATCCGCCTATTCTTGCAAAATAGCAGACAACCGCAGATAGTTTATATTTAACTGGTTAGTATGCAAACTATTTACAAAATCTGGTTAGGTTAGGGATTTTACCCCAGTTTACTAAAATAGCTGCTAGTTTACATCCTTGCCAGATAGTCTACAAAATTTATTTTAATTGTTTTTGTTTGTTAATGTACAGCGTTGGGATGGATAGGAAAATATGATAAAATAATAAATTTAATTTTCATTTAAAAAATTTATTTATAAAAAATAAAAAGTAAACTAGCCAAGAATCTTGCTATTTTGGGTGACTAAAGCTAATGGAGTTATCATATTAGCCTTTATATTAGCCAAAATTATAAATGATTATTATACAAACTAACTAAAATAACTGGTTAATATGAAAACAAAAATATAAAATTATGACATTATCTAATACGAATATATAGTTTGCAAACTAACCAGCTAGTTTGTAAACTAGCTCTTGGCTGCCTGCTATTTTGCAAGAATGGTCGGATTCTTCCAAAATAACAGCGCTTTTAGTTAGTTTGCAAAATAGCTGGCTAGTTTTAAAACTAGCCAAGTATCTATTTTAGCAGTAACATATCTATAATACCGCATGATCGAAAAAAATGGCATCCAGTTGGCTTGGAAATGAACATCGATGACATTGCCCATATAATTTTATATAAACAATGAGAGCGATTTTCATTTTATAACCATCGCTGACGCTGTTTGTTATCAAATTGAGCAGAGGCCAATAATATTTATTTGGAGTTGCATAAAAACAAGATTTCGTCTTTTAGTCCGACAAAAATATTAACGTAAAAATTAAATAACTTACAGATACTCCCGTACTAAGCACAGTATAAATAATATAATTTTTTTTCTTGTAAATAACATTCTTATCGTTTGCATTTTATGCCCATGATGTTTAGGGCTTTTGTTTATATCACCGCCGCGCCGGCCTTAGAAACGATCGATCGCATTGTGATCCGATTCAATTCTCACGATTCTTTTTTACGGGTCATCGTTGAAATCTTATGGATCCGTGCTGGCCACGATTCAATTGAACGAACCGTATTGTATGCAATGAATCAATTCACACTACTCTTTGAATGAACCGTCGCATTCTGATCCGATTCAATTCTCACGATTCTTTTTTACAGCTCATCGTTCAAATGTTATGGATCCGTGCCGGCTACGATTCAATTGAACGAATCGTATGTAAGCTTTCAAATGAGCCACTCGTTCAATCTTTTCCCACCTCTAGAATGAACCGTACATCAAAAAAACTGCGTCAAGTTGGCTTGGAAATGACAATTCACATTGGAATTCTCCAAGCCAATTCTGACAACGTTTTTTTTTCTTTCGTATTGTATGTTAAGACTACAAATTAATAAGGTTTCGCAGTTTATTCGTTAGTGTGCTTACTAAATAAGTGTTTTAATTTTTGTTATTTTTCTTATTAGTAAAGAACCCGTTATAATCTTAGATTATATAAGAATGTTATAATACTTACATTCAGTTAAAACATTCCCGCATATAAGCCCCATAAGACTAACAGGAGCGCTATGAGGATAAGGTAGGTGGTTATTAAGCTTTTTCCTTCGCTGGCGTGTGGTGGCATTTTGATTTATAACTGAAAAACAACATTATTATTAAACTAATATTTTTGGACTTCTTTATAAAAATAAATTATACACAACTAGATTCTTATAGTCCAATTTACAGTTGTAAGTTTTTCTATAGAATACCGTTTTAATTTATTGTTCTTCATGTAATAGTCAATAGTCATTTTTTTGGATGTCGTCTGTCGAATTTTTCCTAGCTCGTTTGTCCAACGAAATTATATTAACTTTATACAGGGTTCGGCAATAGTGCGTCGGGCATCTGTAGCTACTATAGTAAAAAACTTAGGAATTTTGTATAAGTGCAAACCATAGTGCATATTTTAACTTCTATTCTTTCTATTTGAAAAAATAATTGCGATTCACTCACATTTTTTAGAGCCACCCTGTAGAAGTTAAAATATTTTCCTGAAATACATCCTAAACTTTTAAGTCTGCACTTATATAAAATTCTTGTTTTTTATTATAGGAGCTACTACATCTGCCGGACGCACTTTTGCCGGATCCTGTCTGGACAAGCATATACCAAGCTTGTCCTGGAGAAACTTATTGCGTAAATTAATATGAATTTTGTTGCTTAAAATAGTTTATTATCGTGCATAGTTTCCAAGTTATTTGTTTTTCCCGGAATCACACGCATATTTAGAATTTCCAGTTCTTTTCCAAAGATTTGTTTTTTGATCGACAACAGGTACTAACCGCCGAAACTTTTAACAAATTATCGTACTGAAATCGTATATTTGGAACAGGTTCAAACGCTAGAATTTGTTTATCTATCTTTAATATCGCTAAAATGTTGTTTGTTACATTTCCTTTGGAAAACATCTGGACTTAGAAACCTATTTTTCATAGTAAATGTGTTTTAGTAATATTATTTCGCGTAGATTCAACGTCAGTGCGCGCTAATGATGCCGAATATACGAGCAGGTCCCATCAGATGTTGTGTAATTTTGGATAATTAATGAATTTATCAATAAGTACTGTTTTTTTTTTAAATTTAGAACAGGCGCACGCTTTAAAAATACCTACTCATCAAGCTTTACCGTATATTGATCCACAAGTTGTTTTTTACATTCTTTGGCAAAAGAAACCAAAACAATGTCCTAAATGACTCCCAATTATTACTAAAAATACAATTCTATTCAAAATTACACACCTATTTTTATCAGAAAAATTCTATTTTTATGTGTACATTAATATTAGATATTTGTTTTGAAACAGATTTACATTTTAACTTGAAAAATGGGCACGCGTTGACTTTTATAATTTATTGAGAAATTCCATTTGATCCAGTTTTTAGTACAATTTTAAATCTTATTTTTCTTTTAATATACTCTTAATATAGCAGTCTGAATATATTGAAAAATAAAAAAAAATATATCACACAAATATTCTAATATTGTCTTTCTTTAAAGTTTTATTTGTGTGCATTAAATTGTTTAAGAAACTATTTAGTTGAAAATTTTTTATATAGAAAGTGCCCTAGTAAAAAGAGATTAAAAAATGCAAGACTTGCAAGAGTCTTGCAGTAAGACCAAGACTGTCCTGGGAAGACCAAGAGACTACTTATTAAACTGCACATTGAATAAAGAATTCTTTATTCAATGAAACTGCACGACCAAGGGAGTCTTGCTCTTGTATTTGCTCACGACTACAAATTAAAACTTCGCACGATAGGCATGAATAAGTGGGCCATTCGCGTACCTTATTTTTCAGGAATATAACATTCATTTCTGTTTAGTACTTAAAAAAAACCGAAAAAAAAAGAAACCAATTTTAATACCAATATTGGCGTTACTTCGGATTTTTTTGGAAAAAATCGAAATAAAAATGAAACTTCTGCACCCTGTATCTCCGAAACTAAGCATTTTAGGACATGTATTTATACGAACTTTTTTACTTATTTTTATCATCAGAATATGCTGCCGAAGTTTCCGGAATATAGTTCGGAGCACACTGTATATATGAGGCCTTGATAGTATTTTTGTCTAAGAGAAATTTCACCCCCAATTGCCACTAATGTAGAGTATTATAAATTTTCGCTATATGAGCGCCTTTTTTACAACATGTTTCAGAATAGGTTAATTCAATAATTGAGTAAAAAATATATTGCCTGAGAGTTAATTTGCATCCGCCAAACAAAGCAAATTGCAAAGAAGTACTGTCATTTTGTTTTATTTAATAAAAAATTACAAAAAAATATTTACCCAATGTACCAATACCGAATAATTTAGGTAGGAATCTAAATTAATTATCAATACCTGTCATCACTTGCATAAATTAAACATGCGTTAACAAAATACCGTATGATCGAGAAAAAACGGCGTCAACGATGGCTATGCATTAAGATAGCTGTCATTTTATATGTAAATTTATATGGGAAATGTCATCGATCGTCATTTCCCAGCCAACTGGACGCCGTTTTTTTTCGATCATACGGTAGTTATTACATTGAAATCATAAATTTGAAAGTATAAAAAGTGCCCAAATTTTTAAATGGGGATGGAGTGGAGTGAACCAAAAAGTACCTCGGTTGATTCCCCCTTCAATCCAGTAAAGCCGGTCCCACATGATGTGGCAAACACCTTTGAACATTTGCCACATCGTCGTGTAGGAGACACACTTGCCAATTGCAATATTGTCGAAACCTGGGCCAAATGTTGGTTAAAACGTTAGACGCATCGTGTAGGACCGGCTTAATCCACCGACACTGATTGAAGGAGGGTGAACACATCAGTCTCCACAAGAAAAAAACATTTACTGTGCGCTTAAGTCTACCCTCTAAAAATGTTTATGCCATAAATGACGTCATTGTTCGATAAGTTTTTAACGTAAAACTACTATCATGCATTCAATTATAAGGGGTGAGTCCTATATGAGTGCCAATATTTTTAGGGGTGGTATATTTCGACCCCCATTCAAAAAAGATGTCGAAAAGCGTGGATTTTTTTTAAAATTTTAGATAATATAATAATATATTTTTTTTAATGTTCAAACTTGAATAACTCGGTTATTTTAGACTTATTAGGAAAACTGTAAAGAGTAAATATGATTCTTTTATCGAGCTCTACTAGCCCTGAAAATATTTGTACTTATTTACGCCTCACCCTGTATAATTCTATACATATTAATTAATAGTGATAGCGAGGCTGGTCATGCTCTTGCGGTTTTGGTCTTGGTCTTGCTCAAAAAGCAAGACCGAAGACAAGATATTTGCAGTGGTTAGTCCAAATTATTCCTTGACAGCAAAAAGAAGACATAAAAAATTGCAATAAATAAAGACGAATTTTATTTATTTTAATTTTTAATGTCCTAACAGGATCAGGCTTTCCAGAAAAAAAAATACTATTATGAATTTTTATTCTTATACTTCTATTTTTTTTTTGTCCACAGTATGACTAGATGATCACTAGTGTAATTCCAGAGCTAGCTATATAATATGTATATTGCAATTATTCAATTTTAACGCGGTTTGGTGAGAATACTAATAAAACAGTATACTTACTTTACTTTAAAAGTTTGTGATCAAGCACAACCACTCACTGTAGAAGATGAATCGTGTATGCTGCAGAAATTCGAATGACTCGAGCAGGACTCTCGCGGTGGCTATTTTTGCCGTGGTTTCTGGATATTTTCAATTCGAAAACGCTTTAAAAACATTCAACCGTTGTCGATAGAAAAAATCAAAGTAGTGCAGAACAATCAGCTTTTCGCTGGTTTCTTCCTTTTTGTGTTACTTCATTCAATTCTGATCATTTTTTCATTTTTATGTTTTTTCTTTTAGGTTTTATACTATTAAATATCACGACGCATGGTTCTACATAAGAGTCCAATGATTGTTGGTCATTAATAATATACAGATTATAACTGAACTATAAATATAATTATACTACTTAAAGCTCATTGTTCTGGAATATGTTTTTAAAATATATCACATGACTTGTCCATATGTATTTTTTTGTTTTTCAAGATAAATTAATGAACTCCTAAGTAAACAGATTTTTGGCTTCATTTATTAATATATATTTTTATATCTACTTTTAGAGTTAATGAATGACATACTACAACATTCGAAATCAGAATAAGAATGAAGAACTTCAGAAATTGCCTGAAATAGAAACTAGATACTAAAATGAATATGAAATAAAAGACTATATTATAATTATAAAAAAATTGAAAATTTGAAATTTTTTGAAAAGTTTTTTTTTAATTTTTAGTTGAAAAACATAATTTCTTGATAATATATGGCAACATAGTAGATTAAATTTACAAGAGCGAAAATCCATTGGTTCTCAAAGTTTAAGTAACAAATTATTCAAAGTAAAACATATCGGTTATTTTAGACTTATTTGAATAACGGCAAAGGCAAAATATGTTTCTTTTATAGAGATCTACCAGTCCTGGAAATATTATTTGTACTTATAAAACACGCACTTTGTATAATTCCTTAAAAAATACGAATACTAGCTGTATATATGATCGGATCGTAGATCGGCTTATAGTACGACAGTATGATCGAAAAAAACGGATCGAAAAAAGTTGGCTAGGGAATGAACATTGACATTCTCAATATAATTTTACATATAAAATGACAGCGAGCGTTATTTCATATCCATCGCTGGCACAGTTTTTTTCGATCAAATTGTATATAGTTTATTCCTCATTTATACCTTAGTTTTATACAAGTGTTATACCATTTACTACAGTGTATACGGTGTGCTGACCAGGGGCGTGCGGTCCATGGAAGTGGAAGAAGCACTACTTTCCTAAACATCTAGCCTTTGCGCCTAGCCAAAAAGAAATCAAGTTTTTTAATTAATTAATTCATAGCAATAAATTTGCGCAAACAACGTAAACGCACCTATTAGACCGGTTGGAAGCGCACCTTGGAAGCGCGTCTCAAAATTGACGCGGTAGCCTCCCTTTAGGGCTGTTTACCCTGCCGCCTATACCCATGAAGCAGCTGGTATTACCCAGGAAAACCAGTCCCATGGAAGCGCTTCCTCTTTTGTTATTTATTATTTATACCGTAAATTGACGAGAATAGAATCATTTATTTCCTAGAAAGTTTAGTGGTGTGTTTAAATTTTTTGCAATAGAGGAATCGCCTACTGTGCTTGTGGATAACAATAATGTAGAAAATTGTCGTGTTTGTATTTTTTGCTGTTTTTATTATTTTGCATTTATTTAACTAAAATATATTTGCATTTGACTACAAGGACAAAGGTACCTAATATTTTTTAAATATCACTATATTTTTTATTTGATTTCGAATTTCTAAAATCGAATAAAACTATATATTTATAAAAAACGTAAAACTTTTCGTTAGCACTAATGTACTTTTTGAATGTCTGCCAATAATTTAATTTGTGGCAACCTGCTGATGTAAACATAAGTAATGTTAAATACCCTTAATACTTAAAAAAATGGTATATTTATTTGAGGAATACGATGAAAAAAATTATACAATTTTAAATTAAATAGTGATGATAAAATCAGATATCTTCGAATAAAAAAAGTTTCGTATTGACTTATTGACCACATACCACCAGTAAAACACGTATTAAATCGAATCGGAGATCGGAGTATAAAATATTCTGTCACCTGTCAACGAACTCTTTTCAAAAGAACCCACTTGTTGCTTTTTGGTTTTGGTACCAGTTTGAAAACACTATCTGTCCCTTTCTCTCTTAGCTAAACTCGATATGTCTTTCTCCTTTATGATTTTAACTTATTAGACCTGTCGAAATCGCGTTTTGTCAAGTTTTTATTTACAAGAGGTGAGTCGTGGGGACAGATCGCAGAGTGTACCAAATTTGTGTAAATTTTTAAACATGAGGTCAATGCACAATTGAACGAGATTAAAATCTACAAAATACTGTGAGAAAAGTATGTGAAGAGCATTTATAAAATGGCATTCTTATGCCCTGTAAGAATCAGACGTGGTAAAAAGAAAAAGTGTAAGTATTTTTAGACATAATGTCTGGAAAGTGGTCAGAGACTTGGACATTGCATTAAAAATTGACCCAAATTCAAACTGCCCTAACAACTTTTTACTCTATTGTTCTGTAGAAATTATCTGTAAAGTGCATTTCTTATAAGCATTATATAAACATATTTAATGTTAATAGAGAAATTTAATAAGTTAATAATTCTTTATTTATAATTAAGTACTTCAAGTGATTATCTACTATTACCGTTTTTGTTTTAATTTTTAAAGCCTCCAGTGTTGATCTTGAAAAAGAACTAGGTCGAGTCAGCAATGGAGTTACTCCAGGTATGGGTAGAATTACTGGTTCGGCCAGCATTGAAACTCTGGTTCGAGTTGGTATTGAAAAGGAACACGGCTTATCACCTGATTCCAAAATGGTAGTTCTGCATGACTTTACTCCATGTGTGGATGATGAGCTTGAAGTAAAAAGGGGACAGGTGAGTAACAGGATATTATTAGTAGTAAAATAAGATATAATAATTATGTATGTTTTTAGATTGTCAATATATTATATAGAGAAAATGATTGGGTGTATGTAATTGCTCCTGATACAAGACAGGAAGGTTTCATACCATATTCTTATTGTACCCCATACAATAATCATTTAGCAGAAATGGCCATAAAAAAGAAACTACCCCGAGATGTTCATTTAGCATCCAGGGAAAGTTCAGATACTAATCATGACTGGTAAGAATCTTATTTTAAATTTTTAAGTATGTTATTATATTTGATATTTTATAGTGATGGAGCAGGACTAGATATTATGTTTGATGATTGTGCATCCATAGAAAAAGAAAAACTAGACACAGGAGCTATTAGTCCTGTTAGTATTCATTCCGAACCAGACATGATACCATTTTCAAAAGATCCATCTGGGAGATATATAGTTTTATATACTTTTATAGCCCGTGATGAAAATGATGTATCAGTAGAAAGAGGGGAATTTGTTACAGGTAGTATATTTTTCTTGTAATGGTGTAATAACTTTAATCATGTAAATTTCTATGTTTAGTTCTAAACAGAGAAGATCCTGATTGGTATTGGATTGTAAGAAGTGACGGACAAGAAGGTTTTATACCTTCCGGATTTGTATATCCTGCTGATAATGTGATACAGGGCCACCTAAACGGACAAACCCAGCCTGGTCTTGGTTCTTTCCCAAATCAGAACAACATCCATACCTTAACATCTTCCAGTGCAGATGACTTAAGATACCATGGTACTGAACTTGTTATGTTGTACGACTATAAAGCCCAAGCTCCCGATGACTTAACGGTCAGACGGGGCGATTGGATCTATGCTGATTTAAATAACCAGACTGTAGATGGGTGGCTATGGGCCTATGCCCCCAAAACCAGGAAATATGGTTTTATTCCGAAAGCATATGCAAGACCCCCTGCCATGACAAGTTTATGAGCTAATAAGTATAAGTTGTTAATTTTTTATATGACGTACTTTTTATAGAACTATTATACAGGGTGTGCCAAAGAGTTTGCAATTAATAGAGATTTTTTATTATTCAGCAAATTCAATGTCAAAAAATCCTCTATATATATTTGCAAAGTGGGGTTAGGTAACAAAATATCAATTTAGAATTTGATTCTAAATTAATATCAGTCTATGTACCAAGTTTCATAAATATACACGGTTTTTTGAAAATACCAATTTTTTCATTATGTAAAAAATGACTTCTTATTAGACATCTTGAAGTAAGTTTGGTTTATATGCATTCGTTGTCCATCACTCTGTCACCATTTAAATATGAGCTGCCATTTTTGAAATAAACTAATAATAATAAACTTTTCTAATACCTCAATAGTAAAAAAATCCAATTTGTTGTGAACTTTATGGCACACCTTGTACCTTTAAGTATTATTTACATGGTAAAAATCAGCAATGTAAATTAGTTTGAAAATGCCTATAATGTTGCCATGCTCAAAAATATTTGTATAGGTTTAAGTTGCAATATTTTTACATTTTTATATCATACTCGTTTTAATTATCTTATTTATGTATAGAAATAAATTTAATATTAAAAAACATCAAAGTTTACTTCATTAAACCTAAACAAAATCCAAAAACTTTTATTAAATAACTATATATTTGTTTTTATATTAAGAAGCGTAATATTCTAATAATTCTTCATCTTTAGGTTTCAAAATAATTTTATCCCTCAAGTTAACAACCCAGCCTGGATGTAAGCCATAAAATATCTGTCTGGGATCTTTCCTTTCAGTCAGCATATCATATTCAGAATCATTCTCTATTTTTGGTAAATTATATCCATATTTTTGTGCAAGCACCAATCTTTCCTCTGAAACTTTCTCAGGATCTGCTAGATAGCCTCGCTTCGCTGGATCAGTGTAATATTCTATAGCATCTGGTGGGGGTATCATACGCCGAGGTATGGGAACACCTAAAAGTTTTAAACAATCAAAAATCCAACCATTAATATATTCATAAGGATTGTACCTCTTTGGAAGAATTTTGTAGTATTTACCATGGCTTGTAAACTATACGGGTCATAGTACGCTGTTGTTATTACACCTCCAGCTTTTTCTACTGCAGCAATTACAATTTCACTGGCCCATTGTACCTCAAGATTTATTTTTGCACAGAAAATATCAGCACCCTCATCAGTTAAATTTACACCAAATTGGTGCTGGTCAGGAAATAGCCTGTATAAACCTGTATTTAATATTGATACTAAGTCTATTGGTTTGGACACATCTATTCTGTTAGTATCAATCAGCTTCTGTAGCTCAAGCATTGATAAAGGTGGGTATTGTCTTTTCAAACTAAAAAAGAAAAATTAAGTTATCTTTAAATCAATCTAATAACAGAACAAAACTCACTGATGGCCTTTATAATAATTTTCTTGAGGAAATCTTAAGTAAAAAGGATTATTTCCTGTCTCATAGCCTAAGCGCATATAATTTTGTCTTTGACCGGATCCTTTATTTCCAGCTCCATGTTTATCTCCTCCGTGTTGTGCTCTACCTCTTTTGGGTCCCTTAAAGAAAAAGCATTTTATAATTTAAAAGTTATAATAATACACTATTTAGACTTACTAGTCTACTACCCGGATTGTCTCTGATATTGGCCAGACAAACTCTTGGTAATGCTCTAAGTATATTTAATGCTTTTTCTGTATTTTTAGACATTATTAATAACAATATTTATATAATTACTCTGGTTCGTCGATTAGCAGAAAAAAAACAATATATTTATAAAAATCTTTTTAACTTGGACAAAAACCTAAAGTTAGGTTATAGATTAAAGCAACTACTCTTCGTCTTATTTTTGTGGCCCGAATCACTACAGGCGAAAATTACCACCTAGTTCTACTTTTTTCATATATAAATAATACCCTATTTATATGACTTTTTTTTATCATATCTGCCTAAATACTGCCTAAGTTCAGTCTGCTTCAACTTCATCTTAAAAATAAATACGATTTTTTATAAATTAAAATTTTTTTGTTTTTCCGGTTTTTGCTGTTGATAGGTATAGTGTGTGATTTATAATTTAATTATAACTATTTCTTAAGGTTTGTATGACCATTTTTGTTTAAATAACGTTTGCATTGGGCTTGATTTATACCTTAGGGATCTGAAATTAATTTTCTTCTAATGCATCAGCAATTTCTTAACGGTTTTTAGAAATTAATATTTTATTATTTTAAACACGTGTATCCTTATATTTTTTATTGCCTTTATTTTGTAGAAAATATTTACAATGAATAAATTAATAATTCCTTCACCTCCAAATTGGTATGAAGTTGATATTATGGCATGCTCTCCGGACAATACCTTAATATATGGTTCTCGGCAAGATATTATAGTTATTAAACCAACTTCAGTAGATTTACCTGATCAAGTAGAAATAATAGCCAAGGCGCATTCTTCCAGGTAATAACTATTAACGATCTGCTATAAGATTGAAAGAAATTGATTCTCTGTAAACTATTCACAATCTCTAGGCATATTTATGTTTTAATTGCAAAAATTTAATATTAAACAACTGTAATTTTAGGATTATTTCTGTAAACATAAATAGAAACTGGGGTAATCCTCATAAGTATGCAGTTACAGTGTCTGAAGATAAAGTTGTGAAATTATGGGATATTGATATGTTGGAAAGAGTTCAATCTCATAATAAACATGTTAGTATTAATTGTCATTTAGTAATAAATTTGTTTTTATACCTGTATTATATTTTTAGCTAACAGATAATTCAAAATCAAAAGTGATATGTGCTCAGTTTGCTGGAGATGACAGAGTAATTAGTGTATCAGAAAATGGAGAAATTGTTATTTGGAATTTGGTTCAAAATGAAACAAAAAGTCTGACACTTTTATCAGAAATCAAAGCTACTGTAACATGCATGTCTGTATGTCCACATGCAAGTTGGTTAGCTGCTTTTGGGTTAAAAACTGGACTAATTGTTATTCTAGACTTAAGAAGTAATTTAATAATTTATTCTTTTATTCCTAATATAATTATATTCTTTGTTTTTATAGAAAATGGACAAATTTTGTTCAAATTAAGGGGACATGAAAAGAGTATTGTTTCTTTATCATGGTGTCCAGTTCCAGTTAACGTATTTCCATTAAAACCTCATAATAAAGTAGTAGAAAAAGTGAGTGAGAACTTAGAAGAAGAGGAAAAAGTTGTTGGGGAAAAAGATTACAGAAGAAAACAAGAAAATCCAAAGAAGAGAGAAGATACTGAAAAAAGTACAGTATTGGTGGGCAGTGAAGAAATATTACAAGGTGATTCACAGAAATTAGAAATTCCAAGAATGGCACATAGAAAAAAAGGGAGGGGGAGTTTAGTTGATATATTAATTGAAAATGATGTTAAAAGTCCACCAAACAATGAGAATGGTGATGCAGATATTCCTACAAATCAAGGAGTTACTGGATTGGAAATTTCAAATTCAAATGACCTAGAATTAGAACAAACACTATCAAATAATTCTATATTGTCTTCAGAACTTTCTGTTTGTGATAAAACAGATTCAGATAGAAGAACAACACATGGGGTTGAAAGTAACTCCTTACCTTCAAATATACAACAATCAAGTGATAAGGAGAGTCAAGTAAAGGATGATAAAGGCTCTGTAGAAGATTCAACAGAAAATCAAGAAGAAATACATGTTTTGAATGATGAAGATAAAATAGACAATTTAAATAGTGGTGAAGCTTCTGGACCTAAAAATGATAATCAAGATGTTGAAAGTGAAGAACAGAAGTGTGATAAGAAGGAAAATGAAGATGATTGGAGAAATAAGGAAGAACAACCAAGGAAAGAGTATTTATTAGCATCTTCTTCTAAAGATTCGTAAGTATCTCTTCAGAATAGCAATGATCAATAATTATTTAATTGTCATTGGTTACTTTTAATTTGGTGACTTACTCAATTAAAATAGAAAAATGCATTGTTAGTTAGTTAGAGGAGATCTCTTCTTGTTATGAAAATATTTTTGCTCAAAACTTTTATAATTATTAGAATAATATGGGTATTCTACAATCAAAAAGGGTATGATTAAGTTGATTTTAACTTTGGAGATTAAAAAGTTATAATGTTTTTTGACATAAGAATATGTCATCACTTCACAATATGTCAATACACTTCTTTATAAGACATTTTAAACATATTGTTGATTTCTTAGTACATAATACCAATGACTAAAGTATCCAAGGACAAATAACACTCGAGAGCAAATTATAAGTCACCAAACAGTGCCGTAGCACATATTTTTCTTAACCTAGCTGTTTGAAGCAATATTTATATTTTTTGATAATTGTTTTGACTACGCCTATGGTGTATCATCTAATTAATTACGAAAAAAACGTATTAAAATGTTAACAAAAGGTGCAAAACTAGTATCGACGTATAGCACATATCAAGTACATATAGATGTTAATTGAAATTGAAGAATAATTATCGAATTCAATAAGAAAACGCTAAAAAGTTGGAGTGGACTATTTATTTACCTATGAAACATAATTCCTGGCTCTTTCTTATCGCTGCTGCTTTTACACTTGAAAGCTGACCAACTAATCACCATTGTAATAAAGTTTATACAAAGTTTACTACACACAAACTATTAAAAATTGCTAAAATTGTCGCTGGTGACCAAATGATGACTCATTGTTTGCCACCAAAAGAAAGGTCTCTAAGGTCACAAATTCTGCTGCAGCCCGTATAGGGACGTTACATGTCCTTATATTCTATTAGTCATTGACATAACACAGTATGATCGAAAAAAACCGGCGTCAGGAATGGCTATGAAATGAAGATCGCTGTCATTTTATATGTAAAATTATATGGAGAATGTCATTGATGTTCATTTTCATGCCAACTGGACGCCGTTTTTTTGTCGATCATATGGTATTAGATTACTCCAATATAGCCTTCGTTGTCAAATATATGAAAAAAAGTTTTATACAGATGTTGCATGGTTTATAAGGTGACTATATGTACTAAAAATATTTTTCGTATAGAGGGCGTGCCAAAAAAAGTTATGATAAATTAAAAATTTTATAAAGAATTAAATAAAATAAATATAGTTTTATAGATAAATTAAAGTTTTATAAAGAATCTTAAATAAAAAAGAAAAAGAGGCATATTATACTAAAAATATTTTGTTGTATACATGGTCTCACAAAAAGTATGATAAGTTTTCCTTTTTTTTTAAATTGCACCCCCTATTATTTTTCCGTACAGATTTGGATCCAGCATAAAATGCTGCATATAGTAAGCTATTTTTATTTCTAGCGCTATGCCGTGCGTGGATTTACTGTATTATCCTGGGTGTTTAGGAAAATATAGCTAAGTATTAATAAAGTTATATTCATTCCAGTTTTCAAGCGCTTTTCAGATATAAGTGTTTTTAACCAAACTTTTAGTAAATAAGAAATAAAATGACAACATTGCATACTGCTTCAAATAAAAATAGTGTACTATATGCAGAATTTTATGCTGAATCCAATTATCTACAGAAAAATAGGGGGTGCAATTTAAAAAAAGGTAAAACTTTATTATACTTTTTGTGAGACCATGTATACAACAAAATATTTTTAGTATAATATGCCTCTTTTTTCTTCTTTATATGATTCTTTATAAAGCTTTAAAAACTAAAAAAGAAGTAGGTATAATTAACATACAGGGTGGCCCATTAGTAGGAAGAAGTACAATATCGTCGTTGCTGTCGAAAATATGAAAACAATTTCGACAGCAACGACGATATTGGACTTCTTCCTACTAATGGGTCACCCTGTATGTTAATTATACCTACTTGTTTTGGTTAAATTTTACCTTGTTATTCATTTATATAATACCGTTTTTAGAAACATATACATCTGGAGGGCTGGTACTGATGGCAGAATGCAAACTTTCCTCTCGCTACCACACAAATCCTTTAAAAAAGGCGGCCGCAACGAGAAAATGTGGACTTGTTTATGTTGGGCTGCCCCACAAATACTGTTATCCTCATCCAGAAATGCAGAGTTGATTCGCTGGACATTGCCTAAGCCTTTAGAGTACGGATATTTGTTTTTTTTTCTTTTTTTTTCATCAGACACTTGAAAATTAATCTTTTATATTTGTTTAATAAATTCTAGCCAGTCAAAATTTATGCATGTGGTACACAGAGACCACTGGTCTGTATTATTTAGTATAAAGACGCCTATTACTTACTATGATGAATATAACTTTCTACAAAACAAAGACATTAATGTTTGGACAACAGGAATGGAAAGACTGATATTAAATACAAACCTTAAATCACAAGAAAATCTTAATTGTTATCAAACATTTGGCGCAAATATAAATTGTATAGTTGGATCACCATTGGATCCAAATAGGTAACATGTTTTTTTTTATAAAAAATAGAATTATTAAATAAATTTTATTCGATTCAAGATTGGCTATGGGCTCTGGAGAAGGTACAGTGCATATTTGGGACATCAGTAAAGATCACAAGAAAAAAATCTATCTGTCAACATTTTACCAAAAAATTTTAAGTTCAGTGACTGCTTTGGCATGGCACCCTCTCATTGAAACTTCACTTGCTTGGGGTACTGCAGAGGGCAGGGTTAGGATTATTTATTTTATTTGATTCTTATTATTTTATGTACTTTTTTAAACTTTTAGATAGGTATTTTCGATATTAATGGGAAATCTAAAAACAACCCCAAAGTGTTCCAGCAATATTTCAAATCACAAATTTATAAAATTGAATGGGGTCCTCTTAAGGAAAGCGATGATAAGGGACTTTACGTTGTTAGTGAAGGAAGTATTGGCATTTTCGATCCTAAAGATACCAATAAAGGTACAATTTAGATTTGATCATGATTACTGAGTAAATGCATATTTTTATTTTACAGTGCCGACATTATTGGAGCTACCAGACAATACATTTGTTTATACAATGTCTTGGAAACCCGATTTAAGTATGCATTTGGTGTCATCTAAAGCAGGTAATATATTTTATAACAAGGGATAATAAAAGAACAACTTCGAATAAAAAGATTAAGGACAAAATGGCCGTCTTAAATTCCGGTTTATTTTTTCCATTCTAATTTTATTCAAAACATGTAAAAATCTGATGTCGCGGACATAGTGTGCTGTTTCCATCGACCAAGCATGAATACATGGATAGCAATATACCTGCTTCTTCCTTAATCTTTTTATTCAAAGAAGAACACAAGAAAGGGAATTTATCGAACTTAAAATGACAAAGTTACTTGATTACTTGTAAAAAAATTCTAAAGACAAATTATGTTTTATTTTTAAAAAATTTGGTAATAATTTATTATATTAATGCTTTGCAAAAATACTTTGTTTTTTGCTGTTTCCAAAAAATGCAGTTAAAATCTCAAACAGGAAACCAGTTATAGAGTTGTTAATTTTAAGTGAATTTCATAAATGATCAGTTTACTACACATATGTATGTTATACCGTGCTGGCAACTGTTACTCTTGGGTCGGTATTTACATATGTGGAGTGCAATTCGGAGTGAGAGAAATGCGACGGAGGGCTGTTGCGGCGTTGCCGGTACGCCTATCCCTATCAAGTAAAGTAAATTCACGATCGCAAACCGCTTATCTTTAAAAGACTTTTTTTCCGAAAAGATAACTAGATAAAATCATTAGAAATGTTTCTGAGCATCTGAAATGGAATTACATATAAGGATATCTTTAGGGTGTCATTTTTTTTTAACGAGAAAATGCGATAATTTAAAAACTCAACTTTTTAACACATAACACGCCAAAACTCAAAAAACACTTTAGATATTGAAACTTTTTTTTATTTTGAAGATAGGATCTTTTACAACATGTTTACATAAGAAAAAATCGATAAGGTTGTTTTTTTTTCATTCAAAAATTGTAAACAACCCATCTATTTACTTTTAGAGCATAGCAATTTTCAGCAGTTGTGTAATTTTTTTATTGAAAAAGATTTTCACTTACTGTCTACTAAGAAAATGCAGCAGGAATATTAAGAAAGTTTTTGAAAAAACTACAATCAATTATTTCTAATAGATTTCGAGATATCGGTTTTTGAATTCAGAGTTCTTATAGCCCGACCACTGTCGAAAACCAATTCAATTCCACTTATTTTTTACCAAAAATGCAAGTGTTTCTAGCTTGCACTTAAAAATTTTCAAGCTATAGGGAAATTTACAACGACTCGTTAATAAATAAACAAAGTATCACAAGACGTAATTAAATCGTGAAGCTGAACGCATGATGTACACTTCCCTAGAACTTTAAGTACTGACAGAGGTACTGATTGGGTCGATCGGTCAACTGCGACAAATCTGCTATATCCCCTTCCTCGTCTCTTAGCCAATGTGTACAGTTTCTCGATTCATTTCATACGTTTGGCCACGTGTTTACTGTTCTCTCTTTGTTCAGTACATTATAAACGCATTGTACTCTTCTTACATACGGAAATCTCGACCCAAGACTATCCTTTGCCAGCCCTTAGTATAGTCACTTACTAGCGAAAAGTTATTCCATTATTTCACTCGATTTTTGACCGAGATCTACCGCACACTAGACAACCAACTATTTTACAGTCTTTCGATAAATCGCAATAGTGTCACTGTTAATTTAAGTTCTGCCACAGTTTCCTTCTAAATTTACTACTTTTATACAACTATCAGTGGTAGAATAAATAATAAATCACAAAATAAGCTCAGTAAAGACTGACAAATCCACAAAATTTCAAATCAAATTCAAATGTGTCAAATGAATCGTCAAACAGAAGTGTCAAGAACCCCCACCCTAGTGTCCACCCTAGTTTCCATCGACCAAGCATGAATACATGGATAGCAATATACCTACTTCTTCCTTAATCTTTTTATTCAAAGAAGAACATAAGAAAGGGAATTTATTGAACTTAAAATGACAAAGTTACTTGATTACTTGTAAAAAAATTCTAAAGACAAATTATGTTTTATTTTTAAAAAATTTGGTAATAATTTATTATATTAATGCTTTGCAAAAATACTTTGTTTTTTGCTGTTTCCAAAAAATGCAGTTAAAATCTCAAACAGGAAACCAGTTATAGAGTTGTTTTAATCAGCTGGCCACTCTGTATGAATAAAATAATGCTGGTGTACATAACTCATGATAACTGATCATCCCTTTGTACTTCAAGTATGATAATGACACTGTCTTTAGGCATTTTTAATATTAATAAATATCAATGTTTCAAATTGTATTTGTTTTTTAGGAGCCTTAATATGTTATGATGCTTCCCTAAAGATATCAAATATCAGTTATGTTCCGAATAGGCTTCAGTCAATTTTATGGCATCCTGATGCCATAACAAATGATGTTACAGTATCGAAATATTGCCAGACATTTGTGTCAATAGTACAGTCAACTGAATTTATAGTTTTTGATTTTAGTAAAGAGGTAAAAATAGTGTTTTTTAAAAAGTTTTTAGTAATTTTAAATTTACGCAACAAACTAACAATAGAAATTAGAATTTTATTTACAGGGTGTGCGAAAAAGTTCGCAACAAAGTTTAAAAAACTATGAGGATTTTCTTAGCTTACACAAAACCAAAAAAAAAAAATGTTGAGTAAAGAATTATTTGTCATGTTGGTAAATTAAAAAAAAATATCTTTCGATATGCAAAAAGTTGGTTTAGGTCACAAACTAAAAATATCAACTTTATATTTTTCAAAGGATTTTCCAATTTTTTTTTAACAGACTTGGCCGTTGCCCTGCGTGACATATATTTCTGAAACTGGGTACATAGACGTACAATTCTAAAGTCTAATAAGTGTCTAACGAGAGGATAGAAAGGTGACAGTGGCAGTTCGGCCTGTTATTTGAATTCATAGGTCAATTGGAAAATAAAATAAAAAAACTTCACTGACTCGTTGGACTGATTTAATACACGCTCTACACTATTTGGAGAACTCTTCGAAGCAGGTCAAGGTCGCGTTTCGTCGCATAACTTTGTCGCGTTTCGGCTTCTCCGTTTGTATTGACCTATTTTGGTATGTCTCGACCTACTTTCGTTCCTTAAAAGGGCAAACAAACTCAAAAGTTCTCTTGAAATCTCCGCAATTACACGATTTCAAGGGCATGGAGGGATTTTTTTGTGGTGTCTCCTGTTGGTCTCGTTCAATTTCGTTTCCAAAACGTAGCGGTATGTGGACCCGAGGCAAAGGACTTTTTTTCATAAATCTCAGTGAAATAAGCAAATCTAGACGTTCCTAAAATATCTGTTGTTACAATCATATTTTGTTAATTACATCTCGTTTTATGTTGATATATACTTCACAAGGTTAATATTTGTATTTTGTTAACAATAAAAAGTTTTATTTTTTATTTTTAACAACCAATCACGGCGCGTCTCTTTCTGTTTCGTTCTATTTCGATTTTTTTCGATATAACATCTATCCAACTTTGTGCATATTATGTAAAGAAGAATTTTTATTATGCATATTACATACGTCAAAATGATTAAATTGTATAGTCAAGTCAAAATATTTTTTTTTGTTATTGAGCTGAAGAAATTCTTTTTAAACTTTTTCTTTTCAATAATTCAAAAATAAAACAAAATCGATAAGTTGCGAACTTTTTTTTTCACCCTACTAATTGAGGGGTTTCTAGCAAAAACTCCATTGGTCAGATATTTCGAAATTTGGAGAAACTAAAAAAAACGTATATCTTGCTCCCATTTAAATTTAAATTGTCGTTTTTTTGTGTGAGCTCTGGTTATAATCTGAAATTACAGAAAACTAGTTTTCTTTATTTTTTTTCTTATTTTTAAGTTAAGAAGGGCGTAAATTTGTTTGACTTGTGGGATTTTTGCTGGGATTTTGGCAAAAACCGTGGAAACAACCAAGTCTTCTTAGCTATTGTTCGAACGATTACGAACGACAAACAACCAAACCACAACAAGTAGCGGACTAATGGGGTTTTTGCCGTTAAGACTTGTGACTTGTGGGGTTCTTGCGGAATTACGGTATTTTTGATCGTATGCACGGGCTGACTTATAGCACTTTTCCCGAATTCGTTTGGTAGGAACGTTATGACTAACAAATAACTCTCGGATAGCGTCATTAACTCATTTTACCCATTTTTTGACTAATGGGGTTTTTGCCAGAAACCCCCCAATTGTATTGAATATAACATATTTAGACGAGAATATATTATAGGGTGAAAATGAAGAGAAACAAATGGCTCATTTTAAAACCAGAGGCCATTTTAAAAACAAATCTCTAATTAATTGTATAGCTTGGAGTCCCCATAACGGCAGTCAGTTAGTTTTTGTAGACGAGGTGGGAGTAGCCCAGGTAACAATATTTTTTAGAGTCCATCCCGTAATTTCTTTAATGGTACATTTTTTTCAGGTTTTTGATATCGAATCACAAACTATATTGTGTACATACATAAATCCAACTTTGGATGCGTTATATTCAGTTTACTGGAGCCCACTTGATGCTGACTATATAATAACAGCCAGTATCAGACACAAAATAACAATTTGGAAAGTGTCGGAAAATATGCCCTTAACAGAAAAAGGTATATATTATATTGTCAAGAAAAATGGCGCATCCGCCAGAAATTAAAAATGTATTACTGGTTGCCTGCACAACCGCAACGTATCCGCCAGAAATTAAAAGACTTTTTCAGGCGCCATCTTTTAGTCAAGTCGAGAAGTAAGGGAATCAGACAATAGAATTGTCTGGTATGAAGAAGTACGCTTTCCGAGAATTTTCGAGAAGCAGTCAATAGAGTATATAAGCCGGAGCCATCGACAACTGAGACAGTTTTTGAAATTTGAATATACCGCGTGGAAATTGAAAATCGGACAATTTGGTGAAGGAATCTTAGTTTGTTGTGTGTTATAAGTTAGTAATTGTGTATAAAGTGAGAAAATAAATTCGTTAAGTATTTTATCGTGAGTTTAAATTAGTGGACCCACGGAATCCGTAACAATTGGTGTCAGAAGTGGGATTCAAGAGGATTTTAAGAAGAAATTAAGTGGATTGGAAGATTTTTAGACCGAATCAGAGTATTTTTATGGTTGGTACAAGAGAACAAGCGAAGAAAATGGAGGAAGTAAGCAAGTTATTGGGCGATTTTATGGAGAATATGAGAAGAGAGAAGGCAGAAGAACAAGAAAGACTCCGTAAAGAACGAGAAGAGGAACGAGCCCGATTGGAAAGAGAAAAAGAAGAGGAAAAACTACGACGTCAAGAAGAACAAGACCAACTACAGAAAATGCTTATGGAGAATCAAGAAATTAGACAAGAACGGTTGGAGAAAATTGTGGAAAATCTAGAAGTGCGTCGCCAGAAAGATAAACAAGAAGAACAGGACCGGCTTGAGAAAATATTAGGAAATCTAGAAATTCGTTTGGAGGAGCGACGTCAAAAAGAAAGACAAGAAGAACAGGACCATATTCAGAAAATTTTAGAAAATCAAGAAATTAGACAAGAACGGTTGGAGAAAATTGTTGAAGATTTAGAAGTGCGTCGCCAGAAAGAAAAATTAGAAGATCAAAACCGTTTTAAGAAGAACTTTGAAGAACTGGAAAAAAGGCAAGGCATTCACCTTCAAGAAGCCGTAGAAGATCTTGAGGAACGCCTTCAGCAGAAAATGGAAAAATTAGAGATGGACCTACAGAAGACCAAGGTACAAGTAAGGACACCTGGCGTTCATGGAACTGCGAACCTCAAGGCCCCGACCTACGATGGACAAACCACCTGGACGATGTACCACCGCCAGTTTGAAGCAGCGGCTGCTGTCAATGGATGGACTGACCAAGAGAAAGCAGCAGCACTTGTCATCGCGCTGCGAGGCCCTGCCCTGGAACTGTTGCAAACTATTCCTGCAGCCCAACAGCAGGAATACCAAACTTTGGTCGCTGCACTGGACAGAAGATATGGCGACCAACATCGACGCCAACTTTACCAGGCACAGATCAAGACACGCCTGCAGAGGTCCGGAGAGAGTCTGCAGGAATTTGAAGCAGACTTACGTCGGCTGGTACACCTGGCATATCCAGAAGCACCGGAAGGATTTAGGGAGGAACTCGCTGCTCAGTGCTTTATCAGCGGACTGAGGGACAACGAATTACAGAGGGCGCTGCAAATATCCTGATTTTCTACCAGCAGCGAAGCACTGGTCAGGGCGCTGGAAATCGAAGCTGCTTTTAGCGCCATCCCTAGACCGAAGATAAGATCGGTAACGGTCGAGGAACAGCCCGAAAGCACTCACAGAGGTTTGGAGGAGATGTGTAAGAAAGTCGACAAACTATGTGAGCTACTAATAAACAAGGGAGTCAACAACACCCAGACAGAGAACCAGAGAAGATTCCAGGATATGAGGTGCTATGGATGCGGCAGGAATGGCCACATCAAACGGGATTGTCGCATCCAAATGCGATTCCATTCACCATCCAGAGAACATCGGCACATCGGAAGATCCCAGGACATAAGTTGCTATAGATGTGGCAGGAATGGCCACATCAAACGGGATTGCCGCGTCCAAATGCGATTCCGTTTACCATCGAGAGAACATAGGCACCAGGAAATCAACACTAATGAGCGAGTATTGGCTGAAGAAAACAGAGCCCCTAGGATGTTTTCCGTTAGAGTCTAGGAAAACCGCTGACAGTTTGGTGATCAACAGGAAGGTCAATGGTAGAAGAATTCGAATGACTGTGGACACAGGCGCTATGGTATCGTTGGTGCGGACTAACTCGGTACAAGGATTGAAGATGATGCCTCTTAGAAGAAGAGTGTATTTACGTACAGTTACGGGGGAAATGGCCGTTGTACGGGGAGAGGCTTTCATGGAATTGGAGTTAGGGAATTTGAAGTTTCGGCATAGCGTTTTGGTGGCTGACATTGAAGATGATTTTATCATGGGTATGGATGTGATCAGTCAACATGGTTTTTCGTTTGATCACCATAGAAACATCCTGAAAATCGGAAATGAGGAATTTTCTGTATCTAAAGAGAAGAGACCAGGAAATATGGAAGAAAGATCATCGAAAATTGTGATGATACCTGGTGATACCAAGAAGACTGTGTTCGGGAAACTAGAGAAAACCGCTGGGTGCCGTGTAGGACGGGTACAAATTATCGACAACGACCTAGATCGACGACGAGCTACCTTGGACAAGAAAATGAAACATCGCGAAAGCACTATCAGAATAAGGAATTTTAAGCTTAGAACTGACGAACCATGGACGACGATACAATTGAGGAAAGATCAAATGGAAGATCCAGACATCGAGCAATACTACGGCTCAAGGAAGGTAACGGCGAGAGACCACCGTGGCAGGATATTGCAAACAGAGGGCCTGTTTTCAAAGCTCTCTGGGCTCAGTGGAATTCACTGGTTATTGAGAATGGATTGTTAAAGCGCACGTGGGAAAGTGCGGATGGCAGGACAGTAACAACTCAGTTACTGGTACCAAGGAAGAAAGTTACCCAGGTATTGGAAGAAATTCACGGTGGTAAAACTGGAGCCCATCTTGGAGTAAACAAGACCTTGAGCAAGCTGAGAGATCGCTTTTACTGGGTGGATTATTGTGAAGATGTTAAGAAATGGTGTCAACGTTGTAAGATTTGCACAGCTAGACAAGGACCAAGTACTCGATCTGGAGGAAAAATGGAACAAGATAACGTTGGACGGTCGTTCGAAAGAGTCGTTAGGAAGGAAAGATTATTGGGAATTCATAAGGCCGTGAGAAGTAAGATTACGCTAGCCAGTGACCGGATGAAAGCTCGTTACGACCTCAGAGCTAATTCTACGGGATTTCAACAGGACGATCTGGTATGGTTATATAACCCACAGCGCAAGAAAGGGAGGTCCCCAAAGTTAACTCCAGCATGGGAAGGTCCTTATACAGTCATCAAGAGGATAAATGATGTTGTGTACCGGATTCAACGCAGCCCTAGAAGTAAGATGAAAGTAGTTCATCTGGATCGATTGAAGAGATACCAGACAGGAAACCTTGATCGGGACGATCAAATTTGAGAAGGGGGCAATGTCAAGAAAATGGCGCATCCGCCAGAAATTAAAATGTATTACTGGTTGCCTGCACAACCGCAACGTATCCGCCAGAAATTAAAAGACTTTTTCAGGCGCCATCTTTTAGTCAAGTCGAGAAGTAAGGGAATCAGACAATAGAATTGTCTGGTATGAAGAAGTACGCTTTCCGAGAATTTTCGAGAAGCAGTCAATAGAGTATATAAGCCGGAGCCATCGACAACTGAGACAGTTTTTTTGAAATTTGAATATACCGCGTGGAAATTGAAAATCGGACAATTTGGTGAAGGAATCTTAGTTTGTTGTGTGTTATAAGTTAGTAATTGTGTATAAAGTGAGAAAATAAATTCGTTAAGTATTTTATCGTGAGTTTAAATTAGTGGACCCACGGAATCCGTAACAATATTTTAATCTTATACAGGGTCGGGCAATAGTGCGTCGGGGATCTGCAGATCCTATAATAAAAAACTTAGGAATTTTGTTTAAGTACAAACCTAAGGTATGTATTAGATGTATTTCAGGAAAATATTTTAACTTTTACAGTGTGGCTCAAAAAAGTGTAAGTGTATGTATATGCACGCATGTGCTGTATATTATTGTATTTCTGACTTCCTTTCTGATCACTTTACATAATCCTAATGCCGGGTCCAGACCAAGGCGAGAAAAAGTAAACACTATTTTGAGACAAAAACAAGACAAACTTGCATCAAATAATGGGGAATTCTAACAAGACAAACTTGAGACAAATTGTCCATATCGCAAGGACAAAAGTACAACAAAGTCAGAAGTTTTGTTGTTGCCAATGAATTTTATTAACCCTGTGTGATTTCACTGGTCTCCTACTGTGGACAGCACACGCCATCCGCACTGCGCCGACAACTTGTCGTAAAATATACGAACAAAACATAGACACTTTGATCTTTACCGACTCAAGACGGAGCATTGAAAAGTCTCCGAATTTAGAATACAGAATTTTCCTGAAATACATCCTAGTACATACTTTAAGTTTACACTTAAACAAAATTCTCATTTTTTTTGTTCTAGGAGCTACAAATGCCCGACGCACTATTGCCAGACTATAATTTTTTCAGTCTGATATACAGGGTGGTCCGAACTGTATTCCGGAAACTTCGGTGGCATATTCTGCAGATAAAAAGAAGTTAAAAACTTCTTATAAATGAATGTCCTAAAATGCTTAGTTTCGGAGATACAGGATGTAGAAATTTCATTTTTATTTCGATTTTTTCCAAATAATTTCTGAAGTAACGTCAACATTTGGATTAAAATTGGTGTTTGATAGTTTTTTGACATGAGAAATTTGATTTTGATATCATTATGACTCCTATTTGTAGGGGGCGCCACCTACATGTGTTTTAACTGTTTTAAACAGTAATAATTTTTTGTCCGTACCTGTATAGAAGTACTGAGTGAAAAAATATATATTTTCTTATTTTTTTTACGTAAAACATGTCTCTTGGTAAAAATCGTTGTGAGCAACCCTTCTCGAGATATTTAGAATGGAAGTAGTCATTATTGACAAAAAAAAATTATATTTTTTACTTAGTAGTTTTATACAGGTACGGACGAAAAGTTATTACACTTCAAACCAGTTAAAAATATGTAGGTGGCGCCCTCTACAAGTAGGAGTCATTCAAATTTCTCATATCAAAAAACACCCAGACACCAAATTTCATCCAAATATTGACGTTACTTCAGAATTTATTTGGAAAAAATCGAAATAAAAATGAAACTTCTACACACCCTGTATCTCCGAAATTAAGCATTTTAGGACATACATTTATAAGAACTTTTTTACTTATTTTTATCTGCAGAATATGCTGTCGAAGTTTCCGGAATACAGTTCGGACCACCCTGTATATATTTTTATTTGTTTTTTTTTCAGAAATCAATGTTGTCAGGAATAAAATTTCAAAAGCTTTTAGCAAAGAAGTTTCTAATCTCTTAGTTAAAAGTAAAGTAGAAGATCCCAGTGCTAACAACAATAAAACAAATACTAAAAAAACGACAAAGTCCGAGATTTTACCAACATTTTATACATTCAAACCGAAAAATGAGGTTAATATTTTATTGGTAAATTTTTACTTTATTTTTAAATTCAGTTTTTTTCATGTAGTCTGAAGATATTAGAAAATTATTGAAATGGAAATTAGAGAATATTTCTAAGGAACCAACAACACAAAATTCAGAAAGTCTGGATATATTGGATATTTTTGGAGAGCAGAGCGATTTAGAAAAAGTTTTGACTTTAAATAGTGAGTGTTGTAAATATAAAAGCTTTGCACGTTTTTATTGTTTTTTGATTGTCAGAGAGAAGTACGTTTTAAGCCTAGATTATACAGGGTTGTTCACCACATACGACACGGAGTATTGTAGCTAATCGATTAGATTTTTACAAATAGTAAATTTTGGGTTCGTTGAAGGACTATTAGAGCTATTAAAAATATTTTTACAAGATATAGAGTGTCCCAAATAAGTTAAAAATATTATAGTTGTATTTTTTTAAATGGAACACCCTGTATATTATTCTATTTTTACATTCTACGATTGAAATAAAGGTAAGTTTGATTAAGATTTATCACACTTAAACCAAACCTTACCGTTTTTGAAATATTTTCAATTTTATGAAATTGCAGTAAAGATTTTAAGGCTTCATTTCTCCAAGGGTATCAAAGTTTGTAATACTAAATATTTACTGAAGATTATTTATTGATCAGGTATTGTGTTGCAATAATAAAAATTTTAGTACCTTATACAGAGTGTCCGAAAATTTATATTAAATAATTACTAGCTTTAAACGGCAATAACTTGTTTAATTTAAATGGAACACCCTATATATTTTACATGAATCACATGCACAATGTAACTGTCTATCAAATTGTATTATACCATTTTTTACCTGTCACTTCAAGTTTTTGTAGAAAATGCATTTTCTTATAATTTAGACATCATTTATCACTATACCCATGAAATATTGACATTTTAGATTATTTTTAAAGATGTAACAAATTTTCAAAGCGTACAGATACTAATATTGTCGATATAGTTCGCTTATTTCATTAAAAAATAAAAAAAACTGTTTAAATAGTTCCTGTTAAAAAGAACCAATTAATATGATCCCAGTATTCAAACTACATTAATTGACTGTTTACGTTGATTATTAATAGAGAACAACGGCACACGGTCGAGTCGGCCGCTGCTGGTACGTATACGTAGACGTAAAGAGTCTTACGTGTATAAAAAATATAAGAAATGCGCATGCGTGCGTAAACGTTTACGTGTTTGTAGGCCGACTCGACCGTATACCGTTGTTCTCTAATAATTGCCTCAAATACTAAAAAACTGAATTTTGTGTGTGTATTAGACAGTGTGGTAAAAAATAACACTTTATAAATTTTATTTAATTTTTTGATGAATTATTTATAAAAACAGAGACGTTCATTTTCATAACTTATTATTATATTGATTTCTGAGCCAAATTCACATTTATTTAGAATACTTTATTAATTAAAACAATTTAAAAGTATGTAATTAACTAATTTTTGGTCGGAAATAATGGTGGTATATTTAATTGGTATACTCTTTCACAAAGACTTAAATAGTTTTTTTTATACCAATGGGCTTGTAATACATTTTGTACATATATGTTGCTTTAAAAAAATGTGAAATGTCAATATTCCATGGGCATAGCGATAAATGAGGTCCAAATTATAAGAAAATGCATTTTCTACGAAAACTTGAAGAGATGGGTAAAAAATGGTATAACACAATTTGATAGACAATTATATTGTACATCTGATTCTCGTAAAATATATAGGGTGTTCCATTTAAATTAAACAAGTTATTGTTGTTTAAAGCTAGTAATTATTTAATATAAATTTTTGGACATTCTGTATAAGGTAGTAAAATTTTTATTATTGCAACACAATATGTGATCAATAAATAATCTTCAGTAAATATTTAGTATTAAAAACTTTGATACCCTTGGAGAAATGAAGTCTTAAAATTTTTACTGCAATTTCATAAAATTGAAAATATGTATTCCAAAAACGGTAAGATTTAAGTGTGATAAACCTTAATCAAATTTACCTTTATTTCAATCGTAGAATCCAAAAATAGAATAATATACAGAGTGTTCCATTTAAAAAAATACAACTATAATATTTTTTACTGATTTGGGACACTCTGTATCTTGTAAAAATATTTTTAAATTGTAGCTTTAATAGTCGTTCAACGAACCCAAAACTTACAATTTGTAAAAATGTGATCGTTTAGCTACAATACTCGGTGTCGTATGTGGTGAACAACCTTGCATATACTTGTCTTCATCATCAGGACATGTCATTTTCGCACCTTCTCTATTGCACTTATGAAGCGTCAGAATTTCATTGTATGTCCATAGCGGCCCATACATTATCAAACAAATTGCGCAACTAAGCGATGCGCAACGACTGCATCACCCAGACACTTGGTAAAATTTCATTAAACAGGGCCATACATTGGCAACTTGTTGCGCAATAGCCAGCGTTGTGCAATTTGTTTGATTAGTATATGCCGCTTATAATTACCAATATTCAGAAATACAGAGACTCAAAAATTATATATTTTTTTGGGTATTTTTTACTAAGATTTTCAAAAAATTCAGTTTTTCGCTAAAATTATATAAAACAAAGTAAATCGAACAAATATATAAAATAGTAATTATTTAGTTCATTAATTTAAGCTAATGTACATGTTAGAACTCTTTATTTTATCAAAAATCAAACATACTTACTTCTGGCAAGTCCTTTTGATCATTCAGCTTTTTTATTGTTATATTCTTTTTTAGTAAACGCATTTAAAAATAGAGGAAAATATCAAAACAGTAATATCTTATTACTATTCAAAGGTGATGTTAGTGAAGAAGTAAAATCTGCAATAATCCAGAAAAGAGTAAATCCGTGGATTATATCTATATCTCCTATGATATCTATAACGTAAAGGAATTAAGATATTTGGAATAATTTTACCAATCTACATTATTTTTATATTACAGCTTATGGCAGATGGCTTGTGAAACTTATGCTGAGCAGCTCCAAGAGGATGAAAATTCTGACCCCATGGAAATAGTCACATACTTACTTGCTTGTCATAAAGTAGAAAAAGCCGTACACATTCTCAGCAACAAAATGATGTTCAAAGAAGCATTTGTCCTAGCTAAAACGCGCCTCGGTGTAGATAGTCCTTTACTTACTGAAGTACTGGAAAAATGGGGCAAAGACTTGAATTATCATGGGGCATTTGCGCGGGCAGCACAATGGTATATTTTATGAAAAATGTTTGAAAAATTATTAAAAAGTTTTTTATTTATAGCTACGTAGTTATCGGCAAATACCAAGAAGCAGCATCAGCGTTGTTTAGGCTTAAAACATCGAACCTTGAGTTGTTAAAGTTGGGCGTCGAGCTTGCTCAGTTGTCTGGAAACGAAGAATTGCTTAAGGCTCTGCAATTCAAGTTCAATGCATTTAAGTCAGAAGAAACTGTAGAAGGTATTGATATGAGTTTCTGATGAATATTCTTTACTTTACTCTTATTTTATTTCCAGTAAAACAAATTAAATAATTTTATAAACTATAGTTATAATGAATTATTATTAGTAAGCTTGCTAAGCTCTATTTCTGAGAATTATATGAATTTAAGAAAAAATCAATTTAAACTATGTGAATTTCTTCAGCATAGCCCAATAACAATGAAAAAATCACTTTTTTAGTGATTTTTTTCATTGTTATTCTTCTTCTTTTCACTTTTCACATAATCAATGTCTTCATTGGTTATGTTAAAACTGTCCATAACAGCAAATTACAAAAATTCCCTTCCAAATATGCATAAAGTGGGGTAGGTAACACAATATCGAAAAAGTAGGAAAAGTTTAGAATTTACAATTGCGTCTACATACCAAGTTTTTTTTCTAATATTGAGAGGGTTTTCAAGAAATCGATTTTAGCCGACCATACCAATGGGTATGGTAGGCTATTAAGATCGGAAAAAAGTTTTTTAATTTCACTCAAAACGAGTTATTTGGGTCATAAATGACCTAAATACAAAATATTTTCATGGTGTCTGTCTGTCTGTTCGTCTGTCCGTCTGTCTGTTCGTCTGTAATACGTTAACTCAAAAACCGCTGAACCGATTTTAACCAAATTTGGCACAAAAATACTGTGGCACCTGAGAATCTGGCCATTAGTTTTTGGTGGGGGTGGGGAGTTGGTAAGGGGGTATGGGAGGGAGTAAAATTTTTTAAAAAATCGTAACTCCAAAATTACAGTAGCTAGCGAAACGCGGTTTTCAAATTAAAATTAGGAATAATATTTGCAACAAAATTTGTAATAACATCAAAATCAGTCAAAGTCGCAGTTTTTGAGATATTAACATATTTTAGTATGGGCGGCTATATGTGCCTCCCGGCGCCAATTTTTTTTTGTTAAACGTAGAGTAATTTTACAGAATACAAAATTACAAAATACAGAAAACGTAGTAAATCTGATAAAAATATCTGTGATGTATCTTAGATAATTGTAAAAAATCGAATATGTCAATGTTTAAGATACCAATCATATTGCAGTGGTACCGTATTGTTACGGATTCCATGGGTCTACTAATTTAAACTCACGATAAAGTACTTGACGGATTTATTTTCTCACTATATACACTTAACAAAAAATACTTCGCCAAATTGTCAACATTCGCTATTCAAAAAGTAACCTTATTTCAAAACTAAATTGAACTGCTAGGCGCGGTTGCGCTTGTTCGAAAATTATCTGTAACGCTCTTTTTAGTTCCAGTAAATTCTTTACAAGATCCTATTTCCACTTGAGTCTACGAGAAGGCGCTTCAAACAATGCCCTGTATTATAAATGAAACCTCAACCTGCAATTAATTTTTCATTTGACTTTTTTCTCTATACAGAGCGTCGGTTACCTCTCGCATGTACTTGTGATGTGTGTCATCAGTGTTTCACAAGTACACGGGATCTACAGTTTATCACCGAATTCTAACGAGAGGCTGTACTAGGCAAATATACTCAAAGTGGTTTGCCATTGCTTTCCTTGAGGTGGCGGCTCGCTGGTCGTTCTATTTAGATAAATCAGTATTATTATTTAAATAAATAAAGCGACCAAACTGGCTGGGGATCGTACTTCTCGCACCGCAGATCGAGACATCAGTGTTTCGCTACGGCCGGGCACTACCTAACACTACTTTTTGCATATGTACAGAGGATTTTTAAAATTTGCTTCCAGGACAGTTGTTAGTTGTAAGGACATAATAAGTCAACATTATTTGTTATTAAACATGCTGTAGAAATTTTATTTAAACATTTTTTCAATAACTTCTATTTTGGAACACCCTATATATTAAAAGTTATGTATGATACGTTTTCCAGATAACACTGGAGTTGACGAAAACGAAAATGTGAAAAAACAGGTAGGTATTGTTGAGAACAGTAATATAAATGGAGGAAATGAAGTTACACAAGAAAAAGAAAATGTAATCAGGGAATCTACAGGTGACAGTCCAATAGAATGCAGTTTAAACAAACTAAATGCCCAAGAAAGCACAGAAATTGTTGAGGGTGATTTAAAAAATGGAGATATAAAAGGAAAAGAATGTTCTGTGGATAAGGAATCTGTAGATAATGGGAACTTAATAGAACCCTGTACCCAAACTGTAGAGTTTGAGCGTTCGATAGAGTGTAGCTTAAATGAACAGTGCAGTTTATCAAAAACAGACGCTATTGAGGTCAGTATTAAAAACGGAGTTGATGTGACTGTTAAAGAAAATGACATTTCTGTCAAGGAGTCGGTAGAGTAGGCAGAACAAAACAGTGATAAAAACCAAGATATTATCTAAGTTTCTAAATCTAAAATTTAAAGTTCAGCATAATAAGATGCTTATGATTGAGAAGTTTTATTTTTTTTTATTTTATAGTTTTAGGTTTATTATTTGACTGAATGATTTACTTATTTTTGATTGATTCCCTATTTAATATAGTGTTGTTTTGTTATTTTGAAGCTGATCTGTTAATTAAAATATAAGAATGTAATCTTTACGTTTATACTATTTCGATGGTTGAAATAAATGTTTTTGGTAATGACATTTCTGTCAAGGAATCGTTACAATAGACAGAAAAAAATGCCATAAAAACACAGATGTAATATCTGAGTTTCAAAATCTAAAAGTTAATAGTTCATTATAAGATGCTTGTGATTGAGAAGTTTTATTTTTTTTATTATGTTATAGGATTATTGGTTTGACAATATGACTTATTTTTAATGGATTCTGTAATTAATAGAATGCTATTTTGTTACTTTCAAGCTGATCTGTTAAATAGATATAAGAGTGTAATACTTTAAGTTTGTCCTATTTCAATTGTTGAAATAAATGTTCGTTTCTTAAAAGGTTTTTAGTTTAAAATGTATAACAGTGAAAAATTTTAAATTAAACCTTTATTAAACCTTAAGAGAAATTACATGAAATAATATATTTTACAATAATAATCAGTTTTATGAATATATTAAAACAATTTTAAGTTCTATTTGAGCTATAGTCCTAATTTGATAAGTTGGAAATTATATTTTCATTTAAGCCATTTAATAGGAAGCCATTTGAGAGAGATATTGTAATTAATTACTTCACAATATAACATTAGGATGTGTCTTAAAGTTCTCGACAAACGGGAATTTTTTTTGATATTTAACAACTTTTTACTCTTTTTTACAAGTTATTGCGTGGCAGTAAAATAACATTACTGCAAATGAAATTATTTTTATTATATTTGGCTTGGGTTTTGTCATTCATACAAATGAATAATAAAACTTTTCTCCTTCGGTATAATAAAAAATTCCCATTTGTTGCCAACATTTTAGCACGTCTTTTATAACAACCTTGCTTACATAGTGATCATACTTATTCGTGCGTGACATAGTCCTATTTTTAACATTACAGAATAACAAATTTTTAACAAGATGGAAACAAAAAATAATAACTTATAATATACTTTTATAGTAGGTAGACTTAGATTTTTATATGCTAAGAATAAACCTTATAATCATAGATAACAACTATGTTATCTGTGCTTATAATGAGATTCTGCTTAAAAAGATAATTAATTTTTAAGATGCCATATATTACTGTAAAGACTAAATTATCATTTTAATAACTAGAAGTCCATAGTTTTTTTTATTAAGATGATTACATAGAAAAAAATAGTTAAAACAGAATGTTTTTAAGTTCTCTAGATGCTATAGTCGAGACAAAATAACATACAGTGCACTAAAAAATGGCATCACAGAGGCCTTTGAAATAAAAATCAGTAGATGGTATAGTTTGCTCAAAACTGCCTCAATTGATTGTGATATCTGTCAAGAAAACTATACCTCAAATCAAATGAAAACTAAAAAACAATGGGGAGTAATTTACGAAATGCCGTTATGACATCTGGTTTTTAAGTGAAAAAGAGAGTACGACGATATATTATGACGACATAGCGTTGAATTTCACAATTTTCTTAACAATATTCTTCTCTGAACACTAAGGTTTTATTTTATACATGAATAATTAAAAAAAAACAATAAATCTAAAACTTAATTAATAAATTACTTTAAGTCTACAAAAATATGATATATGAATTACAAATTTCCTAAATAGTGAAAAGTTTCTCTATGTATAATATGAATTAAGAGAATTAAATATACAACGTTTACATAAAATACGATGTAAATGAATAAAAGTGCATAAAAATCGGAATGCCTTTTTTCAATAATGAAGTTTTTCAGTTTTGCGTTTTCTTACAAACTATTTTGCTAATACAGGGTAAACCAAAATCACAATATACATCTCAATCTCAATTTATAGAAATAAATTTCATAAATATCATATAACTAGGTCAATTCTAGATGAAAATATTGAAAGGGACCTACTGCATTTTTTTAATTCTACAGTTCATAATTTTACTACCAATAATGGTTTCTATTTTTTTTGTAAACTACTTTATGCAGAGAAAAATGAGTAGAGATAACAGATTCTAAATTGACCATTTAAAATTAGAATTTTGTTTATTTCAAGATCAGTCGATAGATACAAATATTACTGTAAAATATTCAGTGAAGTACCTAGATGTTTGATCTTAAATAATAATTTTACACAAAAGGCGACTTGATTAATAACACCCACACATCAATTATTGTCAGCTTTTTATTTAGTTCGAACTATTTGTGAAAAAAGTTATTAATATTGCTGTTTTGGTTATATTAAGTTTATTTTTAAAAAATCACCTCCTAAATTTTATCACACTTATTCATTTATTACTCTGTATCTCAAACTAGATGGTGCATTTTTAACGCACATAATTTACATAATTTAGAAAGCAGTTGATATAAATAAACAAGGGAAATTAGATTAGGGTCATATAACGTGTGATCGAAAAAAAACGGCGTCCAGTTGGCTAAGAAATGACGATCGATAACATTTCCCATATAAATTTAAATATAAAATGACAGCGATCTTCATTTCATAACTATCGCTGACGCCGTTTTTTTTTCGATCATATGGTACCACACAGTTCGTTAATTTATTAAGAAATTTTATTTTTTTTTCAAACGTCGCAAAAGTATAAATTTTTGCGATGTGATTGACAATATAAAAAAGTAATTTTAACGCCTAGGCATAAAAGTGTTAAATTCAACGAGTGTAATCATAGTTTCTCGATATATAATTACATAGAAGGTATGACTTTTAAATCTTTTTATATTATTTGGAACGTTTGAAATTGTTTAAAAAATTATTTGTGGCGCTTGAAAAAAACATGTTCTATTCAGAGTAAAAATTACTTCTTGTGCCTCGAGGCTGTACAAACGTACAACCTCGCCACGAAAGATGTCATTTTTACTCCTAATAAAACAATATACTATTATATGCGTTATATAATGAAAATTAACGAACTTGAATTTCATGAAACTTTTCACTTATTAATAATTAATAAAAACTTTTTTTTGGTGCTTCACCTTAACTTCACTGAAGACTGGTGATACTTTGTTACTTCAATAGAGCAAAATCCTTTTTTCTACGGCTTTCCTGCAAATGGGACATTCCGTCATCTGATCACCGCACATCTGGCATAATCCATGTCCGCACAAGAAAATCATGTTTTTGAGACGATCCAAGCACACTGGACACATGGTCTGAAAAGCGAATAACTGATGTAAAATTTGCTTGTCAGTTTTTCAAATATTTATACACGGTGTCGCTTACAGTTGCGGCGTGTGGTTTAATATTTTAGAAAATAATTTCACGCTTTATCGAATATGTTAGAGAGTATAAACTTTATGTCTTACTTGTTCTTTGATGTCTTGTAATTGTTGTTGCAATTTCTGTATGTCGCTGACGTTTGTGGTGTCTCTACCGCCGTTGTTCATAAGTTGTTCTGGAGGAGGAATAATTTCTGCAGCAGTTGCTGGTTGGGGCTTGATTGGATCCTCTTCAACGTCCGCCTTTACTTCGGATATTGTTCCTAATTTTCAAAAATATAATGAAAATAGATATTATTTTTTAGAAGGGTATTTTTCTATATACCTAAACCTCCACTACACACGGTCATAGGAACCATCAGTTCAATCTGAGAGCGGCATAAAACGCATTTCTTCATTATTTGAGCGCAACTCTCGCATGCAACCATATGTCCACATGGTTTGAACAAAACAGAAGATTTCTTGTCCGAACAGACTAAGCATTCTTCAATCTACAAGTAAAAAATTAAAACAAAAATAATAAATCCGGGTCCTAACGGATGCAAAAATGCATTTCTCTTCCACGAGGAGCGACTTCATACTTCGAAAAACAATAGTGTTTAAAAGCTATCTACACTTTTTTTCTACCTATATGTGCAAAATATAAAAGACAACCCTCGTATAGATTATAGATAATATCAGGAGAGAAATATACCTTAATTCTTCCTGTGACTGATTCACGGCAAATCAGACATTTCTTGACGCGAGGACCACATGCTGAGCAGCACGTGACGTGACCACACGGCTGAAACAGCATGTCTCTCTTGCTATCCGAACATACAAGGCACTCGTCCAGAGTCGACGTAATGTTTGTGTTCTGAGTATTCTGATTTGGACCCATATCCATTTCACCGCTCTGTTTGTCCTTGTGACATTTAGCCAAGGTCTTGCACAAGTTCGGATCGGGACAAAGATCCAGTGGTGTTTGTCCTAAAATAATAATAAGTAATAAAAATAAAGTATTATAAGTATAAATGAATAAGTAATAAGAAAATAGAAAGTTGTAATATTATGTCTGAACTAAGTCTGTGTGTAACGGGGGCCATGAAAATCACTCCCACAAATGCGATGGAAGTTTTGTTGAATCTACCACCGGTACACATTTTCATACAAAGATAAGCTAGATCTGTCAAGCACAGGTTAATTAATGGTCAGCAGCACAGAAGCCAGACGCATAGTGCTGAAAACCAGAAGTTAATCGAAAGCAGAAAAGCTTTTAGCTTTTCGGTTAGCTTCTGGTGGGTACATTCGTAGATGCGTGGCACTAACTGCATCTACATTCGTAGATGCAGTTAGTGACACTATAAACGTTGATTGAAAGAATTGGGAAGATACGCAACCTAATGGGTGAATTAGTGACAAGACTGATTTTATTTCCCCTTACGTCCCAAGTGCTGTGCAGACACCCATTCTGCGGCCAACCCATAAAACATTTATTTCCTCTAATTCGGTAAGCGAAGGCATATCGAAGACGATGGGGAACTGAAAGCGACAGTGTTGCCATATTAAAATGTGCAATATCTGTAATACGTTTGGAGGAAATATCTTTGGATGAAACATCCGCGTTTATGTATTGAAAATTTACTCTTGTTAAACATAGAATAAACAACAAAAAGAAAAATTCTTTTATAGGTACTGAATAAAAAAGTCGTTTAGTTCGCTTGGAAATGAGAATTTTTGACATTTACCATAATATTTTACATATGAAATAACAGCGATCTTCATTCAGCGCCGTTCTTTGTATAAGCATATAACATATTAAATTGTTTAATGATAGAAAACCAGTATTATTAACGTACTGTACTCAAAATCCGTAAATCTACGAATTAAACAAGCAGCAACACTGTCTCCGGCAACCACTCACTCTGTTGTCTGAAAGCAGAATTACAGTACAGTGTTCTTTATCCGCTGTGCTGTAAACGACTATCAGCGCACGGCGGCGCAGAGCTAAACTAAATCTCTGCGTTCTCGGACAGGCTGACGGTAACGCCAGCTACACCTCGGACAGATTTTGTGCCACGAAATCGCCCATAAAGTTGCGCATCTTCTTATTACTTCAATCAACGGTATTACCTTTTTTATTTTTGATTGTCAAATCTGCACCGTT